GCTCTCTGATATTTGGCGTCATAGATCATTTAAAACAACATTTGCTGACTGACCATACAAATCCGAACTTTCAGACTCTGAAATGTCGCTGGAAGAACTGTGATGCTTTTTTTACTGCTAGGAAAGGATCCAAACAGGTACATCAGTGGGATTTGAGGTCAACCTGGGGTCATTTGACTGCTCAGAGCAGGGTTCAGTAAACCTTTTTTGCCTTATTAGAATGTTCACAATTGCAATAAACAGGGAGAGTGTAGGGATTTTTCTTTTTATTACTATCCAGGGATTTGGTGTATAGCTTAATGAGGTTTCAAATGAAGAATAGGTAGTTTTTGAGAAAGAGCCTAAAGAGAATGTTTTCACATGTTTCCAGTCCAGTAACTGAACCTAGAGGTTTATTACAGTGCTCTTGTTAAGAACTCATCTTTAACTGCGCAGTTCCATGTAAATTAGAGTACTGGGTCCTAACTGCCTTTCATGTATGGATCTTAGAATGTACCTGTGAAGCTCCCTAGCTTTGACCTTCTCTTGCCCTACTACCATCCTTTCTCTCATGGGCCCTTTTCCCTTTATTCCTAGGATGCTGCAGGACACATTGAACGACATGCTGAGGATGACAGCAAAATTGATTCATGAAGTTTTTTGCCTCCCATGTTGGGAAGTCTTTAGTTGAACTAATTTCACATCAGCCCCTTACACAGGCCAGTGTCTTCCCTTCCCTAGTGAATCAGGGAAGGAGAGAGTGGTTACTAGCCAGGCTTACCACTAGCATAAGTCTGGGCAGCTCTATGGGGTGATAGGTTACACTTCTAAGCTCTTGCTGGAGGTTTGTCAGATTTAAACAGATTTTTAAGGAACCATACTCTTCTGGGACAGCATGGCATATGGTAATTTATGCTACTGGTGTTCTCCAGATGATTATTAAAATACAGATCTTAATTGGCTACCCGGTTTGACCCTAATCATATGTATATTTTATTGATTTCAGTCTGTGATTTTTAGTTTCTGTTCTTATGATGGTTTAAACCTATAGGCAGGCTTTTAAGTACAAATTTGTCCAGTGCTAGATTTTTAGGATCAGTTTTAATTTCTCCTTAATTATTACAATCAGTTAATTATAACAGCTGGATATTTAAATTGGAAGCAAATAGTTCCCTTTCTTAACAATTATGTACAGTGTGTTTCTGTATGCTCTTTGTAGATAGACAGAGCTGGCTTTAAATGCTAAAGGGACACACAATAGGTTTTTAACAGTTAAAGTAACTGCTCTGCTGATTATATTTTAGGGACTCAGGCAGCAAATCACATAATGACAAGTCCTTACAGACAGTACTTCCTATTGAATTTCTGCAGATTTTGACAGAGTGCTCAGTTCAAGGCAGTGCATAGACCTAATGTCTACTTGGAAACCTCACTGTTAGACCTGGGCACTCACTGCAGGTATTGGCAGGCTGTTCGAACTGGAGGTATAACCTTTATCTCTCTTTCCAGCTCCTGACTCTCCAGGCAGGCTGTGGGTTTGAAACCTTTTCATTTACTTCATTGCCAAACCCCACTCTTCTATTCTCTGGCTGTGCCTGGACTGACAGTAGCCATCATATACTTCCTCTGGGTTCACAGGGTACTTTCCACCCACCCGCAGTACTCAAATGGGGGAGTCAGGATAAAGTATCTGAATATAGTTTTCAAGGCCTCAGGCAGGCTTCTTAAAGACCAATGTCTTGCCTTCACCTCCCCACTAGCTGGGAAGGGTGGAGTAGGATGAAGGGAAAGACCCTACCTGTCCATTGAGAGCAGCCAAATGAACAAAGCCTTCATGAGACTGCTTTGTTTTTGGATTTTCTCTGGACTCTTAAGAGAAGCCATGGAGGTGTTGCTTTCCAGCCTTTTGTTTCTAGATTCTCAAAACTCTGAAAGTTTCTACAGAGAGAGAGAGGAAAAGGGAGAAGAGCCCAGCGCCACATACCAAGCTTCAGATGTGATGCCTATTCTTTCCTAGGACTGCAGAGCATCCAGGTTTATCTCCACCCATCTTAGTGCACACACGTCTACTCACATGTCTTCACTCAGGCTCTGGGGCAGGGGGACTTCCCCAGGCGTTCATGGATAGGTTTCAAGAGGGTATCCAAACCCCCTGGAATTGTGTGTAAGACTAAGTAGGTGTTTTTTTTTCCAGGGAAGCCTCCAGTGGTTCTCACTGGATCCAAAAAAAAAAAAAACATTAAGAACTAATCTAGGAGATACATCTAGATAATGAATGGCTCCACAAGCTGTTTACTTCTGTCCTTATGAATGGCACAACTATTGAGATTGGCATGATACTTGAGAGAGAACAGAGAAGATCCTGTTGCATAAAGTTTATGTGTGCTGTTTCTGTCTGAGAGCAAGCATTCCCATCTCTCACCCCATTTCCTGTACAGGTGACCAGAGAAGCTAAGCTGTTCTGTGGGTTTGGGAATGGTGATTCCCAGGAAAGTACGTTTGGATTTATTGCTAAACCTAGCATTTTCCTTTGGGCTGTAGTGAACCCACATTTCCACGTTGGCTGGGCAGTGTGCTGAGGAAGTCTTGCATACTCTGTTGCGTAGGTGCCCTTCTGTCCTGCCTGAGGACATGTCTGAAAAGATGAGAGTGGTGGAGCCTCTGTACAGCTAGAAGGGGGTATATGAGGTGTTGGGCAGTCATGGGGAACTGTAGGTATGAACAGACTGATAGAATCAGTAAAAACTGATTTGATTTTAACTTTCACAGAATCGCGCACAGTCTGTCTGCCTTTATGTGTGCAGTTGTGGATGTTCCTTGTACATGTGTATGCGCGTGGGCACCTATACTTGTAATACTTTTTCTCATTTCACAAGAATTTTCTTTGAAGCCGTGGCAATAATGTTTTTGTTTCAAGAATGCGTAAAATTCGTTTAACACCAGGTTAGTGTATTGCCCTATATGCACTGCTGTAGCCACCTGTTTAGAAATAAAGGCACCATAAGCATCTTGACTGCTTATGGTTGTATGTTATGACTTTTAAGTGTCTTGAAAGTTATGCAAAAGTCTTGTTTTAAGTCTTCTACAATGTCTTGGCTGATTCTGGCCTTCTGTTCCCCCTCAGAGTAGAGCAGTGGCTCAGGGATTTGTGTTGGCTCTGATATTTAGTACTTAGTTGAGGAAGGCAATTGTTACATGACCTGACAAAACACAACTCATTTCTTATAAGGAATTGGAGGCCATTTTTAGAATGTTGTTTTTAATCACTTGTGTTCACTTCTGACAGCTAGAAGACAAGAGAACCATAGCATAAATCCTTTTGTGCGCATATGCTCGGGTTTTAATGGCAGTTTATTCTGATCACATATCAGTCACTTCAAGTTTTATCCTGAAGTTTTTAATCAGGTTCAAAATTTTGGTATACGGCTCTACTCAGTATAAAGCAGTTAAACACAGTACAAAGTTATCTTGATCTGATGTTACTTGAATTTGAGAGAACGTCATTGCTATTACACTCCTGCTTTTGTGGAGAATTTTTTTTCTGCCTCAGAAGAGTTAGCAGTTGAGTGTTTAGCTCCTGACCTATCTATAATTTATAGGCAACATCACTGCCATTTAAGTGATTATTTGCCTAACAAAGGGTTTTTTGTTTTTTTTTTCTTTTTGGTAGATTATACAGTGCACAACTTTAGTGACTAGGTATGTGGATGATTTGGTGGGAGTAGGTGTACAAAACTTAGCGGAATGGTATGGTATATTTTATGGAAGAGAATTCATTGGAGGGGAGATGAAAGTATATTGTGAAGTGGGATTTAAACAGCGTGTACCCTCTGGTTTGCAATTTATATACGCTGTCTTATAAATTTTGTTCCTGTTACCTAAAGGAGAACTCCTAAAACGGTTAAGAAGGCCATGCCTGCCACAATGTTAAAACAGTGATCTTATCCCTGCCCCAAATCATCAGGTTCCTCAGGATTTCGGAGAAGCTGTCTAATGGTTAGAATTAGAAGTTGTGGTAGAGATGATTTGGGTTATACCGAGTCCCATATACAAGTGGATGTGAAATCCTGATTAAACCAAACCTACTGCTTACCAGACAATAACCTCTAACCTCACCTCCAACCCCCAAGTATGTGGCCTTGCTGGGTCACATGGTGACTAACGTTTCCCAGATTTCCTCTAAATTCAAGGTAGTAGCCCAACTGAATTGGGGGAGGAGGGAGTCAAGGAGGAAAGGCTGTTGAAGATCTTCCTCCTACTCAAGAGAAATATATGCCCTAGAGCTGTGCCAGCACCCTTGGTGTCTGATTTTTTTTTTTTAATTGAATATGGGTTAGAAGAATGAAATCAGATGACACTTGACTGCAAAAATGTTTATAAGCAAATAGCTTAGCCTTCTTACATTTTGGTATAAAGCTGCGAACTTCCTAACTTTGTAAAGCAAGTTATAAAGCAAATATAAGGGGAAAATAAAGTACTTTTACTAATTGTTTATTTTTGTTACCTTATCTGCATATTCATATTCATAGCCAAACCCTTCTTTTCCACATTGGTATAGAGAACAAGAAGGAAATTGGGTAGAAAATGAAAGATGGTTGTAGATATGCCACAGATCATGGTCCAGATAAGCTCGGCAGACCGCTACATATAAGGATTTGTTCAAGGTCATACAGTAGGTCAATATTAGTGGAGGAACTGGGATTAAAAACTTTATCTCTGCTCCGTTACACTCAGGTAACTGGCCCCTCTGGTTATAGGTGACCCATTTTGTCTTGATCTAGACACCAACAGCTATTCCCCTTCCTTTCCTCATGTGTCTTGGAAAGTATTTGAGTGATTCCTGTGCTCAAGAAATAGCAAAAGCCATGATTAAAGTGGGGTTTAGGATTTATTTGTGTATGTGTGTATTTTCCATTGCTGTGTTCTGAAACTACGGCTCTCTATACGTGATGGGTAAGATTGGAGCTACTCATCCCTGCTATGGCTGACATCTAAATGTGAGAAAACAAAACACGATCAAGCCAGCTATACAGGTGCCTTTATTTAGATCAACTTTTTTTCAAAATGCAACCAAACTTACGAGTCAGATAACCCAAAGTGTCCAACCCTCTTCCGCTGAGCTAGCTTACTCTGGAGCAGGCCCATCCTGAAACAGGCAGAACCAAACGCTCATTGGGCTGCTGTCATGGGAGTGGGAGAATATAAAGGTGATAGAGGGCTCTAGCACCAGGAAGTGTTGAGTGCCACTGGCAAATGCTTCTGCGAACAGCCGAGGGCAAGCTAAAGGGAGTGTTTGCTTCAGAGCTGAGGCCACTCAGACTCCAAGCAAAGCTGTCACTGGACCATGGCTAGCTGAGGCAGACGGAGACACTTGCCTCCATGTGGCACAGGGACAGAGTTGTTCTCCCTTCCCCATTCCTTAACTAAAGGGTGAGGCTGGGCATGACAGATGGACAGATACCCTGAGGCTGAGAAGGAAGTGAGTAGAGGAGGAACAAGACCGATGAGGTGCCTGGAGGTCTGCTGGGGGTGCAGCTACTGTGTCCTTTGAGGTAAGTGGCTCTAGCTCTGTTGGGTGAAATTGAAATCCTGAGTGATCCTGCATGGCCTTGGATGAGGCCAGCTTGGTTCAGGCGTACATGGTGAGCTGCAGCCACTGAAAGAGGAAGTCCCAAGATCAGAATGCAAACAAGAAAAGGGAGCCCAGCCCTAGGGATCTAATGGGGTAGAGGAAAGGGACAGCCCCCAGCATGCCAGACACTGGGAAGATTTTCTGAGAAGCAGCGGTGTACTGTATCCTTCCCACAGATCTCTCCTAGAAGGTACATATTTTCCAGCATAAAGTCATTGTAGAACTGAGGCCTCCCTGGAGCCTTCCCCCAGTCCTCGTTCCCGATGAGTCACATCCTGCTGAGCCGTGAGCTTCCCTTTATGTTCCTTTCCCATCCCATCCCTCCACCACCGTTGGGAAGTGAGGAGTGCATAGTGTGTCCAGTCTTCCTCATGGATTCCTCTACCTCGAATTTTAAGGTACAGGGGGATTGTACGGCTTCTATTAGGCTTTACCTCTAGAACGTTGAGTTTGATGATACCGTCACCATCCTTGTCAAATGCAGTAAAAGCTCCTGTGTGGAGAACGCACAGGCCAGAGGCCAGTTAAAGGCTCAGTCCCCCTCCACTGCTCTACCTTTTCTTAACTGTGTGCTAAGTGCTGCTCTTCAGCACAAAAATCTACCAGGCAGAGTACCACCCGTAACCCTCCCTTTGCCATCCCATTCTGAGCCTGAAGAGGCCCTTCACCTTTGTTCAGTCTGAATAGAGTAGATTGGGATTTGTCCAAGGTCATACAGTAGGTCAGTTAGTGGAGGTTCCCGCCACCACAGCTGTCGCTGCAGGAGAGGGGGCAGGAGGGGCAAAGAGAGCAAAAGGGTAGCTGTCCACTTACTGAACATGCCCTCCAGCCTGAGGAGGCAGCAGATGAAGCTGTCGAGGTCGATGTTCATGGACCTGTCTGCATAGCGCATGGTGATGATGTCGTAGAGCTGGTTGTTGAGGTGGAAGCCTGTGGGGGGAGCACAGGAGAGATGGGGTAGGCTTGGAGCCCTCAGGCCTGCGTGCTATCTCCCCTGCCTCCTGGTCACTCTGGGGCCTGGGAGAGGAAAGCGAGAAGCCCTCTCATTCGTATCTCTAGTAGGGCCCAAGTGGCTCCATCCTCCCCTCCCGTTCCTTCTCCCACCGGCTCCAGTCCGCATCCTGGCCACCCCCTTTCTTCCCCACACCTGCGTCATTGACTGCATTTCGCATCTCGTAGCTGTTGATGGTGCCGGATTGGTCTGTGTCATAGTGCTTGAAAATTTTCTGGCAATAGAAAATTTGAGGACAGAGGTCGCACACTGAATCTCTGAATCAGTCCCTTCCTCACTCCCACCTTCGTTCTCTCATCCCACCTGCCAGGCCTTAATCTTCTTCCAGAGGTGATGGAACTCTTGCAGGTTCAGTCTCCCAGAGCCGTCTGTCTGGAGGAAGGAAGTCAGGGCTACAGGGCACATAGCAAAATCCCCCTGGATGGGGAGAGGGCTTTCTAGGTGGCTGTGCAGGGAAGGTAGCCCCATAGGAGAGCTTTGCCCAGGATATCCCACTCTGCCCTGTCCTGGTATTTAACACCCCCCTCTATGCTTCCTGAGTCAAAATTAATGCCTGCTCTATAACCCAGGGAACCTTTCTCCTAAGGACCACTTTCGTTAGGGCCCCAGGCAGAATCCCAGGCCTGAGGTTAAGAGCAGAGGCCAATGTTCTTCCCAACTGTACCTCCTCCAACAGCCCCTTTCAGACCAGCAGCCAGGAGGTGGTAACTCAGGGCCTCCTTAAATCTTTCCTCGGGCATGAATTTGAGCCCCTCTGCTTGACTGGGCCCCCCCACCCCATTTGTTGCCCTAGCCCCCAGAGGCTGCACAGGGGCTGATGACAGAGGCTTGGGAAGGGGTGGCAGGAAGGATACGTCCATGAGAGCAATCATGCTACGGCAGGACTCCAGCGTGAAGCCTTGTGTCTTCAGATCCTTATCTGGGAGGTATGGAGAAGAGTGAGGAGCTGCTTTCAGATAACTGGACACACACTGCCCCCACCACCCACCTGTTTCTCACAGAGTTTGAGCCACTCACGTTTGTTCACAACTCTGTTAAGGATATTCTTGAGCTCATCTGCACAGATCTCCATGTCCTGAGGAGGTAGGGAGAAGAGAGTCATGGTTCAAGAGTACAGCAACTGATGGAGCCCAGGCTTTGCAAAACAAATCCCGGCTGTCCATGGTTGTAAAGTCCCTGTCAGGGCTATTCTGTCGTGGGGAAGCTGGGGCTCTTCTGAGGAAGACACACTGCAGCCTCAGCTGTCCAGACTGCAGTGGGCAGCTCAGAGCCACCCAGTGGGTGTGTTGCTCAAAAACTCGAGGACTTCACTTGTGGATTTCTGCGCTACACTCATACATCCTGTTTCCACCAAAAGCCAAAATGACCTCTACTGAACCATAATGAAATAGCTGGCAAATTGAGCAATTAAGGAGAGGAGTGTCTGTGGGAGTCGGGGTTGGAGGTACTCACATCGCCTGCTATTTGCCTGAAAATGTTCCCGAATTGCTGCTGTTCCTCACTTTCCTGGTCAGCACTGCCGGGCTCTGACTATGGAAGCGCAAAGGAAAACTGGTTGGTGAGGACCAGCGAGATGGACAGACCCGAGAGGAAAGTTCCTTCTGGACTGAAGGAGCCAGGTGCCTAAAACAGCCTTAGGTGGCAGCAGGAGCTGGGTACAGGGCAAATGCTCTTCTCTCTCAGCTGAACCTGGTGATCTGGAGTGAGGATCGTCTAGGCCCAGGTGACCCTTCACTCCATACCCCCGCAGCTCAGACATTCTAACCAGAGGAGGTATATTAGCTCTGCAATCATGTAGACAGCCCTCTTGGTCCTCTCCCCCCATCCACACCTGCTAGAGCCCCCTCCACTGTTTTGAGCTTGACCATCCCAACCAAACCAGCCCCAGCAGGACAGAGGGGGCCAGACCAATCTGATAGCTCCAGCTGCCTCTGTCATCAAGGCCAGATCTTCAGAGGACCCTCCTCCCCTCCCCACTCCGTTGCACGGGCACTACAGGATAGAGATAGCCCTGGGTTTATCTGTGGACTTTTGCCTCTCAGTCTATAACCTCCTGTAAGCTTTATATGACCGCCTCTCCCCCTCTCTAACACCGTCCCCTGAGCTCTGGAGGACTCCCATTTCTGGTGTCATCCCCCTTTTCCACTACTATTCTTTATCCTCCCCATTGTTAATGACACCAGGAAACAGTTGTTCCATCTCAAGTTGCTTCTGTCTTAGGCTTTGCATCCCTCTCTCTTTCCTGGCTGGATGGGCTCCAGTGGGGAGGCTCAACCTGTCCTTCCCAGGCCTAGGACCAGCTTGGTGTGGCAGCCAACCCCAAGACATTCACCCAAGCAGCATCCCAGATTTTAGGAGAATTTGATGAGAGAAAAGGTCAGTGGGACAAACCCAAACCTCTAGATGTTAAAGGGACACCCCACCCCTGTGGCCCCTCCAACCCCCATGCACCCCAAGAGGATAGACCTCAGTTGTGTGTTGGCTACCCCATTCATGCACATGCTCGGAAACCTGTGGGGATTTCGCTTGCTTATCAGGGCTTGTTTTGTCTTTGCCCTCCTCTGATTCCTGGTCCACACCCAGCTCCTTGTTGCTGTTTGCTCTGTCTGAAACGAAGATGATAGGCTGGAGAGAGGAGGGAAGTAGGGAGGGGGCAGGAAGGAGACGGATTACTGGCTGAGCGGGCACAAGGAGGCAACCTCCTTCCTGGACCAGCTTTGTCCAGTGAAGAGGGAAAGAGCAGAGCTGGGAGTTCCTGAACCTCCGTTCAACCTCCATCTCTGCCACTAACAAGCTGTGTGACTTGGGGAAAGATGCTAAGTCTCTCTGGACTTCAGTTCCTTATCTCCTCATGGTAGAATTATGAGGATTAAGCAAGGTAGTTAGTGCACGTGAAAATGCTAAGAATGCTAAAAGCAGCATGATCTAGTGCAGTGGTTTTCAAGTATTTTGTAGATTTTTTTTTTCAAATGGAAGCCCTGTTCAAATTAAATTTCCCCAGAAGTCATTAAAAACAGAGCTTCTCTGCTTGATGAAGAAGGCAGAGCTCTTTTCCCTCAGCATCCCCACATCACCGTGGCAGCTACTGAGGCACCTCCAAGGAGCCTCTAGGACTCGGCAGAGGACACATTGAAAAAAGGACTCTGATTAATGGCATGGTCAGTGAGTGAGGTCAGAACACTTGGCTGGCGTCCCAGCCGTACCCCTCACATCTGAGAAATATCCTCTGGACTCGGTTTACTCATCCATTAATGGGGATGATAAAACCTGCTTTGCCTTTCTCATTGGGCTCTTATGGGGATCACATGGGATACTGAATGTAAAATTGTATTGCAAAAACATTTAAGATGCTACACAAATATAAGGGGTATTTGCCAGACATGCTCATGCAAGTGAGGAGGATATAAAAGGGTGGAGAGCAGCTGCCATGCTGTGCCAGTACTGGTTGGTGTCTACATCCCACAAGGAAAGCCAGAGGAGAAAGGCTGGGCTGGTGGCTGCAGGGCAGAGAGCAAGGGGGCAATCAGAGTCTCTCAGAGCAGAAATGGAACCTGACCGCTGAGTCCCCATTTGCCTTTCCATACTGTTCGTCTGGGACAGCACAAATGGACAGACCTATGGAAAGAGCTTCCCTGGCTTTGGCTCCCAGCAGGCCCCAAGTACCTTGGCTTGCTCTGCCTTCCAAGCAAAGGGTCTTGTTCAAGTAACTGATGCTTGTAGGGAATCCCAGAGCAAGTGGGGCTCACAGTCTGAGGCGGGGATGTGTGCCCATGGACATGGTGTGGCCATGGGGCACCTCTGCCAGGCACACATCTTGGGGCCCAAGTGTGGGTCTGGGCAACACAGGCAATAGAGTATAAGGGGCCTGCACCAGAGAGCTGAGGGCAAGAAACATGGGTTTCGGAGCAGACAAATATGATTTCCAGTTCCATTAGTTGTGTGTCCTTAGGCAAGTACTTCTGAGTCTTTATCCTCATCTATAAAAGGGGAATCATAACAGCACCTACCTTGTAGATACTGTTGTAATGAAACCAATGTATATTTTACCCCCAGCACAGTGCCTTAATATGCAGTGTTAGGTGCTTAGGTGCTCGATGACTCTCAGCTCCGGTCTGCATCAGCACCAGTGCTTGGAGGACCCCTATGACGGATCCTTCCAGACGCTGTCATGAACACTAACACCAAACCTTGTCTGATAGCCTATGGCTACGGCTCCGTGGGCTTGAGGATGCCCAAAGGTCAGTCATTTCTGGATGGCACTCTGGGTGGTCAAACCAGAATTCTAAAAGGGGCACCGTTACTGTAGGCACTACCACCCTGAAGACTATGGGGAAGTTATGGGGTGAATGGAGCAAGGATGAGGTGGTAATCTCGAGCTCCAAAACCACACAAGGGAAACAGTGCCCTTGGTCTCAGATGGAAGCTTTCATCTGAGGCCCCTGAGATGCTCTTAGCACACATGGTCACCTTTAGTGATGGTGTTCTTACAGCAAAGTGGTCTTAACCAGGACACCCAGGAGGGACTATTCCTTAAGACCCTAGGAGGGGAAGCTGCCCAGGTAGCTCTCCTCATTTCTCCCCTTTAAAGCAGTCACGTTGAGCAGCTCCTCTGGGGCTGTGCCAGTGAAGCTTCTCTTCCCCTTTCCCCTTTGCCGTCTGGACACGCACAGCAAGCAGAGTCTATCAGGGCCCATGACTTAGGGGGGCTTAGTTCAGAGAGAGAGGTCACTGTCTAGGAGGGGATTTGCAACAGGCTTCACCTGGAACAAGAGCCCTGGCAGTGACAGCCCCTCTGGGCGTCCTCACCGCCCCTTCCGCAGAAAGCTAAGAAAAAAGGAGGATTGGGGAGCAGGCAGGGAAATAGAGGGGGGGAGAAGGAGCCGTCCTGTCTGCTGAGCAGGCAGCTGGCATCACAAGGCCCTCACTCTCCATGGAAATCCTCACACAGCTCTCTCACTGTCCCTTGAAGAACAGAACCCATCGCCATTACCCGCAAGAATCAAGCCTTGCTTAGCTTAGCCAAACCGGTTTCTGAAAAAGAAGAGGTGCTCCTTCTGGTTTGTGCAGGACCCCCATGTCAGGCCCATTTTCACTGGAGGGCCATCTTCTCCCTCCCTCTTATGAGCGGGCAATATAACGTGGTGGTTCAGAGCACAACTGCAGAGCCAGACCTCCTGGTTCCAAGGGCTGGCTCTGCCACTTACTGGCTGTGTGGTCTTGGGCAAGTTAGTCAATCTGCCTGTAGCTTTTCTTCCTTTGAAAATGGAGATAATAGTAGTACAGGCATACCTTGTTACATTGTGCTTTGCAAATACTGCCCTTTTACAAATGGAAGGTTTGTGGCAGCCCCGTGTTGAGCAAGTCTATCGGTGCCATTTTCCCAACAGCATTTGCTCACTTTGTGTCTCTGTGTCATTTTGGTAATTCTTGCAGTATTTCAGACTTTTTCACTATTATGTTATTTGTTATGGTGGTCTGCAGTCGGTGGTCTTTGACGTTGCTACTGTGACTTGCTGAAGGGTCGGATGATAATTAGCATTTTTTAGCAATAAAGTATTTTTAATTAAGGTAGGTACTTTAGTTTTAATGCTATTGCACATTTAATAGACTACAGTATAGTGTACACGTAACTTTTATATGCACTGGGAAGCCAAAAAATTCGTGTGACTTGCTTTATTCCGATCCTCGCTTTATTGTGCTGGTCTGGAACTGAACCTGCAATATCTCCGAGGTCTGCCTGTACCAATCTGATAGAGTTGCTGTGAGGGTTGAGAGAATCCATGGAAAACACCTAGAAGGGTGCCTGGCACGTAGCCTCCGCTCAGCAAGCGTTAGCTATCGTTGCTGTGTACCCACAGATGCCACAAGAGCTCAGGGAAGGAGGTGGAGGGCTGGGGGGAGGGGGGCAAGTCCAGTGCACGCATGCTCATGTGCACGCACACGCTGTGCTCTCTGCCCACTCACCCTCTTACACCCACCTTGGTTTTTTTCTTCTTCTGCACAAGGAAAGGAAATAATAAATGCAGAATAAGTGAAAAGCAAGTTCCCAGAAAACCCAGTGGCTTTTGGCTTCCCTGTGACCTGGTCCTCAGTCTGGGGTGAGGTTCCAGGGTCCAGAAATCCAGGTCACATGGAGCCAAATGGGCCTGGAGGGTGAAAGGAGAAGAGACCTCTCCAGGCCCAGAGACTGGCGGCTGCTATGGCTTTGCTTCTGTAGTCCACTCTGCTATTGGACGTGGCCAAGGAAGGCGAGATCTTCTGGCAGATGTTTTGTATTTTTTAATGAAGTTGGTTACTAAAACACCAAAAAAAGTGGCTCACCCAAACTGGCCTGCAAATGAATTTTATTTGACTTTTTTTGGTAAAATGAGAAGGTCTGGCAGGCTGCACGGGCCTGTGGCCCCCTGTGACAGCAATCCAGGGAGCTGGGAGCAGCAGCTCTCTGCACCCTCCAGATTGCTGCACGCACCACCACACCAGTTGTCTCTCCGACACTGAAACCAAGTGCCAGTTGACAACTACAGGCGAATATACCAGCGTAGGGACACCAAAACCCCCACGCCTGCCTGCTCCACTCCGGTAGGTGACCTGCCAGTCCCCGGAAGCTTTTGAGTTTGCAACGTCTGATAAATACACTGATTACTGACATTCAAAAGACGAGACTAGCACCAAATGCACTTAATACTAAAACCAACATCTGTGATAATTCAGAAGGCACTTGGAGATCTGCCGCTAGCACAGGGTCAGGATTAGAACCATGAGTGTCACTACCCAGAAGATGACTCAGTGGGGCATTTGCTGTCCTCTTATTGGCCCAGGACACACCCACAGAACACAAGGGACAATTAATTAGCCAGAGCCCAAAGTCCAAGGCAGTCACAAGACTCCTCAACGCAAGGAGACCCCAACACACACCAGCTCTGTGCATCTAACCCTGGGCCTCCCACCCTGGGGGGGACAGGCCTCGGCATGGGATGGGGGAGAGAGCCTGAGTCTGGGCTCAGAGAATCTGGATGTGAGTTCCAGCCTTGCCATTTACAAGCTCTGTGAATTCAAGGGAGCCCTTTAACCCCACTGAGCCTCTGCTTCCTTACTTGAAAATCAGGGAGAATGACCTTATTATTACATCTCAGAAACCTTGCAAGGATCAAGTGAGATGACACATGTGAGAAGTACCTTGTAAGATGTAAAACACATGAACAATAATCACCATTTAAGGGCCCGTGCTTTGCCAGACCCTTCATGTACATGATCTCATTGATTCAAAGCTCACAAAAGCCTTGCAAGGCACATATTACCATCCCTATTTTACAGGGTAGGAAACTGAGTCAGACGAGTTACATAACTTGTCTAGGTCACAGAGCTGGCAGGTGGAGGACCCGGGTTTTGACACGGACTCCAGAGCCAGTGTAGGGCTGCTTTTTTTCTATGTGAGATTCTAACTCAGAATCCAGAGCTGGCCGCTGCTGTTGTCATCCCTTCCTGTGGCCTTGATCCCCCCCCCCAATTGTTCAAACTGCTGCTCCTTCTAGGACTCTCTTCTGTCCTTCTAGCCCCTGGACTAACTAAATATCCCCAGGACGTAAGTCCCATGACTTCAGGCCATGCCACACAGAAGTTGCAGTAACACGGAGTAATTGCTCTGCACACCCCAGACTCCCACGTCCCTCTGCTGATACCCACTCTCCCCTCCATCACCCGCCTGTGCCCTGGGCCTTCTCACACGTAAGAGCCAAACCACTTACCACTGGCCGATCCACGGAGATTGTATTCTCAACTTCCCTGTGAGGAACACAAACATGAGGGTATCTCAGCGTCACCAGGAGTAAGTAGGAAGCACAGAGGGGATTTGCTCAGGTCACCTGGCTGCTCAGAGTCAAGTTGGCACTGACCTCAAGAGAACCCCAGGAACTAACATCCTCCACCACAGGTATCATTCCCTGCAGCCAAGTGCAGACACAGGGCTTCTTGTTGGCTTTGTCCAGATTTCCCCAAATGCATTACCCAGCCACCTATCCATGGACCTTGTGCTTCTTTTAGGGACAGAGGTCAAAGTGGCAGGACCTATGAACTCACCTCTGATGACCAAGAGGGCAGGATGTGGCCTTGCTGCCCTCCCTGGTCATCCTAATCCTAAAAGTTCAATCAACTCCAACTGCTCCTATCCCTCTTCCCACCTTATTCTTTCTCCTTATCACTTATCTAAATCTAATATACTCTGTATGCTTTCTCCTGTACATTGTCGTCTCATGCTAGAATGTTAAGCTCCATGAGGGCAGGGATTTCCTTCTGTTTAATTCACTGCTGTATCCTCAGTGCCTAGAGGAAGAGTGCCTGGGACATAGCAGGTGCTCGATAACTATCTGTGGGATGGATAGATGTAGGGGAGAAGTGGCCAGTGGCTTGGGAACAGGGGAAGAGGTACAGCCTGGTCAGCATATCCCAGGACTCCTGGAGGAGACCTGTCCAGCTGCCTCACACCTCTAATCTCTGGAATGGGCCATGTGGGCTCTTAGGGGGAAAAGCCAGGCTGGGACTCACTCGGAGAGGTTCCTCTTTTCAGAGAAGACCCGGAGGATGAATTCCCCCTCCTGGTGGGGCTCGTAGGTGGAGGGCACAATGACATACTCGCTGGGAGGCAGGCGGAAGCGCTCAGACACCTCCCGCATGTTGATGTAGGTTTTACTCCTGGCCTTGGAGGCGTTGTACAGGAAGAAGTCCTTCTGCAGGTGCTGCTTGTTCCCGTGCATCTGAGGGAGAGAAGAGCCCAAGGGACCTGAGCCCCTCGGGAGGGATGCCCTGTCCTGCTCAGTCCTCCTCCAGGGAGTCCTCCTTGCCGATTCCCTGGTCACCCATTTCACAGTCATGGCCTACCGACTTCTGATTCCTAAGGCCTCGAATAGTTCAACATCCCTGGAGCTCCCTACTCCATCCATATCCCCTTCCTTTTATGTTGTGATCCAGAAGTGTCAACTCTGGCATCCCCCACTCAGGGCCACTTACCAGAACTGCCGCTGCTTAGCTCCAGATCACCTCCAGGCTGGGGAAGGACCCCAAGGAGGCAGGGGGAGCTGAGCTGGGGTCTGAGGGAAGCCATCCCTCCACCCCAAAGAGGGCAGTCAGCCTCAGAATGTGTCTGTGTGAGTGTGAGCGAGTGTGTGAGTGTGCGATGGTCTCTGGCGGGAGGGGTGAAAGGGCACATTGTAGGGGCGGTGGTCAGGAGGCCATGCAGTACCCTGAGGCCCTGGCTCTGGAGTTGAGTAATGAGGGCAAGGCCCTCTCCTATCGTAGTCCTGCCCACAAACCCCACAGGAGGCTCCCCGATGTGCCACAGGTGGACACAGGCCCCCAGGTAACGCTGCACGCACTGCTGGCTGCTCCACTTCTGTACCTCTTTGGGAACCTTGGGGAGAAACAGAAAAGGAAGGTGCTCAGATTCTGTGATTTCAGATCTGAATGGGGATGGAAAGCTTGCCAAAAGGGCATGCTAGCAATCACAGAGCAAATGCAGGGGTCTGACTCCCCGTGTACCTACCTGGAGAGCCCTGGCCCCCCTCCACCTCCCCTAGACGGGGGGTTTTTTCCACTCGTTACAAACTTCTAAGAGGTTCTGACACAAGTGGGCCCGATATCAGGAGTTTGTGGGGGGGGTCATGGGTATTGGGAAAGCCGGGGGACCCCTCGGGAAGCCCCCTGAAAGCCTCCTTCCTGAAAAGGTGGTCTGAAGCTGATCAGGGATGGCGCACCTCGTAGATGGCGAAGCCGATGGTGAAGAGGTTGGCCCCCAGCTTCCGGTCCTTCCGCCGGTTCTTCTGCATCAGGGCCACCAGGAAGCTGCAGATCACCTCGGACTCGTCAGGGTCGTCATCCTCCTCCAGGAGCTTCAGACGGTACTGAGGGTTGGTCCAGAAAGTGTCTGTGCCCCGCAGAAAGGAATTGTACATTCAGATCTGCCTCTCAGAGACAAGGCAGGATGGGAGATGAGACAGAGGGAACCTATTTATCTCTATCCCACCACACCTAGGTGCTCAAATATGTACGGGAAAAAACTGATCCAGGCATTTGTCTAATTATTTGGTGTGTGGGGGGTAGCCTTTACACCTTTATGCAGATGGAGCTGCACTGATGCCTGCGTGGCTCCTCCTTCATCTCTGAACTTTCATTCTCTGTCTTTGCTGATGGTTTCACTTTCCTCATCTCTCTCGTCAGTGTTGTTGGTCCCTGGGATTTGGTCCTAGGCCTCTTCTCTCACCCCATCATTCTACCTCCCTAGGCTGTCTTATCAACTCCCACTTTCGAACTGCTCCTTGCATGCTGGTGACACTTGAGCTGCAGATCCCAGCCTCAATCTCTCTTTTGACTCTCTCCCTTTGTCCCTTTTATCTTTCTTTTTTTCTTCCTCCCTCCCTTCATTCCCTTCTTCCCTCCTTCCCTCCTTTCCTTTCTCTCTTCTTTCCATCCTTTCTTCCTTCCTTCCACAAATCTATATTGAGTCCCTATCGTAGAGTCAAGTACCATTCTTATCTATGCATCCAGTTCTCTATCACACATCTTCACCTGGATATTTACAGGTGCCTCAGACTTCCCATGTCTCAAAGTAAACTCCCCTCCCTCCCCTCCCCTCCCCACAACCGACTCCATCCAAAAAAACAAACAAAAAAAATCACCGATTGTTTTTCTCTTGTGTGTTTCATGTTACCTCCCTGGCACCATGTGCTCAGGCCCCCAGAGTGGGAATCTTGAAGTCGTTCTTCCATCTCCACATCACCCAGTATTCCCTCCCCTCAACCTGTCCCATCCACCCCCATCTCTGCTGCTCCTGACTTGGCCTAGGCTTTCCTCATCTCTGGCTTGAATTCTTGCAGAAGCTGCTAACTCAGTCCTCCAGTCCCATCCTCAGCATTATGAACACAATCCTGTTCTGACATAATAACCTGCTTAAAGGTTGTTACCAGCTCCTTAATGCAAACTCCTCAGCATGGAGGTGTCCTTCTCGGTAAAATGGGGACAGTTTAATAAGATAATGTGTGTCTGGGACTTCGTAGAGACTCAGCAAAAGCTAGTTAATACTCTTCTACCTGGAACTTGTTCTGCTTGGACCCTTCCCCCATCCAGAGCATCTCCCACCTGGGAAGTTGCGGCAGCCTCCAGCAGAGCAGCCCCTCACCCAGCGGCCCTCGTTCACGGACACTGTCCAAGTCTGAAGCTTGTCGGACTCCAGGGCATCAGCTGTGAGGTTGCAGATCTCCAGCTTTGTGAAATGGTAGATGAAATCGTCATAGGACATCCTGAGAGGTTGGAAGAAGAGAGAGACCCATATGGGAGGCTGGGAAAGGTAAGACTCCAGGGCTAACATAGCACAATGAAATAGTCCAGAGCCACTTGGTCATGATCCTAGAGAGGACCCTGTCCTTCCTTTTTAGGGTCAGTACTATCAGTTCTGATGTATCCCTTGCAATAACGACTCAAACTCATGTGTTCTTGATGGGAGAGCTTGGCAGCAATTCAGTTCTCCAAAGTGTTACTGTGTGCCCCTCCACCGGGCTCAGGCACTGGGCCAGGGGAAAGAGAGATAGTTGGGGAAGGACAGACGATGAAACAAGCAATTTTAAAGGTGGTGAGTATCACAGATAAATTAATCACAATCCTGAGGAAAACAAGGGGATCCTGAAGAAAGTTCCCTTTAATCTGAGACTTGAAGGCTGAGTAGAAATGATCTGAGTGAGGGTGAGGAGGGCATTGACTGAGCAGAGTAAGCAGAGCTTCCTCGGCTCAGGAAACGGCCCCGCGGAGGCTGGGAGGGAGCAACGTGTGTGGTGGAGGGGCACAGAGAGGTGGGAGCCACAGCGTGCTGGGCCGGTCCTGGGCTCAGTCATCACCATGACTCTTGGGCTCCTCTCAAAACCTCAGTCTTGCTGGGTCTCTGGCTGGATTTGGAGAACAGGGCCCAGATGTCCCAAGGGCTGGAATCTGACGGCCTCTGTCCGGGGATGGAGGCTTGAGATTTCAGCTCCCACCCCGTCCCTTACCCTGTAGGGTCCTCTTGGGTCCTGGACTCACCAGAACTCTCCATCCTCCGTGACCTGGTGTTGCAGACGGGCCTTCTCGTTCTTGTCCACAAAGCTCCAGTTCTTCCAACTGGAGGGAGAGTGGAGGAGTTAGGGAAGGAAAAAGAAAGGGAAGGCCTGGTGTGAGTTGGGACAGGAGGTGTCAGAGAAATATGAATAAGTTCAGAGAATAGGTCATCTCCAAACTGCAGCCAGTGTGAACCATCGAAATGCAAATCTGATCTGATACCCTCAGTGTAAAACCCAATAATTGCTTCCCACCATCCTCAGGATTAAGACCACACTTTTTGAATGGTTTATAAGGGCCTGACTCTTCTCTGGCTGAATCTTTAACCGTTCCTCACACTTTAAAGTTAGGAGTTGGGCTCTGGAAATAGGTTTTCTCAACTGCAAAGGGGGAATGATTATATCACCTACTCACAGGGCTGTGATGAGCAAGAAATGAAATAACGCATGCAAAACTTTTAGAACAGACCCATCATCTAATAAGTAACTGTCTGAGTTACTGAGAGAAAGACCAGACATGTAAACTTCTCCTTCCTCCTGCCACCCCACGAAACATCCCAGTTTTATGTTTTAAAAGGCTGGGCAGTTTTACACACTCTTTCTCTCGAAGAAGGAGGGAATAAAGCACATTTGTGTTTCAGGCATGTGGAGGAGAATGAAACTAAACTAGTTTGGAGAGGTAAGGGATTGAGGAAGTGCTTGGAACCAGGGAATACCGGAGGGGAAGTGGAGATTCCTGAGACCAGCAGGAGGGGCACAGTGGCGGGGAGTTGGGGGGAGGGTCTCCTTGTGTGACTGAGGCTGGGCCCCACTAGTCAGTGACCCCTGCAGTGGAGGTGTTGGCAGCAAGTGAGTTAAGGCCGGACACCAAGATCTGAGACTGGAGGACACAGCGAGGGTCCCTGTGGGTGACTCGGGTCAGTGGAGTGGACAACTGATGGGGCACCGAGGGCCTTCCCAGAGCAGAGAGCCCAGTTCAAATGCCACTTCCTCCAGGCAACTTTCTCCCTTCCTGTCCCACCCAGACCAGGAGAAGGGCTCCCTCTCTGTGACCCTTACCATAGCATTTCTCTCAACGATCAGTGTTTTTCTGTCCTTCCCACTGGACCTTAAAGCCCACAGGGCAGGCCCTGAATCTCTGCATTCATTTCTAAGTCCCCAGACAGTAGCATGGGGCCTGGCACATACTGCACACTGAGGAACTGGGGATTTGTTGCGCCGTAAGAGAAGGGAACGGTAAGGAGACCAGGATCAGCACCTTATCGGTCTACCAGGCGAGGCTGCCTGCTCACGGAAGGGCCCCAGTGCTTAGACCTGTGCTTGGGATTCAGTAGGTGCTCAGCGAATACTTGCTAAGTGAATGAATGGCCGAATGAACCAGTAATTACGGTGCCCTGAGATAAGAGGTATGTGGAGGTAAGCCAGGGGCTGAAGGACACACACAGCCTGGGTGTGGTCCTTCCCAGCTGCTGAGTCCTGCTCTCCCGCCTTGGGAATAAAGGAGCTCCAGGGCCTACTCTCCAACCAGAGAGGCGGAGTCAGGAGCCAGTGATTGGGGTGGGACAATAGAGGCTTTGTGAACCTTCTGGAGCCTTCATAAGAGCTTCCCCAGGTGTGCTATTTTTGCTGCCCCCAGTCCCTTGCTCTCAGTGATAAGCAGTAAATTTCTTGCAAAGGGCCTGTGCATCTCTTTATGGGGATAGTGAGGGAGAGGAAATCTTAGCACTGGTTAAGCGCTCTCCTGGCACAACCGCATTTTCTCCTCATAACAGCCCACCGGGTAGGTGCTAACGTTGTTCCCATTTTACAGATAAGGCAACAGAGATTCCGAGAAGGGAAGTCACCTGTCCAGTCCAGACCCCTGCATCAAGACTCCCCTCCTGCCTGGACCTAGCCCAGGCTTTCTAGACATCTTTCCTTTCCAGACAGTGGCCATCAGCAAGCTCTCTGGATCCCAGGTTCCCGTGGCTCTGCTCCCAGCCCTTCCTGAAGCCCACGTCCCCTCTTCTCCTCTGCGGATCCTTGGTTTTAAGGGTGATTTTAGACCAAGCATTTGTAGTACTCTTGTGGCTCGGTACCCAGCCCTGCCTTGCCCCAGGCCTCGTTGTCCCCTATTCGTGGGGTCCCCGCACCCACCTGTCACTCCAGGATCCATTCCACTCCACCTGGCCCCAGGGGTTCCGCAGCCGCACCAGCTTCACTTTCTCACCCTTGTACAGGGCCTTGAGCAAAGAGAAAAAGCTTTCTCCCTTTGGGCCCTTTCTGAAAGGGGGTCTTCTGTCTTGCCCTGAGGGCTGGGGTGGGAGTGGGGAGAGAATCCTGTACAGGGGCCTGTCCTGCCTGGCCCCGGTCAAGGACACTAATCACAAGTCCCCTGTGGAATGGCAGGGTGATGGGTCAGAACCTTAGGGCTGAGTCTGCAGGAGTCAGGCTTGGCCACCACCTTGCCGTCTTCTAAGAAGTGATTTTCCCAGTGAACATCTGGCCATTCAGAGCTTTGGGAGAGGAGGCAGGGAATATAATGTAGGGCTCTGCTAGCACAAGTTGCCTCTGTGTGAATTAGATAAAACGCCCCTGCTGGCTGAGGAACTATAGAAAATGTCCCTTCCAGATGGATCAATCAGAAAAAGGGGCCCTTCCTCCTGTCTGCTGCATGGGCTGCTGCAGACGACTGCCCCTCTCTGCCCATCTCTGTGAACAGGGCACAACTCGCCCAATTGTGCACAAGGGGCCTGACAAGGTTCCTGTCTGTGACGTGACCCAGTGAAGGCCAGACATCCCAGGGGAAGCAAAACCTTGGAACTGACCATGAAAAACAAGGAACACAAGAGCCCATGATATCAACTTCATAAAACCAAAGTGCTTTCTATTTGTTCTTTGGAAATGTTGGGGCAATTGCTATCTTTAGCACTAAAAACAAACATAAACTGAGCACCATCTTGTGGCAAGATCCACCTGCCAGTCCCAGTGGTCTCCTCCAACCCCAGGCGCTCGGCCTGAGTTCCTGATTGGAGGCAAATTCTACAGATGTGAAGGGACACAGAAAGCCAAGTCCTGACTTCGGGAGGTTCACCCAAGTAGCCCCTCAAGTCCCGTCCCGCCGAGTCCCGCCAGGCTCACCTCCTCCAGCCCAGTGACTGAGTAGGCGTGGCCTTTGACCAGCCCACAGGCCATTCTTGTCTCGTACTGAACTGGAACAATCGTCTGTGGAGTGAAAACCAGACAACTTGTCAGGGGTTGCTGCCTGAGACAAAGTTCACACTGGTTCATGTCCTGGGTTCTGCGAGGACGAGGACTCCTCCGCGCCCTGGAAGTGTGCCTCCCAGCCATGAGAAGGCCCTCACTAGCCCTTTCAGAGAGCCAAGAAGATGCAGCCCAGACAAGTGGTTTCCCCAGACCGTCGGAGAGCGACATGGAGCTGGGGCACGAGGTGGGTGAGAGCGTGCCTGGCCCTCCTTTCTGGATCCCTTGGGGTCCTGCAGAGGAGGAAGTGGGGGCAGATGAAGGCTGCCCTGGATTGGGCTCCCCTTCCCCTGAGCCCACCCAGGGTTGACTATTCCTGGAAGAGAAAGGGATTGGGAAGAGGGGGTTAGACGAAACATGTAGGTCTAACCCTTTATCTTCACATCCCCTCACTTCCTCCACACCCCCCCAGAACATGCTCAAGAAATCAAAAGCGCCCAGGGAGAGAATTCTGAGGAGGCCAGAGGAGAGTCCTGCTGAGACATGACCATGCCTCAGGGAGCAGGGGTAGTTCCTCCATTTGAGATTTGCAGCCACAGGAGATCCTGGGCAGAGGGGTAGGATCACCAAAGCCCAGTGAGCCCTAGACGGATCTCTGTGGCTTCACTTTGCCTGATAGCATAACAGCTTTAAGAGGAGCAGCCTGGAGGCCTTTTCAAGGTGAGGGGTGTGTGGAGGGCCAGGGCTTTTTGCATCTCAGCCTCTTCCAGATTCCAGTCTTTATAGGACCCAGACCATGCTGAATAGAAAGGGAGGGGGGCAGGAGATGCGTGCATCTCTCAGTTCTAGGTGGTGGGGGGAGGGGAGGGGGGGAGGGAGCCACTTGAAATGACTCTTGTGGCATTACTTATGCATACCTAGCTATTCCACTGCTGGCCATCTGTCCTAAGGAAATCATCATGGACAGACACAAAGATGTATCTTATAGGATGTTCATCGTAACATTTAAACGTAATAGCCAAGACCAGAAAAAGAAAACAATCTAAATTCCCAATAATAAGGTATTGGGTAGATAAATTATAACTTATTAGCATGGTGGGATATTGTGCAGCCACTAAAAAAAATGTTAGAGGAGACACATTAAGAATATAATTCTCATTGCCACATTCGGAATATAAAGCTAACTGAAAAAAAGCATGCTGCAAAGAGGTACATACAGTATGACAGCTATTTTAAAATAAAAATTTAGTTTAATAGTATGCATAGAAAAATACTAGAAGGACGTATACCAAACGTTATTATCCTTAGATGGGGAAAATAATAGCTTAATTTTTCTTCTGCTTTACTCCATGGCACGTATTACTTCTAAAAGTACTAGAATATAAGCTCTGGGGCGGGGGTGTTGGGGGGAGACTGCTTGTTCACTAGAATCCTAACCAAAGGGGAGAGAATTTTCTGTGTTTGCTAGAAGAGTGCCTAGTGCCTAGTAGGAGCTCAATAAATATGTGTTGCATACATAAATGAACAAATTAGAAGGAGAGAAGTACTTTAAAATGAATGAAGTCTCTCTTGTATTTCTGTCTGTTAATTCGTTATCAGAGAAACTGCCTGGACCATGGAGTTTGAAGGACCTCCCACAGAGATTCCCTCCAAAAGCTGCCTCCCGCACCTTCCTCAGGAACCTTGGAGAGGGCAAGTTATTCCAACCCAGACCCTTGGAAGGCCTCAGGAGGAGCCTGTGTGTGAGGTGCTGGCTGCTGAGGAAGGTTTGACACCACATACAACAGGGCTGGGTCATGCAGGTGGGAGGGATGGTCAGCCCTGACAATCAGAGGCGTACACACCCGGGTTGGTCTGTCATCTGAGAATCCCTCAGGGATGAGGTCTGAATCCCTGAGATGCGAGTTATTCATATTCCTCACCATCCGCTCAATCAAGTCCCTCATGTTCAGACCAGAAGGAGAGGTTCCATAGGTCATGTTTGTGCCATCCTGAGGCCCGACGGGGAGGGCAGGGGAAGGGGCGGGAGAGAAAGCAAACAAAGGAGGGTGATAGAAAGGGAAGGAGAGAGAAAGAAGGGAGGGGACAGACAAAAGAAAAGAGTAGAGATAAGTAGAGCATGAATGTAGAAAAGATGGAGAACAGTGGTGCAGAAAGAAAATGTTCATCCATGGGTGCTTTACGCTGGCTCATCTTCCCAAGCTTCCCCATCTACTGGGTGTACTAGGAGAGGAAGGAACAGGAATTTAGCTTGGGGCTCTTCTTCAGCAATGGAAATCGCCAAGACTATTTATTATACATTGAGCAGCCCCCAGGAAAGGTGTGTCTCCTGGCCAGTCTGCCATTCCCTTACTCTTGGCTCTGGTCTCAGTTCACACCACTTTGTTGCACAGGCTGAGTTTCTCCCAGATTACAACACAAAGCCCGTATCCCAAGTGAGAGATACAATCAAAGCTCAATGACCGGGAGGCTTTCTTAGGGAACTGGTGGGCTCAGGTCCATAAGCCAAGTGTGTGGCCAGCTTAATAGTGGCATGCTGGGACTGAGAAACACTGACCACAGAGGTCTACACTGACATAGGCCTCTGGACCTATTTCCACCTAAATTCCAGGGCTTAGAATGTCGTTGCTGAATATCTTTATTGAAAATCTCCACAAACTCTTCTCCCTTGAGAAATTCCCAATTTTCAAAGTTGAGAACCAGTTCCACCTTCCTAAAACAGTAGATTCACCCTGTCCCAGAGGAAAGCCCTATGCTGCTAGTCACTGGGTAAGGCTTCCCAATAGTTGGCAGCTTCCTGCCCTGCATCCCACACCCTAGACTTACATCAATGGAGCAACCCATGAGGGAGCCCCTCTCGATGGCTTTCTTCATGATCTTGTACATGTCTCTGGGAGCATCCTTGATTTCAAAAAACTCTGTTACTCCTCCTGTGAAGTCCTCCATGGCCTCTGTAGTGTTCCCACCTTTCAGGGCTTCATATGAACCATGGAGCCTTAGAGAGAGGATGAAGACCAATCTGGGGTCACAGGGTTCTAGGAAACATGACCCAGGTACCCCTACCACCAGAACTTTACTCTTTGGTCCTGTGATGTTGTCTCATCCAGTTCACCAACAAGCCTGTAAGCTGTTGGAATAGGTACTATGATTCCCTTTCTTCACAATGGAGAAACTGAGCTCTAGAGGCTAAGTGACCAGCTAAGGCCACAGAGAGGAGAAACACTGGGATGGAACCCACTATTCCCACTTCCTGATGCTTTCCACTATACCCTGAACCTGAGGTAGGGCTCTGTTAAAGCCATTAGTAGCTGGGGTGGGGCTTCTAAGTTTAGAGACAACATGGCTTTATTAATATATTGCAAGCTCATGAGGTGGAGCCAAGCCAGACTCTGGGATCTGAGCTCCAAAGATATAATGCCACCAAGAAGGCAGGATTAAAGAGCTCACTACGAGAAGCTAAAGCTAAAGATTTCCTATACACGTCTTATTTCTACTCTTAGTGGTTTTACTTAGAATCACTGCTGCCTGGACCAGATCTTCTCTGACTTTGTGTCACAGTTGAAGACACACACACACACACACACACGCACGCACACACACAGATCTTCTCTGACTTTGTATCACAGTTGAAGACACACACACACACACACACACACACACACACACACACACACACGGGCTGGATTTTGCAGTCCACCTCCTCGCCTCTAGCCCTGCCTCTCAGTCTAAAGTTCTGCTTACTTAGCATAAGCCTTCTCCAGCAGAGCGCTCCAGAACTCATTGTGGTGGTTGGATTTGGTGAAAACCAGTTCATTGTTGTAAGTCGGCAGGCAGTCATCAATAACCACGTCCACCCAGTCTCCATAGCGCCAGAACTGCACAGAAGCGTCAAGCATAGAGTCACATCCTCAGATTACCATTGGGAAATGTGTCCCTACCCCACATTCCTTAATACCAAGCACCTTGGGTTTGGAGTGTGTGACTCTTTCTCTAACTGGACTGGGAGCTCCTTGAGGGCAAGAAGTGGTTTACAAACCACCCTGTCTTCCACCCAGTCCAGCTTGGTATGGGGGATGGTAGGCGCTCCTACATACCTGAGGGCTTGAGATTTTCCTTTTCCTGCTCTGTAAGTCTGGGGTGTGGCTTAGATATCAGTATTTTTAGGCATCTCAACTGATCCTGATATGCAGTCAGGGTTGAGAACCACTGGTCTAGGTGAAGATGATGTATGATTTCTGTATTTCTTGATGACAAATAAGGTAGAAATTGCTGCTGAAGAAGAAGGATTGACGTGGAAAAGGAAAGTGACCCAGAATATACTCTGGCTAAAGCAGGAACACTGTCCAATATTCTTAATTCTGGATGATGTTCTTTTTTGAACAAATCAGTTTTGACCCAAGAAATCCAAATGTAGTTTAATTTCCTTATAATGACATTTTCTCCCTTATGGACAAGAGGGCAAAAACCTGTCTGGTCTTTGTGTTTATGATCCTTTAGATATCAGACCTTTTAAATATTTGAGGGAGGTGAGTAGCTTGATTTTGAAGAAACAAAATTCAGGGCCCAGCTGCCTTGCCTGAGCTGGGACGGCAGCAGGACACTGATCCTCAACGTGCAGAGAAGACCCTTTCTGACGTCTTCAGTCCTGGGATAGGAGATCAACTGATGATCTGGGTCAGCCCTTAAGGGCTGGAGACAGATTGATGCCTCAGAACCCCGATATCTGCTAGATGCCCACATACGAAGCTCATTTCAGTTCTGGGCCAGCACAGGGTTTGGCTCTTTGCCAGGACAATTTGGATCCAGAAAGTTTCCAATGGCTGAATTGATTCTGGAACCAAAAGACTCATTGCTGGGCCGAAGCAGAAGCCTGGTTCCCAGATTAACCAGACTTTTCTTCCAGAGGCTGGAAAGGGTGCGTGATAGTCTTGGTATAGACCTGTGTTTAAGGGACACAAGTAAAAAGGAGCTGCAGCCGTGGATGGGATTTCCTTTACAACCTAAAGGGCCCTCTGGATTCCCAGTGCTAGTATCTTAGGGATTTACTTGAGAAGGGCTGCCAGTAATAGCACAGAAGCCAGCCAGCTGGAGAGGAAAAAATAGACCCACAGGTCAGCAAACAGGATATCCTCCAACCTTTCTGGGGCCTAGCGGAAGGTGTAGGGGTTTGAGGATAGGAAGAGATAAACAACTGCTTCCTCACAGGCTTGAGGCCTGAAGGGGATCACTGCCCACATCCATGGCCGGGAGGGTGGGTGGGAACCTTTCCTGGAGCCACTGGGAAGTGAAGGCAGGGAGACCAGTGGTGAGTAGACAGCAGCTGGCCCTCTTAACTACACTCCCTTGACCTCACCTGGAAGTGAAAGATCCCCGCGTAGTTTTCGGTGAAACTCTGATCATGGGGTATGACCCGGAAAAGCAGTCGCTTGTTCAGGGTCAGGCAAGCGATGGCTGCGAGAAACCAGCAGTCCCCTGCAGGCAAACACGCGGCACAGGTCACGGGAGGGCCCACACCTCCAGGGAAGACGGAGACTCCATCCCCATCGGCTGCTCTACTTCTCTGGAGAAGGGCGTTCACTTGGCATTCACTGTCCCACTTCCAGATCTGACCTTACAGAGGTGTCAACCCAGGGAAGGCGTGTGACAGCAGTCTCTGGACCATGTGATCGACAGGGTAACTTACTCCCTTGTGACTGGCTTTCCTGAAAGCTGTAAGCAATTCCTCTGTCTGCAACATAAGCTCAGACCTCCATTTGGACCTCAGTGGAGATGGGGCAGTAGGGGTCATAACTGGGTCATTCTTTCCAACACCCACAGGAAATCTGCCTGCCCTGTAACTTTGCAGTGTGAGTCCATTTCCCCTTCGGACCTTGGCAGAGACTGAGCATCTGAGAGCCATCAGTGCAGCCCATTTGTATTGTAAGGAAAGCTGACTAGTAGTTGGAGGCGGCACTTTGCCCTCTGTATGTGTGTGTATGCATGTGTGAATGCCCAAGGGGCAGGCCTGGATCACTAACAGAGCACAGACTACATACAAGGCCTTCGTTGTGCTCTGTGGGATATGACAGCATCTTTGAGACTGCAGAGGGGAGGCTGAGAGCTGCCACAGCCCTCCTCCCACCATTGGCCCCCCCCAGACCCCCCCAGGCAGCCAGCCTCTCCTCTGAAACAGGCCGATTATTAGCTTGCCCAGGGCTCTGCAGGCAGTCTTCCCTCGAGTGCAGGAACTCAGATATCCAAAACTTCTTCAGCCTCTCCTTCTGGGGCCAGATTAGCCAAATTCATTTGGTCTTGAGTGCCCTTTTCCCACAAGTTTTAAACTGTGTTTGTCGATGTCTCTCCAACTTTATTTCACAGAGCTTTCCCACAGTCCACACCAAAGATAATACTTCCCGAACAAGAGGCTGAGACAGAGGAGACTGGTGAAGCAGACAAGCTAACCAACCAGACAGAAAATTGACACTCATCCACATGGCAAATGTCATCTTTGTTGAAAGACTCGTTTAATATGAAGCTATTCTGGGGCAATTTCAACAAGAGTTCGAGTTACAAAAGCACATTTTGTGAGCATATAGATTCTGTGTGCCCAAGGGACATGCGTGGTACATGGACAGTTTCAGAGCTGACTTCTAAGGAAGGTGGGTACAGCTAAAAGCAGGGCTTTTGTCTCGCTGAGTGGGGTGTGTGAGTGTCCTGGAGACTCTGGAGAGGAGGCTGTGGAATGAGGCACACCTCCTGTGACACAAGGCAAAGAACTAGTGAGAAAGGTGGGAAGGACAGAAATTAAATGAAGCAATCACCAGCACGTTGATAAATGAGTATAAGGTAATGTTATCAAAACCTCCTCCCCCCAATTCATTAAAAGCAAAAACAGATTATTGTCCCTTTACTTACTGTGAAGGGATCACACCTTTTAATCACCCCTTGATTGTTTGGCTAGATATGACCCGAGGGACTTTCCTACCTAGATCTCCTTGACAGATGTCAGTTCTGTTGGCTCCGCCAATGATAAATCGGGGATTCTCACAAATTTCCTGTGAAACAAAAAGGAAATAATAATAGTAGCAGTAGCTATTATTTACTGAGGTCCATACGTAGTACTGGCATCACATATCAAGAGTTTTACACACACCACCCATTTAAACCTCCAAAAACAGCCCATGAATTGGATACTATCATTCTTGTTTTTCAGATGAGGACACCAAGGCTCAGAGAGGTTAAGAAACCTGCCCAAGGACACACAGCTAGTAAGTGAGAGAAGCCAGATACATGGCTTCTTTTCCCATTGTTCCACACTGCTCCCTCACACTGATATACTGTCTGAGTAAAGATGCACCTTGAGAGTTAGGGCAGTGTCATTACTGTCACAGCTTTGGAGGGACACTAGAAAACATGGCTCTTGCTTTTTTTTTTCTCTGCCAGGGAAAAGAGGTACAGGAGGGAAAGTAAAGATCTTTTCCCCCAAGACATGGTAACATAGATATTTAGTATCAGCATATGTCCCAAGGGCCACAGGACTTGAAAGCTGGGGAGAGCCGAGGGTAAATTTGGTGTGGGCCTCAGAGGCCTCCCCATCTGTTGGCGGGTGCGTTCTTTTTTATTTTTGGCGGGTGCGTTCTTTATTCAAGGTAACCCAATAGGACATCCCTGGCCTGAGCAGTTTTCAAATCCAGGCACTACCAAATATGTGTATTCCAACAGAGACCGACAGAGGGTGCTCTTGTTTTTGTTTGGATGTGTCATGCTTTGGGTTTTTTTTGTTTTTTTTAAATTTATTTTAAATTTTTTATTATTTTTTATTTTTTGGCTGCGTCGGGTCTTCGTTGCTGTGCGCGGGCTTTCTCTAGTTGCAACAAGTGGGGTCTACTCTTCACTGTGATGCGCAGGTTTCTCATTGCAGTGGCTTCTCTTGTTGTGGAGCATGGGCTCTAGGCGTGCGGGCTTCAGTAGTTGCAGCATGCGGGCTTCAGTGGTTGCCGTGCATAGGCTCAGTAGTCGTGGTGCGTGGGCTCTAGGGCGCGCGGGCTTCAGTAGTTGTGGTGCACGGGCTTAGTTGCTCTGCGGCGCGTGGGATCTTCCTGGACCAGGGCTCGAACCCATGTCCACTGCATTGGTAGGCGGATTCTTAACCACTGTGCCACCAGGGAAGTCCCCATGCTTTGTTTTTTAACTTTTGAAATAATTGTAGATTCTGTGTTTTTGTTTTAACACCGTTCTTCACAGCTTCAAGAAGCTTATCCCAGTGACACAGCCCTCTCCTTCTGTTTCCCCCATCACAACAAGCTGGTATACTCACATGAGTTGAAGCTCCCTGCACTCAGGAATCTCTCTCTCCTACTAGATGGAGAGTCAGTCGTGCTTAGACCACACCACACACAAATCCCGCCTGAAGTTCTTAATCAATGGAAGGATAAACCCAAAACAATAATTTTTAAAAAGATTACCTATAGGAGAGGGAAGGATTAAGGGGGTGAATATAGGGATGGAAGTAAAACTCTGAATATAACTGTTTGAAAATAGTTTTGACTTAGGAATCATGTAAATTTTATGGAATTAAAAGCCAAAATTAAAGACAATTTTAAAAAGCAATCTTTAAAAGCTGAGAGCAAATTGAAGCAAAGGAACCAAACTGCTTATCAAATTGATGGCATGGCCACACACATAAAATGAATTCTTGGGCTTCCCTGGTGGCGCAGTGGTTGAGAGTCTGCCTGCCAATGCAGGGGACGTGGGTTCGTGTCCCGGTCTGGGAAGATCCCACATGCTGCGGACTGGCTGGGCCTGTGAGCCATGGCCGCTGAGCCTGCGCATCCGGAGCCTGTGCTCCACAACGGGAGAGGCCGCAACAGTGAGAGGCCCGTGTACCGCAAAAAAAAACAACAAAAACAAGAACAAAGAATTCTTTCAAGTGAATTAAAATATAAAATTTTGGTTGTTTATTCCTTTTGGGATATAGCCTAAGGTCAAAAACCAAAACCATAAAGAAATGTGAACCATAATAAAGAAAAATAACATTGTTATTACTTCAAAACTTTGACATGTAGGATAAGGTAAATAAGAATGTACATTAATGTCATTAGGAACCAGGATATTTTTAGTGTAAAAGAAAATATGTAAAATGATAAAACCGAATGACTTAAGTAACAACCCTGCAGTGTTAAAGTTGAATTGGATATATAACTCATGATTTATTTTTGTCTCCCTAGAAAAAATTTTCTATCTCTCTGCACTAAAACAAAAGAAACAAAAAAAACTAGAAGCAGTAAAAATCTAGCAGTAAAGAAAACATCAACATCCAGAATGTGGTCTTTAAAAACCATTTCCCACTAATAAAATATAAAACTCTCATTATTCCAAATAAGACTCTTTCCTCTTAACAAAGAAACCAATTAAGGTATAGTCAACATATGTTATTTTTGTCTCCCCAGTGTTTTGCCTCCTTAAAATACATACCACTGTCTCCTGGCATTACACCTCAATTTTCAACTGGGGAGCAGCACCGCTGTCAGCCCATGTTGTTCTGGTGGGCTTCCCTCTTCACCCAGATCCAGATGGCTATTAAGGGCAATTAGAGTGAGAGTGACTGGTTCAGGGATGGGCACATGACCAAATCTGGGCCGATGAGATATGGGCCAAGACTTCCGTTGTAACTATTGAGAAAGAAATACATATTCCTCTGGGAGTTACTAAGCTGGTGGAGTGTCAGCCTGAAGCTGCTGGTGGCCATTTTTGCCCCTTTGTGAAGTTAGCCCACTTGAGAATAAAAGATAACTCAGAGGAAGCAGATGGGGGAGTGGGTGGAGAGGTCGGAGGTGATATAAATAGATAGACAGGTAGATAGACAAATAGATGATATTAGGGATTGTGTCTTGATGACATTGTTTGAGGCCTGGATTCAGTGTGTCTAAACCTGATCATCACTTTTGAACATTCAAGTTATAGAGCTTTTTTTCGGTTTAAGTTAGTTTGTGTTGGGCCTCTGTTACTTGCCAGCTGAGACACTTGACTACTGAATGTCATGCCCTGTTATAAGGAATATATTGTAGAGTAACTCAAATACTAGAATTATAGCTACATTTTTTAGCTGTCATAAGGATAGATTTCTCTCCTTGGGTCTATAGGTACAGAAGCACACCTCATCTCCTCACCTGCCACCAATTCCAGGGCTGACTACTTGGAAAGGCAGTAGCAACTGCACTGCTTTCTCTTCCATCTGCTTAGAGGTCCAGGTATTTGAATGGAGTTACATTTTTTGCAGTAGTAGAGATTCCCCAATATACTACATTTACCTTCAATACTACCTCAGCTAAATTCACCAAACATTAATTGAGCTTCCAAGTATGCACAGGGCTGGGGGATTTAAGGATATAATAAAAATAGGAAATCGTCCCTGCCCGCCCTCCAGGAAACCCCCAACCTAGGGACCCTCAGTTGTTTGTCCTCGTGAGAGATGTCTGTTTGGTGAGGGTCAGTTACCAAACTTGTTGAGGGTTAATTCATAGAACAGCTAGATTTACCTAGATACCCCTTCCCACCACCTACTTTCCTGGAGTATCTGAGATCTGTTTTTGTTGGTTAATATGAACAAAGGGTAAATTGTCCTGGCTCTGTCACTTTAACTTGGGGACCTAAGACTTCCGGTCACTTGTTTGGCTATAATTTAGCATGGAGACTGGATCTGTCAGTGATGGATTCCCAACAATTAGCAACAGATGACCATTTCCTCAGTTTCTGAGTGCTGTGGTTTGCAAACATTTTTTTTATTGTATACCTCCGTCATTAAAATATTCTGAACATGCAACTGTACATATTCTTATTAGTTTTAAATTATGTGTGTGTGTTATCCTAACATACAATGTGCATTATAAGAAAAACAAAAGCATACATTTAAAAGGGTGGGCTAATATAGATATATGTAGGGGACTTCTGGTTTCAGCTCCAACATGTAAAAAGCTTGGAAGTCATCCCTCCCATCCTTACCACAAGAAAAAGCCAAACACCTGAAAACCAGTGACTTTGCTTGGATCCATCAGAGAACTGAGGTTGCAGGGCAACCTACCACCCTGAGATATGGACACAAGTGAAACCAGAGAGTTATAGCCAAGATCTGTTTATCTGGAACAGAAGCTGCCTCAGCCACAAACTGGGAGGAACACTTAAATGGTTACTTTGATGAATTTCAGGAAGCTGAGTGTGGACTAGCACAAAACTGAGAAACTTCTGGAGGCCACAGTTTTGGGAGAAACCCCTAACCCTTTCATGGGTTTTACCTCCAAAAATCCAAGTTCTCATGGTGAAGACCCAAGAAAGATCCCCCCTACAGGGGAAAAGACTTTTCCAGTCTTACCTATGTTGGGGGAAGTGTATTACTCCCACTCCAGCCACCTCCAGGCTTTCTCACCTAAGAAGGGGTAAAAGCTGTACCAATGGAGAAACGTGTATGAAGGTCATAGCCCAGAGAGACAGTCTCATTAAAAGGAAGAACTTTAATCATTAGATTATAGAACACTTCCCCTCCCTGATCATACCACCACATCAACAGAGCTCCAGTGAAATAACAGTGACTTACAGCTGAAAGAGCTGCAAGATGTAAACTCTGATAAGTATTTAGGAAAGCCCAAAGTCAAGAGAGGAGACAAAACAAGGATATTAAAGGAATTTGAAGCTTCTGACTCCTGCAGCTGGAGGAAACAAACACAGCACAACTTCTAGCCAGCTTAACGTAAATCCTTATACCAAAGGCTAATGTATCTCAGTTCTTATTACCCAAAGCAATGTGTCTGGCTTTCAGTAAAAAATTACAAGAGATGCCCCAAAGCAGGCAAATGCAATCTGAACAGCAAGCATCAGAACTAGATTCCAATATAACATAGATGTTGGAATTATCAGGCAGGGAATTTAAAATAACTATGATAAGTATGTCAAAAAGTCTAATGGAAAAAGTACATAACATTTAAGAAAAGATGTGCAATATAAGCAGAGAGATGGAAACTCTAAGAAAGAATCAAAAGGAAATGATAGAAATAAAAGACAGTATAACATGTATTTGATGGGCTCATCAGTAGATTAGACATGGACAAGAAAAAAAAATCAGTGAAATTGAAGATGAGACAATAGGAATTTCCTAAAGTGAAATGCAAAGAGAAAAATATAACAGCAAAAACAACAACAACAAAACAGAGCAGAACATCCAAGAACTGTGGGACAATTCAAAAGGTTCAGCATATGCATAATTGGAATACTGGAGGGAAAGAACAGAGCAGAAGAAATATTTGAAGTAATAATGTCCAAGAACTTTCCAAAATTAATGACAGATACCAAATCACAGATCCAAGAAGCACAAAGAACATCAAGTAGCATAAATGCCAGCAAAATAAAACATAACTACACTTAGGCATATCATATTCAAACTGCAGATAACCAAAGATAAAGAAAAGATCTTCAAAGAAGCCAAGAGGGAGAAAAATGCCTTTGCTCTAGAGGAAAAAAGACAAGAATTATAGTAGACTTCTCTTCAGAAACCATGCAAGCAAGAAATATTTAAATTGATGAAATATTTAAATTGATGAAAGAAAAACCCACCAACCTAGCATTCTATATGCAGAGAATTTATCTTTCAAAACTGAAGGAGACTAGAGGCTTTCTCAGACAAATAAAACCACAGGGAATGGACTTCCCTGGTGGTGCAGTGGTGAAGACTCCATGCTCCCAATGCAGGGGGCCCCGGTTCGATCCCTGGTCAGGGAACTAGATCCCACATGCATGCCACAACTGAGTGCGCATGCCACAACTAAGGAGTCAGCGAGTTGCAACTAAGGAGGCTGCTGGCTGCAACTAAGGAGCACACATGCTGCAATTAAAGGAACACACCTACCGCAGCTAAGACCCGGCACAACCAAATAAATAAATAAAATAAATGTTTAAAATAATAACCCACAGGGAATTCATTTCCAGCAGACTTGGCTTGCAAGAAATGTTTAAATAAGCTCTTCAAGGAGAAGGAAAATTATATAGATCAGAAACCTGGACTACATAAAGAAAGGAAGCGCATCAGAGAAGGAATAAATGAAGGTAAAATAAAACTTTTAGTTTTCTTATTTTTAATCTAAAGATAACTTTATTTAAAGTAATAATCACAACAACGTGTTGAGTAATTATATCATATGGATAAGTGAAATGCATGACAGTAATGTCATGGGAAGGAAGGGAGGAATTGGGAATTTTCTGTTATAAGGTACTAGACTACATATACAGTGGTATATGTTATTTGAAGGTGAAATCAGATTAGTTGTAAGTGTATATTGGAAACTTTAGCATAACCATTAACATTTTTTAAAAAGTATAATTGATATACTTAAGAGATAAATGGAATCATATAGAATACTCAATTAAAACCAGAGAATGCAGGAAAGGGGAGAGGAGAGAAACAAAAATTGCAACAAATAGAAAACAGTTATAAACATAGTAGATATTAATCCAACTATATTATAATCACTTAAATGTGAATGGCCTAAATACATCAGTTGAAAGATAGAGATTGTGGGCTTCCCTGGTGGCGCAGTGGTTGAGAGTCTGCCTGCCGATGCAGGGGATGTGGGTTTGTGCCCCGGTCCAGGCAGATCCCACATGCCGCTGAGCGGCTAGGCCCGTGAGCCATGGCTGCTGGGCCTGCACGTCCGGAGCCTGTGCTCCGCAACGGGAGAGGCCACAACAGTGAGAGGCCCGCGTACCGCAAAAAAAAAAAAAAAAAAAGGTAGAGATTGTGAGAATAGATTTTTTTAAAAGACCCAACGATATGTTATCTACAAGAAAATCACTTTAAATATAAAGAGTCGGATAGCTAGAGAAGGATACACCATGCTAATGCTCATCAAAAGAAAGCTGGAGGGCTTCCCTAGTGGCACAGTGGTTAAGAATCCGTCCTGCCAATGCAGGGGACACGGGTTCGAGCGCTGCTCTGGGAAGATCCCACATGCCACGGAGCAACTAAGCCCGTGCGCCACAACTACTGAGCCTGCGCTCTAGAGCCCGCGAGCAACAACTACTGAGCCCACGTGCCACAACTACTGAAGCCCACGTGCCTAGAGCCCGTGCTTCGCAACAAGAGAAGCCACCGCAATGAGAAGCCTGCGCACCACAATGAAGAGTAGCCCCCGCTCGCCACAACTAGAGAAAGCCCGCGTGCAGCAACAAAAGACCTAACTCAGCCAAAAAAAATAGATAAATAGATAAATAAATTTAAAAAAAGAAAGAAAGAAAGCTGGAATAGCTGTATAAATTTCAGACAAAGCAGACTTCATTACAAGGAAAATTATCAGAGATAAAGAGATGCATTACATAATGATAAAGGAGTACTTTGTCCAAGAAAACATACAATCCTAAATGTGGATGCACCTAACAATAGAGTGTCAAAAGACATGAGGCAAAAAGTGATACATCTAAAAAGAAAAATAGACAAATCTAGTATTATAGTTGGAGACTTTAACACCCCTTGTTCATGAACTTCAGCAGGTAGAAAATCAATAAGGATATAGTTGACCTGAATGGCACTAGCAATCAACTTAATCTAATTAACATTTATAGACTACTCCACCCAACAATAGCAGAATACGCATTCTGCTCTCAATATCACATGGAAGAGTCACTAAGATAGACCACATTCTGGGCTATAAAACACACCTCGACAAATTTAAAAGAATAGAAAATATGCAAAGTATGTTTTCAGACTATAGTGGAATGAAACTAGAAAGCAATAACAATAAGATAACTGGAAAATCCCAAATTATTTGGAAATTAAACAACACACTTCTAAATAACACACAAGTCAAAGAAGAAGTTTCAAGAGAAGTTAAAAATTGCTTTGAACGGGCTTCCCTGGTGGCGCAGTGGTTGAGAGTCCGCCTGCCGATGCAGGGGACGTGGGTTCGTGCCCCGGTCCGGGAGGATCCCACATGCCGCGGAGCGGCTGGGCCCGTGAGCCGTGGCCGCTGGGCCTGCGCTCCGCCTGTGCTCCGCAATGGGAGCCTGTGCTCCGCAATGGGAGAGGCCACAACGGTGAGAGGCCTGCGTACCGCAAAAAAAAAAAAAAAAAAAAAAAAAAAAAAATTGCTTTGAACTAAATAAAAATATATCATCAAAATTTGTGGGATGCAGTGAAACCAGTGCTTAGAGGAAAATCTATAACATTAAGTGCATATATTAGAAAAGAAGAAAGATCTGATATCAATACCAATAGTCTACCTCAGGACACCAGAGAAAGAAAAAAAATTTAAGCTCAAAGCAAGCAGAAAAACAGAAATAATAAAAGAGCAGAATCAATGAAATTGAAAATAGCAAAACAACAGAGAGCATCAATAAAGCCAAAAACTGGTTCCTTGAAAAGGTCAATAAAATTAATAAACCTGTAGCCATGCTCACCAAGGAAAAAAGAGAGAAGACACCAATTACCAACAGCAGAAATTGAGAGATCACCACTACTGATCCCAGGGACATTAAAAGGATAATAAAGGAATACTGCAGATACCTCTAAGCCCACAGATTTGATAACTTTAGATAAAATGGACTAATTTCGTAAAAGACACGAAACTCACACAAAGACAAACAGACCATCTGAATATGGCTATACCTATTGAAGAAATTTATTCAATGATTAATAACCCTCCAAAAAAAAAGCACCAGATCCAGATGATTTATTGGTGAATTCTATGAAACATTCAAGGAAGAAATGATACAAATTCTCTACAATATCTTCCAGAAAAATCGAAGCAGAGGGATCACTTCCTAACTCATTCTATGAGGCCAGTATTACCCTAATACCCAAACCAGAAAAAGACATTGCCAAGGAAAACTACAGACCAGTATCTCTTATGAAAATAGAAACCAAATCCTCAAAAAAAAAAAAAATTAGTAACTCAAAAACAACAATGTATAAACAAAATTATACACTACAAGTATATAATTTACCTGGGATTTATTCCAGGTATGCAAGACTGGTTCAACATTTGAAAATCAGTCAATGGCATCCATTACAACAGGCTAAGAAGAAAAATCACATGATCATATATCAGTTGATGCAGAAAAAGCATTTAACAAAATTCAATACCCATTCATGATAAAAATCCTAGGAATACAGGGGAATGTCCTCAAGTTGGTAAAGAAAATTTACTTTTAAAAAGTTTTAAACGAACTGCAATTATGTTCATATTTAATGTTAAAAAATTAGATGCTTTCCCCTTAAGGTCAGAAACAAGTCAAAATGTCTCCTCTTACCACTCTTATTCGACATCATACTGAAAGTCCTAGCTAATGAAATAAAACAAGAAAAGGAAATAAAATTTATAAAGACTGGAAAGGAAGAAATAAGCTCTTTATTCACAGATGACATAATTGTCTATGTAGAAAATCCCAAACAAATGCCAAAAAGAAAAAAAAAAACCTTTCTGGAACTAATAAGCAAGCACAGTTGCAGGATAGAAGGTTAGTATATAAAAGTCAGTCGCTTTCCTATATACCAGCAATGAACAAATGGAATTTGATAAAAACAAAAACAAACTTCATTTACAATAACACATACACACACAAAGAGAAATACTTTGGTATAAGTTAGTATGAACTCATGTTTTGCTTATTATAAATACTGATAGTTAATACAGAAATACAGTTATGTCTGGGATGAGTCCTAGGAATCTGCATTTTAAACTGGCATCCCAAGGTGATTCTGATGCAGGTAGTCCAAAGACCACACTTTGAGAAGCACAGAGTAGCTGAATACAGTTGAAACAAATGGACTCCTCAATTGCCAGGCAGTAAGGTATCCTTGAGCAAACTGCTTCTCCCTGTAGGGAGTGTGGCTGGTCAGCATGGACCTTTTTGTTTACACAGAAGTGACACATCACTAATGAACCACCCTTAGGCAAGAAGTTAAGAAGGCAAATCTCTAGCCTCCTGCAGCCTTCTATGTCATAACCGTTCACCAGCTTCCAGGGAACTCTCCTTGAAACTGTGAGCCCTAGTCCTCTTCACCACTCCACTTTCCCACCCCCAGAATACCTGCTCTCGAGAAGAAACATCAATTATTCCTTACTGTTTTACTACGAATTTAAGTCAGTGCATTAGCTCTCTTAAAAATATTTACAGTCTCAGGGATCTATAAAGTATTAAATAATCTCTAGTTCAGGAATAGAAAATAACAGCTCCAGTTTCAGGAGGAAGCAGGAATATATTTTGGGGGCAAATGGGTAGGAGAATGTTGATAAGCCACTTGCTCAGATCCGGGATCTGTGGCCTCAGGCTCTGGACCACTTGACCTCCCATTCCCAAGAGCTGTCTCCTGAAGCCCCGTCCCTCCTATCCCTACCTTTGGCCTTTTCCACATGATGGCCTTCATCTTGGTTTTCTGGCTCAGCTCATGGGAGCCCAGGGACTGAACACCTGCTGGGAACACACGGTCTTCAAAGAGGCACTTCTGAGCCAGGCACCGTTGTCTGAGAACAACAAAATCCTGCCCCTCATACTTGAGGGGCCGTGTGGCGGTGCCTTCTCCGTTTCTCCTGTCCCTCTCCCGGATCACACGGTCACAGAAGAATCCTGGCAGCAGGTAGGGCATGGTGACCACTCAGGGAGTGGAGCTGGGACTTCACTGTGGCCTCTCTCCTGCTGCGCCCTCAGTCCAAGGCCTAATCCTCCCGTGAATGGGCCGGAGCCTATATAGCTCCTCCACTCTCAGCAGCGCAATGCAAATGAACACAGCCCAGAGAAAGGCCGTGGTCAGAGTCAGCAGCTTTGGCTGGAGGCCCCTGAGCCCACGGTCAAGGGGCAACACCATGCCAGTCAGACAGGGAGCTGGCAAGGGGAGCGAGAGAGCCAGGGACAGCCCCAGGACAGGCCACAAGACCTGCAGACCTTCAGGCTACTTCCATCAGCCTTGCTGGGATTCTTTCTTTAAAAAGAGAAAATATAGTTACAGAGAGGCTTACCCTGCCTCAGCAAAAGGCATTCATGCCTTTAACACTGGCGGCCAATGGGATATAGCATGGGGCCTTCGAAACATGCTGTATACACTAATCCTATACAGGCTCCTGAATGCATAGGAGGATTCTGTTCCGGGCCATTGTCTGAGGTTAATGAAGCCTTCATTCTCCTGATGTCCCTGCCCCATCCCCCCAAAGACCTTGACTGGACATTTAGGGACTCTAATCTGTGAGAGGGACCCAGAGGGTAGGTAGCTTGACCTCAAATGAGAGTCCCTGTTAGAGTGGGTCCCAGTGCAGTGAACAGACATCCACCGTTGTGAGTTCAGGACCTTTGAGGCAGAGAAAGTGGTAGATGGGGAAGGAGGATAAATGTGTGTCGGAATATATTCACAAGAAAACTGAGCTTTTTCAAAATTTCACCATGCACAAACGGGCAACTCTAGAGTAAGGGCAGGGAGCTGGCATGGGTGGAAGCTCCGTTCTGGCAGCCTTCCCACTAGGAGGATGCCGTCTCCCTGTCCACTTGTTCACTCTTGTCAGTTTTTGTCAGTGCTTCTCAAAGTGTGGTCTTTGGACTACCTGCATCAGAATCACCTGGGATGCAAGTTTAAAATGCAGATTCTAGGGCTTACCCCAGACCTAAGGATTCAGATCCTCTTGGTAGGGATTTGGGACTCTGCAATTTAAATAAGCACATCAGGGATTCTATGGTCACTAGTGTTTGAAACCATGACATTGGCTTTACAGGACACTATAATAGCTCAACGTAATTCTTTTTTTTTTTTTTTTTTTTCGGTATGTGGGCCTCTCACTGTTGTGGCCTCTCCCGTTGCGGAGCACAGGCTCTGGACACGCAGGCCCAGCAGCCATGGCTCACGGGGCCCAGCCACTCCGCGGCATGCGGGATCCTCCTGGACCAGGGCACGAACCCGCGTCCCCTGCATCGGCAGGTGGACTCTCAACCACTGCGCCACCAGGAAAGCCCTCAACGTAATTCTTGAGGTCAGTTTTTTTAAGAAATTTATTTTTATTCAGTTTATACATGAACAAAGTTTTAAAAAGTCAAACAGAAGTTACCTAGAGGAATAGCAGTCTCTTGCCCTGAAAATTTCTCTCCTCAGAGACAGCCACTTTTAATTCTTTTAGCTCTTTCTTCTGGTATTTACCTCTATATTTCTAAATAATATGCTTATATTATTACTTTTTAATTTATTATTTTTAGAAAGTATCAATAGAATTCCTATTTGGGGGAATGAGATTTAGGTTTCTCACATTATGCTCTGCCCATCATCTTCCCAAAATACTTATGTTATAAATTTTAGAGAAATTAAAATTCATTATTTCCTTTAATATAATTATTGTTCACTTCTTAACTAAGTAGTATGCTGTGTTACATTTCCTTTCTGTATAAATGTTTCTTTTCTCTTATTCTTTATAATTCTCTGATTTTTTAATGTATCCATCAGTGCTTTTCTTCAGCAGTAGTTTTTACAAATACTTAAATGCATAGATAACCTAGAGGTTCATTGCTCCCCAACCTAGGGCCTTCCTTTGCAGCCCTTCTCCCCTACAGACCAGACCAGCAATCTTCCAGGTCTGGAGCAGTGGCCTGGGACTGACTGCCCTTCTCCTGGGTGGAAATCTGTTTCCTGGATTTTAACCCTTCTTTGGTTCACTCCTCGATTTTACTGGCACACAACTTGCAGTTTTCGTAAGAATGGATGAGTGGGAGGTAAGTCACTTGAGTCCTTGCCCATCTATCTCTTTTCTATCTTTGCACTTGATTGAGAATTTGTCTAGGTGTTTTAGGTTGAAAATCAGTTTCTTTCAGAAGTTTTAAGGCATTGTCTCATTGCTCCTGGCATCTGGTGTTGAGAAGTGTGATGCAATTTTTATGAACATTCCTTTGTATGTGACCTGTCTTTTCCCTCTGAAAGCTTTTAGGGTTTTCTCCCTTCTCCCTCTCCCCAACAATCCCCCACCCCAATTCCAAAAGCCACATTTGTGTGTCTTGGTATGAGTTTATTTATTTTTAAAATTCTTTGTGCTGAGCCCTCAGTGACTCCTTTCAAGGTAGAGAATTTTGTCCCCAGTTCTGGGATATTCTTATATTATTTCTTTTACATTTCTCTCCCTTTCAATTATTTTTTCTCCCTTTCTTCCTTTCTCTCTTTCTTTTTTTCCTTTTCCTTGATTTTATATTTTAACCCTGTTATTGAAATGTTAGATTTTAGCTATCACAGTTTTTAAGCTTTTTATTATGAAAAATTTCAAACTTGCAGAAAAGTTTAAAGAATGGACACCCATATAGCTTACATCTACATTCAACAATTGTTAACATTTTGCCATCTTTGTTTTACCTATCTATATATGTATGTATAGATTTTATTATTTTTTTGCTGAACCATTTGAAAGAGTGTTGTTCGTACAATGACAGTTTACACCTAAATACTTAGGGATATACTTAGGATACACCAGGCATCTCCTAAAGACAAGAACACTCTCCTACTGACCATAATGCCATTATCATTAAGAAAATTAACTACTGCTCTCTAATATTATCCAAGATCCAAATCCCTGTGATAGTTTTTTCAGTTGTTCCCCAAATGTCTTTTATAGATGCTTTTATTTTTTGAACCAGTATCCAATGAATGTTCACAATGAAATTTAATAATTCAATAATTGGATTAGGTGGTGTTAAAGTGGGAATTAGTGAATTGGAAGCTACTTCAGAAGAAATCACGTAGAATACCACACAGAGAATCAAAGATGGGAAATTTTTTTAAAAAAGAGGTTAAGATACATATGTGATAGAGCAAGATAAGGTCAGCATATATTTCATTGGAGTTCTAGAAGAAGATAACAGAAAATATGGGGAGAAATAATATTCTAAGAGATTTTCTACAATGGATTAATGACTCCAATCCTCAGATTCAAGATCCCAATGAATCCTAAGCAGGAAAGATATAAAGAAATACACGTTTAGACACAACAATGCAGAATACCATAGACAGAGAGGAGTTTGAAAGCAGTCAGAGAGAAAAGGCAGATGGCCTATTAAGGGATACCAAATAGAATGATTGCTGACTTCAACAACAATGTAATCCAGAGGACAGCACTGAGAATAAACCTAGGGCTGATTACTCAGGAAAAGTATTTTAGGAGTGACAGCAAATTTCACACAAATAAAAATTGAAACGCTTACTACAAACAGACCCCCACTAAAGGAACTTCTAAACAATGTACTTTAGGAAAAAGTAAAATTATTCTAGAAAGAAAAGTCTAAGACTCAGGAAGGATCAGTAAACAAAGAAATTGGCAAATGTGTGTAAATTTAAGCAAATATTGAAAAATTACAATATTTTCTAATTTTAAGGTTGAAAAATCAAGATAGAGATAAAATTCTGAACAACCATGGCATATTAGTTAGAAGAGTACTTAAAGTGCTCTATCTTCCTCATATTATTTATGAGAAAAATAATAGTATTGATATTTCAGGCTTCGTCAAGATAATATGTATGCTAACAATTTAAGGCAACCACTGAAAAGACAGAAACAATCAATAACTTCCAAACTAGTAGAAAGAAAAAAAAAATGAGAGAAAGCACTTTTAATCAATTAAAAGGACATAAAGAGGAAAACAGGAACATTTCAAAAGAAATACAAACAGAAAGGTTATGGTTAGGAAGATAGATAGAAATAAACCCAAAGTACATCAAAGCTCATAATCAATGTAAATAGACTAAAATCTCCAGTTAAAAGACAAAGGTTTTGGACTTCCCTGATGGTCCAGTGGTTAAGAATCCGCCTTCCAATGCAGGGGACGCGGGTTTGATCCCTGGTCGGGGAACTAAGATCCCACATGCCGCAGGACAACTAAGCCCCCACACGCAACCGCTGAGCCCATGCACCACATCAGGACATAGAAATGTTGAAAGTAAAAGAATGAAAAAAATATATATCAAGCAAAAACTTGCCCCCAAAGTTGCTGTATCTACATTAATATCCAATATGATTGACTTTAGAGCAAAAAAAAAAGGTTTTTAAAGAGATAAAATGGTTACTAAAAATTCCTAGAAGAATAAATATTACCACTGACTCAAGAAGAAAAACAATTTCAAATGATCCCATTATTATTGAAGAGGCTGTATTTTCATTAATAAATAAAATCTTCCTTTAAAGAAAACGCTGGCAAAATTCTACCAAATATCTAAGAAGCATATAGCTTCCATCTTACACAGTCTCTTCACAGAATAGAAGAAAGAACATTCCCCACTCATTTTAGGAGGTTAATATAACCTTGATCCCAAAATGGGACAGCACCAGAAAGGGAAATATTAAGCCAATCTCACTAATGATCATATATGCAAAAACCTAAATAAAGGATTTGTAAGCCAAAATTCAGTGACATGTAAAAATGATAATACATTCTAAGTTTGTTTTATTCTAAGAATGCAAGGGGTCAATACCGGAAAACTCTATTAATGTAATTTTGTATATTAACTGTTTAAAGAAGGAAAATCACAATTTTCTCAATAAATGCAGAAAACGTATTAAAGTTCAACAACCATTTATGATTTTAAAAGAAACTCTTAGCAAAGCAGGAATAGAGGGGAACTTTCTTAACGATAAGTTGTTTCTACAAATCAATGTGTAGAAAATCTATTCAACAGTGAAACATTAAGAATACTCCCTTTAAAACGGGAAACCTGAGGAAGATGCCTGCTATCTCCTTAGTTATTAACATTATGCTAGAGGGTTTCGCCAGTGCAATAAAACACGAATTAGGCTGCATAATGCACTGGGTAGCCCCATTATTATTTTCACGTGACCTAACTATTTATACAGAAACATAGACTCTATAGACAAATAACTTGGGATCAATAATCAAATTATTAGAATTACTAAGAGTTTAGTGGGAGTTCCCTGGCAGTCCAGTGGTTACTCGGACTTGGCACTTTCACTGCTGTGGCCCGGGTTCAATCCCTGGTATCCTGCAAGCCATGTGGCTCGGCCAAGAGAAAAAAAAAAAAAGACTTATTGGCACAAGGTGTGTTAGCACAAAGATAGACACACACAATGGAGCACAACAGAGAGCGCAGAAACAGAGCCACGCATTGATAGATATTTGATTTATTTAAAAAGTGTCATTGTAAAAGGGATTGTCTTTTTAATAAATTGTGCTGGAAACTTTGAATATCCATATGGAAAAACAACAAAATGTGATCCCTATCTTACATGCAAAAATCATTTCTAGATGTATTATAGATCCAAATATGAAGGCAGAAAAATAAAGTTTCTAAATGATAATAAAAAGGAATTACTTTGGTTTAGGAAAAACATTCTTAACAGAACACAAAAAGCACTAACTATAAAGGAAAAAATAAATTAAGAATTAATTTAGAACTTCTAATTAAGAGCTTTTAATTTAGAATTTTTTAAGTAAAACAATACCCTTAAAAGAGGGAAAAGTTTGGATTTCCCTGGCAGTCCGGTGGTTAAGACTCTGGGCTTCCAATGCAGGGGGCACGGGTTTGATCCCTGGTCAGGGAAATAAGATCCCACACGCCACGTGATGTGGCCAAAAAATGGGAAAAAACGCACATCTAAACAATAAATGATTAGTATCCAGGATACATAAAGAATGCTTATAATTCAAGTTGAAAAAAACAAACGACTCAATAGAAAAATGAGCGAAAGACATTAACAGCTATTTCGTGGACAGCAAGATAAATAATCAAGAACTACATGAATTATGAAAAGATGCTCTTCTTTATTCATAATCAATGAAATGCATCTTCTCATACCTTTCTTGGCTATTTCTGTCTCTGCCCCTCCCATTCTCAGAGCTCTACTGCTGAGTTATTTCAGCTTGTTCCTCCCATGATGTCTAGGGTCCTGTCTCCATCACGACTTTCAGGAGGAGCTGCCGTCTTGCGGAATATAATGGGAGGCAGTCCTAAATGTTATCGATATTTATAGAATTGTCACACTTTCGCCAAAACTTATGCTTCCCCAGCCCCACTCCAGGATGGCACTGTGATGATTCTCTGCTGAGTAGAGAGGGGGCTGGCTCTCAACTGGGTACCTCATTTTGCCTTTCACTTACCGTCACCGCTATTAGCAATCGCGCTAAGCAAGTCATGTACGGTATCTCATTTAATCCTTACAACAACTCTATGAAAGTAGGAATTTTCATTTTCTTTTCACATGGGAGGAAACTGAGACCCAGAAATGGTCCGTAACTTGCCTGAGGTCACATTGGTAAGAGGTGGAGTCGGGATTTGAATCCAGTTTCTTTGACTTGAAAGCCTGTGCACTTCGTCACCGTGTTATGCTCCTGTCCTCAGCTGCCTATCCTAATATTGCCACCTTACCTTGAGCACCTAGTAGGATTTTATGGATACTCAGATACAGCCATATGATGAGAATATCACTATGTGCATTATAGAAGAGAAGCTCGAAACTTGGAAAGTTTATGTGACTTGGTAGGGGCAGAGCCAAGGTTCAGACCAGGTCTGTTTGGTTCTAAATCCAGCTGTCTTGACCACTCTGCGCCATGCCCCCAATTCTTCCTTTTAGCAGCTAGCCCAGGGATCCCCACTGCTTTCTAAACTGTCTGACAGGCGATGACACTCAAACAGATTACAAGCAGACCTCCCAGCTGGTTCTACTGGAAAGATAATATCCCTGAGAGAAGCAGCTACACAGCGACTGAGCCCTAGGCCCAGAAGCAGAGGGCTCACTGCACACAGCATCGGTGTTTCTGTAGCTCTGCTCCCTCCCTCTCATCTCACACTGGAATGAAATAAATTTATTTTGTGCCAAACTAGGATTTCTTCTTTTTGGAATTGAGTAACTCAGGTCACGTGACCCCCTGCGGGGAAGTTACCCAGGGTGGGGTGTTAATTATAGAGGTGATGGGCATGTGGAAGAGGTCGTTAGAACAACAGACCTCTGGTGTCCCCACAGATGGTCAGAAAACTTTCAACTTCAGAGTGCTGATGTAAAGGCCAAGCACTGGGTCCCAGGAAGTCAGTAGGCAGCTGTCTTCTACATTTCACTCCTTTTCTTTAACTCTAGTTCAGACTAAAAGGAACCAGCCTCCTTGAAGAAATGATTCATTCCAGATCTAGAGCAAGAAATGTACAAGATGAGCCTGAGACTTTTTGTTGTGGCCAGAAAACAAGGAAGCTATTGAAAATGAATGGGGTCATGTCAAATGATACAAGCAACTTGTAGGAGGCTCCCATTGTCTGAAGATGGGACAATTTGAACATCAAAAAGAATAATGACTGTAATAGATTAAACTATGTTGCAGTGTTTCCTACTGATCACACTGTTCATAGGGTATTATCTCAAGCTGTGATACCTAGGAGTAGAGAGAACATAGGAATACTGTTGATTCTCATTATTCATGGTAGTTACATTCTATAAAGTCACTGTGACTGTGAGTGCTCAGTTAGTGAATATTGAGTCATTGCACCCGGAGGAAATACAGCATTAGATTCCCGGGTGTCTACCGTCAATACATAACCTTATTTTATGTGTGTTTCTGTTTAAAGACACCTTATTTAATATATATATTAATTCATTAACATTGAACTCACAGCACTATAGCTCATGCCTGAATGAAGCTTATCTAACACATGTATTTTCTCTCCAAGGCACATCACAGCCTTCTTGCACTTAGGAACACTAAATAGCACTTCAGCGCTACACGTTGGGGGACATTTTATTTATTTATTTATTTATTTATTTGCCCTCAGCCTGTTTGCTTCATTTTTTTTTTAAACATGTTTACTTTTTTTTTTTTTTTTTAATTTTATTTTTGGCTGTGTTGGGTCTTTGCTGCTGTGCGTGGGCTTTCTCTAGTAGCGGCGAGCAGGGGCTACTCTTTGTTGCTGTGTGCAGGCTTCTCATTGCGGTGGCTTCTCTTGTTGTGGAGCACGGGCTCTAGGCATGCGGGCTTCAGTAGTGTGGCACGCGGCCTCAGTAGTTGTGGCCCAAGGGCCCTAGAGCGCAGGCTCAGTAGTTGTGGCATATGGACTCAGTTGTTCCGTGGCATGTGGGATCTTCCCGGACCAGGGCTTGAACCCGTGTCCCCTGCGTTGGCAGGCAGATTCTTAACCATTGTGCCACCAGGGAAGTCTTCATCAGGGACATTTTAAACAGAGAAAAAACGTGGCACCAGACTATGAAAACGATACTTGGTTATAGTCTGAGAGCTGAAACTAAAAGGCAGAGGGTAACCTTGTCTGACTTCAGCTGGGAACATGCATGGAGGGAGACTCAAATTTTTCACTGCCCTACACATGTCAGCAAATGACCGAAGAGGCACCATGGATATTGATTTGGGGGTTACAAATAAATTTCAGTGAGTAGGTGAATTCACAAATACAGAATCCACAAGTCCTGAGGATCGACTGTATGTGGATCATAGCATTGACAACTCCAGGGTTGGAAAAATCACACCTATGGGGTAGAGTTGAGAAGTTTTATGACTATTTGATCTGAAGCAACTAAAGGAAGGATGGCATTATTCACGAATAAGGAGAATTAATATATAGAGGAAATCAGCTGACTCAATTTCACTGTCTGCTGGATCAGGGCCGGATATAATGTGCTAAAATTGTGGCCGGAAGAGTTCTGGCTAGAAATAAGGGTGAACTTTCAGACTGAGAAAGTACTAACCATAGGTTAATAAAGGAGATGGGGGCATCGTTTTCCCTTCAAAACCTTAACATCAGGAAAGAAGTCCATCTACCTGGAGTGGCAAAAAGTAGTAGTTCCCAAACATTTTTCAAGCCTATGATTTATAAGGAGTTTTTTTATAGCAGCTTTGATACTGCTTTATAATATATACTCTCTATTCCTGGTGCTCTTGGGGGGTATAATACACTCCTAAAAGTTCTGATGGTGATTATTTAAACCTGAAGTTTGGATGAAACTGTTAAAGCAAGTGTCAGCTTCTCTTAAGCAGTATGCTTCCCAGGTGTTAGCTGAGGGCTCATGGTTCCTTGGAGATCCTGAATCCCCACATCATAGCCTCTGAGAGGTCAGACCCTCCTCCCTCCCACCACAGTTCGGCGGGTTCTGGGCAGCTTGCTTCTTTATGCTTCTGTCTTTCCCCACTCCTGTGCTTTCCACATTCTGACTTCCTGGTGTGCTGGCCCAGTTCGGCCTGTGTAAATCAAGATGCTAACTTCCGCCCTTTACTGAGAAAAGTTATATACTTGCCTCCGGCGTTTCACAAGTTCATTGGTAAAGAGGTCTTTGAGGGTCAGGTCAAGGGGAGGGATGACCCTCACCTGTGTGGTCTCCTGCCCTGTTGCTTCCCCCACCCCCCTTTGGTTTCTGTTCTAGCTCTCCTTTCTCTTGTAAGTAAATCAGCATTTTTTTTTCCTTTTTTTTCCCCTAGAAAACAACCATGTCCAGCCCCCTTCCTATAACTACAAGAATCTTCCTACTTTTTCCTTATGTGTTTTCCTCTTGAAGAGAAAAGCTGACGATTCAGCCACGGTAAGGATTCACATATAAACACGTCTGGATAAATATGTATAAAATATCAAAGATAATTTTGTAGTGGTAACAAGACCTAACCTGAAGAATGTAGTGATTTATTTTATTTTTTAATTTTTGTCTGGTGTAACAGCTTGGGACAAGGGAGAAGTTAGCTCTGCCTGGATGCTGGGGACTTGGCAAGGGGTAGGAGACCAGGTCAGACAGAGAGCAGCAAAGCCCAGCTGGTGGGGTTGGAGTCAGGCTGCTAGGCAGCAGAGGAGAAAGAAATGGTTTGGGAAAAGGAGTAGGAAGGGGATGGCAGGACTGTGAGTTAAGGGGGAAAGGGGTCTTATTTGTCTATTCTCAAGGTACTTTTCCCCCCTCATATTTTAACATCCCTGAAATTGTGATGCATGTTATATTAGAAAGCCTCCTCCAATTGCATTCAGCTGGGTGGTGGTCGTGACCTTCCGTGGATACTCTCTGATAAGATCTTAGTACCAGCATCAAAATCTTCTAGACTTGTTGAAAGATGGTTCGTGATAAATTACAACTTGGGAAACTTACCTAAATTCTAGCCTTAAAAAGAGTGTAAATCAAGAGATTTCCAGGTATGGAAACTATAGGAAATAAAGTCACCTGTTCAGAATATAAAGGGGCTGCTGTCTGTCTGGGAAAGAGGTTTCCTCAGGCCTAGGTGTTGGCAGAGGGAGCTAGCTGACCCAAGGAGTGCAGGAGAGCAGGGCTGAGAGCCAGGTTAGACCAACCGGGGCAAAGCACAGTTGGATATGGGGTTGTAATAATAATAACAGGTAAGAGGGAAGGCATACACCAGAGGAATGTGGGTGAAGTTGGGACCCAGCTCCAAACTGGCAAAGGGTCAGGCTCTGAAAAGATGGAGCCATGGGGACAGGACCTGAGGGGAAGAGGCAGTTGGGCAGCCTATGGCTGGAGGCCCAGCCATTGCCGGTCAGTTATAAAGCACTGGATCTGGAGATAAAGGAAAGATGGTAAATTCCCCCAACCCCCAAGAACCAGTGGAAACAAAGCTGAGCAGAAAGTGGCTCAGGGAAAATGCAGAGTCTCAGCTATCAGCCCCAGGAGCTTAGACGGCAGAGGAGGAAGGGAAAACAGATTTCCTAGGGAAAGAGCTGACGGGATAAATTGGGGGTGGCTGTCCATCAATGATGCAGTTTTGACCTCAACTCAGCTGTGAATGGGAGGCCCAAATAGGTTATAACCTCTCCTGGCAGAGCCAAGAGACACTGAGGCTGTATCCATCAAGTGCAGTTTAACCTGAAGCTGACTTAACCTGGTTCCCAAATAGGTGGACTCCTGCTTCTCTGGGGTCCAGGTTAGGGTGGGGCTGGAATGAGATGGAATTTCCTGAAAGGTGACTCTGCCTAGAGCCAGAGACAGGGGAGGCTCAGGAACACATTGCCAGTCTCTGTTGTTGGTGGCCTTAGTGAGCTGAGCTGACTCAGAGGGTTAGCACTGCACAGAATCTTCTATGCAGAATCCTTGCACAGAATCCTTGTGCCCTGCACCACAAGAGGATGTGAGTCAACTTGCCTATGGAGGGGCCCTCGCCGGGAAGGGCAGAGGCACCAAGAAGGGAGATGCTGCCTCCCAAGGGAGAATTCCCTCGTGGGCTTCTGGGTCTCCGTGGAGCGATCTGGGGGTCCTGCATTCCCAAGGGAAGGAGGGTACCAGATGCACAAGGCCTTGCAGCTGGCCCATGTCCCATCCCTCCAAAAGCAAAAGGGATCTAGGTTGCCCCTGATTTTAAGAGTGATTGCAGGAGAGTATGGAGAAATAACCTGGAATGCACAAGGCAAAGGCAGATGGGGAAAATGGGAGCATTTGCTCACCGCCTTATTCCAGAGGCTGTCATAGCCGATAACTGAGTGAGCAGCCAAGTTCCCCGACCCAGTGTGATTCCCCCTTTATGTGGTCACCTTCACCCTCGAATGATGCACTCACATTTCACAATCAAACACACATTTTGTATTTGATGGGGATGACTGGAATGGCCCAAAAGGACAGGCAGTTTCCTGCCCATGAGGGGATGGTTCATACGCGTATCCTCTTGTTCAGTTGGACCGATTCACTTAGATCAGGCACGAGATACTCAAACACATTGCTTTGAGTAGTATCTTGACTGGTCTAAAGGCTGTGTATGAGAAGACTTAGAACAACAGAGCAGCTGAATGTGTAGGGGTCCAGGAGAGAGGGTGACGGAGAGATGGACAGGGAGGCCGGGGCTGGCTGGAGAAGGGCCTATAGCCCAGGTAAGGAGTTTGGACTTATCTGAAAACATGGGGGGAGGGGAGAACAGTGTCACTGAAGATATTTCATCAGGGATGCGACGTGTCCCAGTTCTCTCGCAGTAGGGCAGTGACTGGGTTGGAGAATGAAGTTCTTTCCAGTCCTCCCTTCCAAACTGAGGGCCCTCAGGACAGTCACGGGCCTGAGCATAGAGCCGGCAGGCGAGGAAAGGGGCCCTTGTGGAACACACAGGGTGAGGACCGGGTTGTTGGATATTTAACCTGGATATTTCATCTCAGGTTAAAAGGAAACACATGGCTTGGGACTTCCCTGGTGGTCCAGTGGTTAGGACTCTGCGCTTTCACTGCCAAGCGTCCGGGTCCAATCCCTGGTCAGGGAACTAAGATCCCACAAGCTGCACTGGCCAAAACAAAACAAAAGAAACACATGGCTCATGAATAGCACTGGGCCTCAGTTTAACCTGCTGAAGCTCACGAATAGCACTGGGGCTCGGATGAAATGGTTTCCTCAGGAGGGTTTCTCTCCCTGGCCTGGGTTAGCTCTCCTTTGCCTTCTGAAGCGCCCTGAACATTGTCTCCTGAAACTCATCACTCTTGTTCAAAGCCTGTCTTGCCTTCAGGACTCTAGGCTCCAGGAGAGCAGGAAGTTTTGTTTTCCTTATTACGCTGTCTCCTCAGTTGCTTGCCTGGTTTCTGGCTCTAGAAGATGTTCAATAAAGATTTCTTGAATTAAGGACAAGAGTCATGCTGGAGGTGTGATCAGAGCAGGGAGCCGGGGGAATGTGACTTTCCTCACTTTCCTTTCCTGACTATTCCTGGAATAGTCACTAAAAGAAACAGTGTTTTAATCCAGGCTGTCATGCGTGCCCTGGATGTACTTCACTCTGGTGTGCCTTTATCTCCTCATTTGTGAGGTGAGGTAGATGGACTCAAATGATTGCAAGGGATTCTCCTTCTAATCCTAACATTTTGTGCATGAAAAAGTAGTCTTTGCTGCCACTCTCCTCTTTCCAGGGTTCTTTCCATTTCAGAGAGACGTGGCTACTGGCAAACTTAAAAGCACATCATGATTTTAGCCCTTCAGTAAGAAAGTGAAGGAATCTTATAAAGATGCAAGATACTTAAAGAGGAGGGTAGATCTGGACTACTCTCCAGGTCGGAATTTTGGAACTTGTTTGGAAATTCCAGTTTGGAATTTGTTCTGGGAAAGGGTGAATTAAACTGACTTCCAATGGCTTTCATAAAGAGCAAGATTTTTTTTTTGAGAGAGAGAGAGAGCAGAGAGCAAGAATCAGCCCTGCCTCACCTGAGGACACAGCCCTGCAGAGCTACCGCCAGGATCCTTCGCCCAGTGCCCCATGCACCACAGAGCTGTGCTGTGGGGAGGTGCGGAGTGGGAGAACTTCTCTGAGGGAAAAAAACCCAAGCTGCAACCACTCAGCTACTCACCGGAGGTCTCTTCCAGATGAACTGGATGGGGAACTTCTGGCTATAAAAGAGAGAGGTCTCGTCCGGTGGGAACTCAGGATCCACATAAAGAACCTGCTTTTCTAGACATTTCTTGTGAAGCTGCTCAAATGTCTTCTCTTTCACCCCGATGATGGGAAAATTGCGGCTGATGATGGCCGAGTAGATGCCACTTGGGTTTCCGCCGCCGGCCTCGGTGCCCTTGCCCTGGGCTACCTGGGGGATTGGCCCCGGAGACCTGGGCTCAGCCCCTGTCCGTGGGGCCACAGATGCGCTAATGACGGTCAGCATGACAGGCAACTTTGGAAGGAACAAGTTTTTAAAGACAACAAGATTCAGCTACCTTTAAGGAAAGGAAGCAACTGCAAAGAGGAAGTCGTAGTGATTCTGTCATTGGAGAGAAAAATGTCCGCATCCACTTCGAAGTGTAAAGCCCATCAGAAGGTCGTCCAGCTTGTGTTCACGTCAAAAACTGAGCTGTGATCCAGAAGCCATCCAGTTTTCCTGAGGAAGGAGTAAGGATTTCTGTAGCAGTTTTTACTTAGGGGGCTCCTACCAGCAGCATACATGCCAGAGGGAGAGAAAGAAAGTGAGGGTTGTGTTTCAGTGGCCCAAAGAAGCCTGAGCCAGGAAAACCAAAAATAGACATGAAGAAAGATCATGAGTATGAGAGCAAGAGAGAGGCTAGCAGTGTAGCTAGACTGCATTCTCGAGAGAGAGAAGGACCTGGCCAGGGATGTTCCTGTGTTGCCATTAAGTTCTGGTGTTGTCAGGAAATGAAAGGGGAATATTTGAGCAAATTGAACACTGAAACTTAGCAAAGAATGGCAGATACATTATTGAATTGGCAGTTATCCAGACTATCAAGCTATTAGCCACCAAATTAATGGAAAACAATATTGAAAAAAGCTTGCAAGGGTGAATGTGAGATACTGAATTCTAGGAGAATGTTCTAGGCATTTTTGAGAACATGATTTTTACTTTTTAAAATTCTAGGATATCAGAATATTATTCAACTGGATTTGGCATCTCTTCTAGAATGTTCTGATGTCAGTGTTCAGTGAAACTGTCTGGGTGGAAAATGCCACTCAGCAGAGTCCTCAGTTGAGAAAATCCCTGTCTCTTCTTGCCCACTTGACCTAGCTATCCCTTGTCTCTCCCCACCCCCAAGATAAACACTGGGACCAAATCTTCTACAAAAAGTGCACCTGAGTACAGATTATTCAGGCGTGCTACATTAGGCATCTGAGTCAGAAGTTGGAATTGGATACTGAGCCAGGTTGGCCGTCAAGTCCTGGCATATCATACCCAAACAGTTGGCTTCAGGGCTCTTAGATGAGACCACAAGTGGCTCTGGGGAAGGAAGTTGCCTGCCTGGCCTCTGCCTTGTCTTCTACTCACGGTAGCTGCTACCCAGGCTGTCAGGAGATGGCCATATACCAAGTGTGGCTGAGTGAAGGCTAGTCCCAGACTGCAGCTCTGCCTGTTCCCATGTGCCCATCTCATCAGCCCAAGGCTAGAGGCTATGAGAGAAGGTAGGAAGTGACAGCTGAAATAGGGAGTCCCGCCAGGCTCGTGATCCCTGGGGTTGCAGCTTTGAGGAACCATCAGCTTATTGCCCCATCCCTCTAAGGAAATGCCCAAGGATCTTTATTACTACTCTTGGAGAGGCAGAATAGAGAAGGGCAGCATCTGAAGCTGACTGCCTAGGTTCAAAGTCTAGGCCTGCTGCTCATTGGCTGTGCCTGTGTAGCTTTAGGTAAGTTACTTCTTCCTTTCTTCCTATGTCTCAGTTTTCTCACCTATAAAATGGGTATAATGATAGTCATTCTGTTATTGAGTTGTAAAAACTAAACAAATTGTGTACATTTAAAATAGTGGCAGGATTGTCTTAAGCACATAATAAATGTTAGAGATGAACCGAAGTTAATATTATTTTGGGTTATATCAGGTTGAATGACAGTTACTCATTGGCACAAATCAGCCTTTCACCTTATGAGCATTTGTTGACCATCTTCCATGTGAACAGTGCATCTGCCCAGGACCATGTGGTCACAGAGTCTCCAATCAGAGGCGTGCCTATCTGCCTGCACTAAAAGAGCCTCTAAAAAGACTGACTTCCACCATCAAACTCACTAATGGAATGGAAAACAAAGGGGGGCAGTTTCCTTCTCCCGCCATAATATGTGCCATCATATGTTTGAGTCCCAGCTCTATACCACCTTGAAATTCACAGCACCAACCCACATTTTATTGTTTCTCTTTATTGAGCTTCCTGTTTGCCACAGGACTATAAGCTCTGTGAAGGTGGGAACTGGGTCCCCACTGCACCGTAAGGGTTAAGCACATAGAAGGTTCTTAATAAACATGTGTTGTATATCTGTTGAATGACGTTTCCCTACGTGAGAAGAAATTTCTTCCGCTTCTTATCGCTTTGCCAATGCAATCAAAGTATCTTGGCTGATCTGCCTCCGGGGGAGGAGCTGTCTCTGGCCCCCACACAGCTGACCTTCTTTTCCTCAGCTGTCTAAGCTAGCTCCGTCCTTGGTAATGAAGATGGGTGTGTGATGGAGATCAGCCTCTTGTCATAGCACAATGGGAATACTGTGTCAAACACACAGTGTGCAAGGTGCTATTCATTTTGCTCTACCAATTGTTGTGAATAAAACCCCCTGTCAGATTAGCAGGTCCACACTCAAGGTTTATTCAGCCGCACAGCTGTAGAAGCTCATGCTATCAGCGAGAAATCCAATCCGAGCCCACAGACAAAGGTAGATGATGAGCATGTGAACAGCTGCGCGGTTTCAAGTCCCAGAGCCTCTTCAAGGATAAAGAACTCGTTTTTATAACATAGTTCAGCTAAGGTCAGGCAGCATCTGCAGCTGGAATGGCTTCTGTTGCGCCAAGGCAGTTAATGATTGCGTATCACTGTCTTCCATCAACATTTCTTTGATTCAACACTGTTGGGATTAATGCATTCGCTTATAATTAGAACACCTACCACTCATTAAGTGCCTACTGTGAGCTAGCCACTTCACATAGTTGTAAAAACTTTCTTTTTTTTTGGCGACACTGCGCAGCATGTGGGATCTTAGTTCCCCCGCCAGGGATCAAACCCGTGCCCCCTGCATTGAAAGTGCGGGGTTTTAACCACTGTACCACCAGGAAAGTCCCCTAAAAACTTTTAAAGTACTTTTAAACATACAAAAGCATTGCAAAGATAGCACAGATTTCCCGAATACCCTTCAACAGCCTCCCTTAATGTTTACACCTTACATAACCATGGTACAATGATCAAAAGTCAGAAATGAATGTGGGTAAGATACCACTAACTGAACTACAAGACATATTTTGATTTCTTCAGTGTTTCCGCTAGTGCTTTTTTCCCCCTTCTGTTACAGAATTTGATCTGCACTGCATTTAATTGTCATATCTCCTTAGTGTCCTCCAATCTCTGACAGTTCCACAGTCTTTGTCTCTCTTGAACTTGGCACTTTTGAAGAGTACTTGTCAGATATGTTGTAGAATGTCCCTGACTTGAGTTTGTCTGATGTTTTTCACATGATTAGACTGAGATTATGGTTTGGGGGATGAATATCACAGAGGTTATGCACCCTTCTCATCAAATCAGATCTGGGGGTACATGACATTGATGTATTTTATTACTGGTGATATCAACCTTGAGTACTTGGCTAAGGTGGCATCTACCAGGTTTCTCCAAAGTAAAGTTACTATTTTTTTCCTTTCCATACACATGGAATACTTTTAATCTGTACACAACCCTGCACGTTTGATTAATCCCATTTTACAGCTGAGAAAACTTGAGATATCTGCTCTATTTTTACAGTTAAGTCATGGGAAACTCACAGAATTTTAGAGCTTATCTCTTTTCTTGAACAAAAGAGGAAACCAAAGCCTAGAGAGATTAAATGACATGGTCAAGGTCATTCTGCCAGTTCACTACAGAACCAAACTAGACCCCAGGTCTCCTGATATCCAGTGAAGGAATAAATGCATGACTAAGACTCCAGTAATGTGCATTAGGCATAAGATCTCTGGATCCTTGCATATAAATAGTCAGGGCTTCCCTTCCCCTAGCTCTGATGGGAGTGAAATCTAACACCATCAGCCGTGCTGAAAACAACAGTCAAGAAGCAGCTGTCTGATTCTGGTTGGCCTTGCTGTGGCACTGCAGTCTTTAGCTGGTCATAAGACAGGCAGATCTGATATCGGATGCCAATGTCTCCTTTATTTCTGCTAGAATGTGAGCTATATGGCCCCCGTTGTCTGCGGTTAATATGGTAATCTGTTTCCAGTGGAGTTGCTGATGGCTTTCTATGCCCTGGACTGAGAAGTTATTTTAGTCTAGAGTGCCACTCCCCCCCACCCCCACCCGCGGAATTATGCTGGGCATTCAGAGAGTTTGGTAGATGGAAATCTTAAAAGCAGAGTGGAATGCTTGATATGGTCATAGGAGTTCCATGACTAAGAAGGCTTTTAGGTAAGATGGTCAGTTATGAGCTAAAACCCATTAAACTCCAAATATTTATGTGTTTTGACTGTGTTTCTGCTGCCTATCACTATGATACACTGATACTGAAAAGGATGTGAAAAAGTGAAGGAATTCTGCACGCAGACCAAACTCTAGAACTGCTGTCTTCCCTAGGGCTACAACAATCTGATAGGCCGGTATTAGTTAACCAGGATGTAAGGCTCAGCACAACTTGAAGGCAAACTCACGGTGACGAGCTGTGCTTTCCACTCTAGGGAGCCTTTAGGAGAATGGCCCAATCTGGGACTGGCCCTGGTCATGTTGATGTGTGGGACCAGGACCCTAGAATTCACTTAGTTCTGAAAGTGAGTTGTACCCCAGAACATAAATAGTCCTATAGGTACATTTAAATGAAAACAGCCAGGACTTCCCTGGTGGTCCAGTGGCTAAGAGTCCGTGCTCCCAATGCAGGGGACCTGGGTTCGATCCCTGGTCAGGGAACTATATCCCGCATGCTGCAACTAAGACCCGGTGCAGCCAAGTAAATAAATAAATATTGAAAAAAAGAAACTAGGCCTCTAGGGCAGGGAATGTTTTGGTACCTGGTCAAACTGGAATCTACATCCTCGGATCACTTCTGTCAGGAACTGACCACCCCAGGTCCACTATAGCCAGGATCCACAGGATGATTTAGACCTGGGAAAAAAAGGAAGGTGACAAAACTGGCCTTCCAAATGCATGAAGGACTTTCCCTGACCACTATACAGGGCATCTGCCCTAAATAAATGCCTGACATAAACATGTATTCCATTCTATTTCTTAGTGTGAATACCCTCCTGAAAGCTCCATGGTCAGCTCCTGCAGTCAGACAGGACCTCTGTGGGGAAGCACATATAGAAGCACGTACAGCGCTGCCATAGTGTGGGTGGTGTGAGGTCAGGGGCTGCTGGCCTAGTGCTCCGAGGGTGGTATTTGTGTTCCCTGAAGTAGGGGGCTTGGTTTGGCCCGGCATTTCTCCGGTGAAGAACAGCTGATCTGATGATTCTGAAGAGGTCTGCTGCATCAGAAATAAAGGTGTTTTCTTGTACTGGAGTTCATTATTTTTATTTTTATTAGAAAAAATTTTAATTGAAGTATAGTTGATTTACAATGTTGTGTTAGTTTCAGGTGTACAGCAAAGTGATTCAGATATACATATACTTTTCCAGATTCTTTCCCATTATAGGTTTTTACAAGATACTGAATATAGTTTCCTGTGTTATAGAGTAGGTGCTTGTTGTTTATCTATTTTATATATAGTAATGTGTATCTGTTAATCCCAGACTCCTAATTTACCTCTCCCCCACTTTCCCCTTTGGTAACCATAAGTTTGTTTTCCATGTCTGTAAGTCTGTTTCTGTTTTGTAAATTCATTTGTATCATTTTTTTTTTAGATTCCACATATAAGCGATGTCGTATGATATTTGTCTTTCTCGGTATGACTTACTTCACTTAGTAAGATAATCTCTAGGTCCATCCATTTGCTGCAAGTGGCATTATTTCATTCTTTAAAAAATTTTTTTATTTATATATTTTTAAATATTTATTTTGGCTGTGTCGGGTCTTACTTGCGGCATGCAGGATCTTTGTTACAGCATGTGCACTCTTTAGTTGCAGCATGAATGTGGGATCTAATTCACCGACCAGGGATTGAACCCAGGCCCCTTGCCTTGGGAGCAAGTGAGTCTTACCCACTGGACCACCAGGGAAGTCCCATTATTTCATTCTTTTTATGGCTGAGTAATATTCCATTGTATGTGTATACCACATCTTTTACCCATTCATCTGTTGATTGACACTTAGGTTACTTCCATGTCTTGGCTATTGTGAATAGTGCTGCTATGAACATAGGGGTGCATGTATCTTTTTGAATTACAGTCTTCTCTGGATATATGCCCAGGAGTGGGATTGCAAGATCATATGGTAATTCCATTTTTAGTTTTTTTAAGAAACCTCCATACTGTTCTACATAGTGGCTTGGAGTTCATTCTTAACTCCATTTGTTTCATCCTATTTTACATGCTACAGCTTATAAGCCTTTACAACAATAGAAAGCAAACATTTTAAAGCTATTAGATACTAGGAAGATATGGCCCAGCATCTTTGTTTTTAAAACTTTTTGTTTTGAAATAGTTTAAAACTTAACAGGAAAGTTGAAAATATAGTGTAAGGAATTCCTGTATACCCTTCATGCAGATTCTTCAGTTATAACATTTTAATACATTTTGTCAATTTTCTCTGTCTCTTTTTCTCATACATACATAAATTATTTTCTGAGCCATTTGAGAGTAAGTCAGAGCTATGCTACTTTAATACTTCCGTATGTATTTCCTAAAAATAAGGAAATTCTTCTATGTAATCATAGTACAATTCTCAAAATTAGGAAAATTACCATGTAATCAAAAGATCCTATTCAAGTTTTGCCAACTGTCCCAGTAATGTCCCTTATAGTTCCAGGATGGAACCCAGGATCATACATTTGTTGTCATGTCTCTTTAGTCCCCCTTTAATCTGGAACAGTTCCTCAGACCTGTTTTTCATGGCCTTCACATTTTGAGCAGTATAGGATGTGCCTCAATTCTGTTTTTTTTAAAAAATATTAATTAATTAATTTGGCTGCGCCAAGTCTTAGTTGCGGCACACGGGATCTTCGTTGCTGCATGCGGGATCTTCGTTGCGGTGTGTGAACTCTTAGTTGCAGCATGTGGGATCTAGTTCCCCGACCAGGGATCAAACCCAGGCCCCCTGTATTGGGAGCGTGGAGTCTCAGTCACTGGACCATCAGGGAAGTCCCCAGCTTTGGTCTGTTTATTATAAACTTACATAAATGAAATCACTCAGTAAATATTTTATCAAACACATACTTCTATGTTGATATATATACATTGTTATTTTAATGGTTGCATAATATTCTACTGTATGAAAGGGCTATATTTAACCAATCCCCTGATAAAGGACATTTAGTTTATTTCTAGTTTTCCATAGTATAATCCACATTACAATTAGTAGCTCTGAGCAATTTATCTGGTTTATCTGAAGTGGAATTTCTGGGTTAAAGCAAATTTAAAATTTTGATGCTATTGCCAGATTGCCATCCAGAAAGATTATACTTAGCATAATTCCACCAATGATGCACGAAAATGCCTATTCCCCACACCAGCATTAGCACTGGACATTTTCATTTTAATCTTGGCCAATCATGGACACCCCCATTTCTCTGAATATTAACAATGCTGAGCATATTTCATGCTTATTTTGCCTATTTCAATTTCTTTTATGAATTACCTTTGCCCATATTTCTCTTGAGCAGTTTCTAACGTTTAAACTGCTTTGTCAACTCATTCCTTGGCATTTAAGTCTTAAAGGAAAGACACATTATATATTCATTTTAGAGCTTTGTTTGAATCTTTGTTAAAATGATTCTAAGTTCTTACATAAAATCCAGTTTCCTGAGAAAACATATCGAGAATTAGCCACAACAAGGTAACTCAACACTGTAGGCCAACTCGGCCCCGCTTAGCTCTCTGGTCCTGAGCTTCAGATATAGGAGGGGGGTAAAGTGTGAGAAGCAATAAGAGCAGATAACATTTAAGAACACCCAGGATGTATTTCTCTCCATTCAATGTATCTAGTTAAACCTTTCAGGATAGTTCTGGGTCAAGACAGAGCAGTTCCTCACTAACCTACTCTAAAGTTCTTATTTCATTCCTTCCTCCAAAAATATTTTAAATGGATGAATAATAGACACATAATAAATGTTGAACTGAAGATAGGTCTTAATTATTCAGCCTTAATGCTGTTAAAAACCATCATTTATATTAGGTAAGAGCATTCAGTTTTCAGTTTAAGTCTTACTGTAGCTTGGCAAGGGAAACTTGAAGCTGGGAAATCGGACTTCAGCTAATGGAGGCTTCTTCCTTTCTCCTTAATTGCAAAACTTACAGAAATAGGAGCAAAGAATCTATATGTGTCTATGTGCGCTTATATATGGTGCAAAGCTCAAATCTCAACTGATACAATCAAATGTGTCCATGAGGAAATGTGTAATGTTTACTATATCTGGAGGGAAGAGTTCTAGGTCAGAAGAGTAAATTAGAAACAAATACATTCAATTCTCAATTTTAAATAAATCAAATCCATCAGTCAACCAATTACAGCCAACCATTACTAAAAGCCAAGTATAATCGTGCTCTGGCAGATATAAGACAAATATAACATGATCTTGAAGAACATACAATCTAGTAAGGGAACAAGACAGACAAACCTGAAACACTGAGGCACCATCCCTGAGAATGCTAAGCAGAATGCATATTATAAGTGGGGCAGCATTTCAGAGAAGGGCAAAATCACTGCTCATAGTAAAGGGGAGTTGAGGGTGTTAGGGTAGTTAGAAAGGCTCTGTGGGGAAGTGGGATTTGAGTTGGGCCTGGATGGATGGTAGGATTTGCATAGGTGGAGGGCAGACTGTGGATATTGGGACCCAGGGAACAGAGGCATAGAGGTGGCAGTTGGCAAGCTGCTGAGTGGAAGAAGCCTGATAAGCAAATGTGCATGTTGAGCAGTGCTGAGGACATGTGACTGCCCCAGCAGATGCTGCGGCCGCAGGGCGTCCCTGGGGAGCATCCTGGGGAACTGGCATGGTGTAGTGTTCTAGCCCACGCCACACTGTACTAGAGTCTGAGGCAAAAGTAAAACGCAGTACTATCGATCCTGTCCTTATTTAAAATTTTGATATTTTGTTCATCATGGATTTTTTTTTGCTGTTAATTTTGTCTTTTTTTTTTTTTTTTTTTTGTGGTATGTGGGCCTCTCACTGTTGTGGCCTCTCCCGTTGCACAGCACAGGCTCCGGACGCGCAGGCTCAGCGGCCATGGCTCACGGGCCCAGCCGCTCCGCGGCATGTGGGATCTTCCCAGACCAGGGCATGAACCCACGTCCCCTGCGTCGGCAGGCGGACTCTCAACCACTGCTCCACCAGGGAAGCCCTGCTGTTAATTTTGATTTTTAAAAGTATTGCATTAAAATATTATTTATTTTGATTACTGTGATTTGGGGCATCCCCTTAAATTTTGTGCCCCAGGCAAGTGCCTTACTTGCCTCCCCCTCATCCCGGCCCTGTGTTCTATTTCTGAAGTTTGAGGGTGGGGACATGGGTAATTATTTTATTATTTTAAATTATAGCTTACTCATATTACAAATAAGCTTTGGTTAGTGGACAGTATTTAATAAAAAAATTAATATAAAGAAATTAGAATTTTTAGGAGATTAATTTGGAACTTTGGACCCCAAAAAACATGACAGGGAAAAGAGCCCTTTGTGTTCCTGAGTCAGTCTCTAGGGTAGAGTAACTCCCTGTTGCTGCAGTGAATACACTCCAAGCAGAAAAGGTTGTCTTGTCCAGGTCTAAGTGGGTAAAAGATAACTGGGGTGGGGGGGCACCAGAAGCTGCTGTCCACTTGGAGATAGGCCTTGAGCAGCTCAGCTGCTGGAGCCCGAGTGGCTCTGCCACATGGACTGAGACAAGCTTCCACAAGGTGGGTGGGCTTGGCCCACTTCTCACATAAAACAAACCCATCCAGCTGTGCTCAAAGAGAAACTGCCCACTGGGCCAGAGTGCATACCACAGGTCATGGCCCAAGGAGCAATGCGAGATCTGTGAACGCTATAAATGTCTCTGGGCCACTTGCATGTAGGAGGAGAGGGCATGTGTGACACAAAGAGTATTATTAGCACATCTAAAAATGTAACATCTGAAAAATCTGAAAGCTATTGTTCGTTAGGAAACTGGTGACTTATGAAAGATGACTTTGAGCCAGAGAAGTCAATAGCATGCAGCACAAATCGCAAAAAAAGGCCCGTGGAAAGGCAGAAACGTGCAGCTGCTCCCATCACTTGTCACCAGGTGCACTGCTCTGTCACTGGATTTGGACCTTCCAGTCAGCACCAATGTTCAGTGAGAACTTCTCCAGGTTCAGGGTGGATGTTTTGGCACAATATGTAAAAGCCACAGGCTGAGCTTTACCATCTAGATATCAAAATTGTAAAAGGGAAAGTTTGATGAACATCTAGGAGAGAAATTTTGAATTTAAAATGTTTCTGACTCTGTTATAAAACCTTATGCCCCATATAGGAGAATCCAAATTAATAGTACTTGTACCCATGGACTTCCATGAAATTTTAAAACATGAAACACTCCACTGTTTTGAGTGCAAGACTGATAGAAAACAAACTAAGGAACAAAGTGATTTGTCCAACAAATTCAGTAGGTAAAAAAGGATATATCCTATCCCATGTCCTTTAAGAAACTCCATAAACTCCATGAGCAGGATTCCCCAGGACTTCAGATATCTACAGTTTAAAAAAAATATTCAGAGAACCTACAATATTATTTCAAGTCCCAAATAATTTCCTTTAGGAAAATATTAACTGCTTACAACGAGCAGAAAGACCAGTTGATGAAGAGAAGCAGAATGGCCTCACGCCCTCTAGATACTAGTATATTTGACTCCTGCCAGAAAGAGCAGAGTCCACTTGGCTAAGGACATTTTGTCAGTTTTAGACTAATCATCTCTTCACTGCAGATACTTCTATGTTTACAAAAACAAATGGCCTGTTTCCTCACCAGGTGAGTGGCTGGTCACAGAAGATGGATGCTTCTTGAGGCCTAGGACCAAAATCTGCTCCACCACACACTTGCTGGGATAATGACCCCTCTTGTCAGCACAACTGGAATAGATATAACAAATGGCATTAGGAGAAGGAGAGGAATAGGGGTTTGGACTGGTTACCAGGTCACCATCCCGAGCCTTGTGAGTTCCCCTCCCATCTTTCTCTGTGGAGGCATGAAACATATAGTGGTCACATTTACTAGGATGAAGAGATGGAAAAAGATGACCCAATGTGCCGAGGACAAGCTAACCAGTAGTCTCCCTCTAACAAGCCATTTGGAGAGGCATCACTTAAGGATACTGAAGTCCCAAATGTCACTTGGATGCTACAATCAAATTGTAAGAAATCAGATACTTGATGAATGGCTGAAGAGATGAATAAATTGGATTAATGGGAATTTTTACTGAATTCTTTTTTATTTTTCAGAGAGGGAAGGAAAGGAAGACAGAGACAATAAGGAAGGGACGTTCATGAAGTGGTTGAAAAATACTCCTGGGGGGCTCCAGGCCAAGATGGCAACATAAAAGCCCTCTGAATTTCCCTCCTTCCACAGATGCACTGAATATAAAGCTACACATGGAGCAATTCCCTTTGAGAGAAATCCGGAAACTAGCTGAGTGACTCCTATACATTGGGTGACTGAGAAAATACCCACATCAAAACAAGTAGGAGGGACTTTCCTGGTGGTCCAGTGGGTAAGACTCCATGCTCCCAATGCAGGTGGCCCAGGATCGATCCCTGGCCAGGGAACTAGATCCCACATGCATGCTGCAACTAAGAAGTCGGAATGCCACAACTAAGACCCGGCACAGCCAAAATAAGCAATAAATAAATAAAAATAAGTTAAAAACAAAAAAACCAAAACAAGCAAACAAACAAAACAATTAGGAGAGCAGAAGCAAGAAGAACTACAATTCTGCAGCCTGTGGAACGAAAACCGCGTTCACAGAAAGATAGACAAAAATGAAAAGGCAGAGGACTATGTACCAGATGAAGGAACAAGATAAAACCCCAGAAAACCAGCTACATGAAGTGGAGATAGGCAACCTTCCAGAAAAAGAATTCAGAATAATGATAGTGAAGATGATCCAGGACCTCGGAAAAAGAATGGAGGCAAAGATCGAGAAGATGCAAGAAATGTTTAACAAAGGCCTAGAAGAATTAAAGAACAAACACCTAGAAAAATTAAAGAACAAACAGTGAACAATACAATAACTGAAATGAAAAATACACTAGAAAGAATCAATAGCAGAATAACTGAGGCCAAAGAACAGGTAAGTGACCTGGAAGACAGAATGGTGGAATTCACTGCCATGGAACAGAATAAAGAAAAAAGAATGAAAAGAAATGAAGACAGCCTAAGAGACCTCTGGGACAACATTAAATGCACCAACATTTGCATTATAGTGGACCCAGAAGGAGAAGAGAAAGGACCTGAGAAATTATTTGAAGAGATTATAGTCGAAAACTTCCCTAACATGGGAAAGGAAACAGCCACCCAAGTCCAGGAAGTGCAGAGAATCCCAGGCAGGATAAACCCAAGGAGAAACACTCCAAGACACATAGTAATCAAATTGACAAAAGTTAAAGACAAAGAAAAGTTATTAAAAGCAACAAGGGAAAAACGACAAATAACATACAAGGGGACTCCCATAAGGTTAACAACTGATTTCCCAGCAGAAACTCTACATGCCAGAAGGGAGTGGCATGATATATTTAAAGTGATGAAAGGGAATAAACTACAACCAAGATTATTCTACACGGCAAGGATCTCATTCAGATTCAACAGAGAAATCAAAAGATTTACAGAAAAGCAAAAGCTAAGAGAATTCAGCACCACCAAACCAGCTTTACAACAAATGCTAAAGGAACTTCTCTAGGCAGGAAACACAAATGCTAAAGGAACTTTACAACAATAAATGTGAAAGGAACAAATGCTAAAGGAACTTCTTCTCTAAGTGGGAAACACAAGAGAAGAAAAGGACCTACAAAAACAAACCCAAAACAATTAAGAAAATGGTAATAGGAATATACATATCGGTAATTACCTTAAATGTGAATGGATTAAAGGCTCCAACCAAAAGACACAGGCTTGCTGAATGGATACAAAAACAAGACCCATATATATGCTGTCTACAAGAGACCAACTTCAGACCTAGGGATACATACAGACTGAAAGTGAAGGGATGGAAAAAGATATTCCATGCAAATGGAAATCAAAAGAAAGCTGGAGTAGCAATACTCATATCAGATAAAATAGACTTTAAAATAATGTTACAAGAGACAAGGAAGGACACTACATAATGATCAAGGGATCAATCCAAGAAGAAGATATAGGAATTATAAATATATATGCACCCAACACAGGAGTACCTCAGTACATAAGGCAGATGCTAATAGCTGTAAAAGAGGAAATCGACAGTAACACAATAATAGTGGGGGACTTTTAACACCTCACTTACCCAATGGACATACCATCCAGATGGAAAATTAATAAGGAAACCCAAGCTTTAAATGACACAATAGACCAGATACATTTAATTGATATTTATAGGACATTCCGTCCAAAAACAGATTACACTTTCTTCTCAAGTGCACACAGAACATTCTCCAGGATAGATCACATCTTGGGTCACAAATCAAGCATTGGTAAATTTAAGAAAATTGAAATCATATCAGGCATCTTTGACAACCACAATGCTATGAGATTAGAAGTTAATACAGGGAAAAAAATGTAAAAAACACAAACACATGGAGGCTAAACAACACGTTACTAAATAACCAACAGATCTCTGAAAAAATCAAACAGGAAATCAAAAAATACCTAGAGACAAATGACAATGAAAACACGATGATCCAAAACCTATGGGATGGAGCAAAAGCAGTTCTAAGAGGGAAGTTTATAGCAATACAATCCTACCTCAAGAAACAAGAAAAATCTCAAATAAACAATATAACCTTACACCTATAGGAACTAGAGAAAGAAAAACAAACAAAACCCAAAGTTAGTCTAAGGAAAAAAATCATAAAGATCAGAGAAGAAATAAATGAAATAGAAACAAAGAAAACAGTAGCAAAGATCAATAAAACTAAAAGCTGGTTCTTTGAGAGATAAAATTGATAAACCTTTAGCCAGACTCATCAAGAAAAGGAGGGAGAGGACTCAAATCAATAAAATTAGAAATGAAAAAGGAGAAGTTACAATGGACACTGCAGAAATACAAAGCATCATAAAAGACTACTACAAGCAACTCTATGCCAATAAAATGGAAAACCTGGAAGAAATGGACAAATTCTTAGAAAGGTATAACCTACCAAGACTGAACCGGAAAGAAATAGAAAATATGAACAGACCAATCACAAGTAATGAAATTGAAACTGTGATTAAAACTCTTCCAACAAACAAAAGTCCAGGACCAGATGGCTTCACAGGTGAATTCTACCAAACATTTAGAGAAGAGCTAACACCCATCCTTCTCAAACTCTTCCAAAAAACTGCAGAGGAAGGAATACTCCCAAACTCATTCTACGAGGCCACCGTCACCCTGATACCAAAACCAGACAGAGATACTACAAAAAAATAAAATTACAGACGAATATCACTGATGAATATAGATGCAAAAATCCTCAAGAAAATACTAGCAAACAGAATCCAACAACACATTAAAAGGATCATACACCATGATGAAGTGGGATTTATTCCAGGGATGCAAGGATTCTTCAATATATGCAAATCAATCGATGTGATACACCATATTCACAAACTGAAGAATAAAAACCATATGATCATCTCAGTAGATGGAGAAAAAGCTTTTGACAAAATTCAACACACATTTTTAATAAAAACTCTCCAGAAAGTTGGCATAGAGGGAAGCTACCTCAACATAAGAAAGGCCATCTATGAAAAAAAAAAAAAAAAAAGTAGGAAAGGCTGAGACACACTCTCCATATAACCCCCACCCCTGGCATAGTCCCATAAAATTGGGAAGGAATCCCCAACTCCTGGCTTCTCCAGGAAGAGAGAAGGGTTTGGACCACAGTTCTAGTGTCCCTCCTTTCAAGGCTCCCACCTGAGGGATGGCCCTAAAATCACCTAGCTCTGATAGCCAAGAGGCTTAATGATAGCAAATAAAGAGGTAGTTGTTAATAGGCAGTGTGGCTATCCCCCCAGGGCTCAGTGCAGAGGGAGCAGGCAAAAACATCCATCGCACAGGTTCTCCCTGGAAGGGATTTGACTGCATACTTTCCCAGCTACTGCCTGAGTGTTCTAATCAGCCTGCAACTAGGTGCTGACTAAAATCTGCCCCTTTGGGACACGGATGGGTCTCAGCACATCCTCAACAACCGTGAGTCACTAAGAACAAAGATGGCAGCTTGGATAATCACAAAGGTGTGAGAAACAACAAGGAGCTCAGGCCCAGCTGATCGACGAGGTTCATCTCCTACATGAGACCAGTCTGTCAAGACTGGAAGAGGTGGCTGTCTTATCTAATGTGAGAAACCAACACAAAGAGTCAAGGAACATGAAACAGGAGAATAAGTTCCAAACAAAAGAACACGATTAATCTACAGAAACCGACCTCAACAAAATGGAGATAAGTTATTTACCTGATAGAAAGTTCAAACTAGTGGTCATAACGATGCTCACCAAGGTCAGAGAGCAATGCATGAACAAAGTGAGAATTTCAACGAAGACAGAAAATATTAAAACGTACCAAACAAAATATAGACCTGAAGAATACAAGAAGTGAACTGAAAAATTCAATAAATACTGCATGGTGTCATTTATATATGGAATGTAAAAAAAATTTCAAAAAAGGAAAGTTGAACTCATAGAAAAGAGAGTAGAATGGGGGTTGCTAGGGGCTGGGGGTTGGGGGAAGTAGAGAGAGGCTGGTAAAAGAGTACAAACTTTCAGCTATAAGATGAATAAGGTTTGAGAATCTAATGTATAACACGGTAAATATAGTTGATAATACTGTATTGCATAACTGAAATTTGCCAAGAGAGTAGAACTTAAATGTTCTCATCAAAAGGGGAAAAAAAGGGTTAAACATGTGAGGTGATGGATGTGTTAATTAACTTGATGATGGGAATACTTTCACAATGTGTACATATATCAAATCATCACATTGTATACTTTAAATATATTACAATTGTATTTTTATACTAGTATATTTTATTGAAATTTTATTTCTAAATTATACCTTAATGACCTAGAGATTATCATACTGAGTGCAGTGAGTCACAGAAGGAGAAATATCATATGATATCCCTTATATGCAGAATCTAAAAAGAAATTATACAAATGAACTTATTTACAAAACAGAATAAGACTCACAGACTTAGAGAATGAACTTACGGTTACCGGGGGGGAGGGATAGTTAGGCAGTTTGAGATCGACATGTACACACTGCCATATTTAAAATGGATAAGCAACAAGGACATACTGTATAGCACAGGGAACTCTGCTCAATGTTATGTGGCAGCCTAGATGGGACGGGAGTTTGGGGGAGAATGGATACATGTGTATGTATGGCTGAGTTGCTTTGCTGTGCACCTGAAACTATCCCAGCATTGTTAATCAGCTATTCTCCAATATAAAATAAAGAGTTAAAAAAATTATACCTTAATGAACCTGGGGGGGAAAAATGAAGAATACTCCACAAGTGGCCTTCATCATTAATTTCTTAAAATAGCAGCTCTGCATTTGAGGATAGCATAATTTAAGAAAGCACACAGCTCTTTTAGCTGTCATTACCTGTTGATCAAAACACCTGAGGTGAATGAAAACTTCCTGTGCAAGAATTGCTTCTGGTGGAGGTATTGGAATGAATGACCATCATCGAGATAGAATTCACCCACAGCAGAACCCTGGAGAGTGAATCACGGATAGAGAATGTGCTTATATAATAGCTTTCTAGGAAAAGACTGTCGCCTCCCTAAACGAAATAATAGATTTTTAAATCTATGAAAAATTATGTTGAACAACTGCTTAATATTCAAGCTGTACAAAGCAGTCATACAATATATACACTTACTACACATTTGTGAAATAACATGAATAAACAAGTCACACAAGAGGAGGACAAGGAGTTAGGCCTTGTTGAAAGAGATTTAAACTATGAAGTATGGTCAGCGGCATAGGTGGCTTCCCCCAAAATACTATCCTAGAAGGTGACAACAGGTCAAGAAAAGTTCACAGAATGGAAATGAAATTAAAAGAAAAAATTGGTATACAACATATGAGATCAACTATCTTTAGAAGACCCTCCATTTAGAGAACGGTATCTAGTTCCTACTGTCTTTTAGTAGGAGGACCACTTTTGCATGTCAGATAATATCACAGCACTCCATATGGCAGTTCACTGTTATTGACAATGTTTCATGTGCTATGGACCTCGAGTTTCTTGTAATTATTCCATGGCCTCACATGAGCCCGAGGTCCATAGTTTGACCCAAGAAAACATGCTTAAATGAAACGGATTGAAAAGAAAGATGTAAGAAAAAGAAAGCTTAATTATTTTATAATATTTGCTTAAGGGGCTTCCCTGGTGGCGCAGTGGTTGAGAGTCCGCCTGCCGATGCAGGGGACACGGGTTCGTGCCCCGGTCCGGGAGGATCCCACATGCCGTGGAGCGGCTAGGCCCGTGAGCCATGGCTGCTGAGCCTGCGCGTCTGGAGCCTGTGCTCCGCAATGGGAGAGGCCACCACAGTGAGAGGCCCGCGTACAGGAAAAAAACAAAAACAAAAACATATATATATATATTTTTTTTGCTTAAGAGTAAGGATTTGTGTTTGGCACTGTATTTTGGCAGATGGCTAGAAGAGGAATCTGTTATAGGCCTCCTTTGGCTCAAAAGATCTCCTCAAAAGGACAGATCAACTCTGGATCTTTCCAGGTTTTACCCAAGGAGATTGTAATTGTTTGAGCCATCTGATGAGCATAGAAGTCATTGCATGAGACTGTGTCCCTGGAATGTTGCATAGACACAGGACCCTTTTACAGGAGACTGAGATTCAGGGCTAATCCGTATGGCAGGCTGCCTATGGCTCAATGAGCTTTCAGTCCAGTGGTAATCAATGTCAAGCTGCAGAGCACCAAGGGTCACAGTGCCCTAGAGGAAATTTCTATTATTTCTAGTTCTAAGAGTACCCTTAAGGATAATTCCAGGAAAGTCAGACAAGAAATGATTCAAAACTTTGATTTCTACATAAACTTCAGAAGCACCTATCCCGTAGATGGGGTTCACCACTTTTACATAGTGTCACATACTCAAAGGCTACAACTATAAAGAGATAGAGTAGTAACAAACAAGATGTGTAAAAGTAACATTTTTCAAATACCTTAGTGCTTAGGGCCACCCAGAGTCCATATGGGGAATCAGTCATGCAGCCCGTGGATCTTCCTATAGTTGTCTTTATTGGTACCACACTTCCACCTCGTTGAAACACTGGTATCTATAACAGAGCAACACTCTCAGAGAAGGAGGATTCATATAAGGCAATTTCAAAGTAGACTTTTAAAATATTTCATTGTACAAGACTCACATTTGTTACAAGTATAGACTCAAAGGCAAAATAAATTTGTGAACACAGAGATGGCAAATATGGGGGCCCTGGCATTAAAAGGAAAAGAGTTCAAACACTAAAAATGGTTCATTTTTAAATTATTAGGGAAACTTCTCACCCTTCATCAATTTATTATCTGTTCTGACTATCATATAAGTAGCCTTTCCTGTTTTGTATTTTTAATTTTCCTGTCAATATAACAAACAAGTTTATTTCTAGGACCCTGCTAAAGAGGGAATTTGTCTGTCTGTATGAGCAGGCCCAGATGTACATATGTATGTCTTTATAAAAGATGGTAGGGACTTCCCTGGTGGTCCAGTGGTTAAGAATCTGCCTTCCAATGCAGGGGATGCAGGTTTGATCCCTGGTCGGAGAACTAAGATCCCACATGCTGCGGGGCAACTAAAGCCTGTAAGCCGCAACTACTGAGCCCATGCGCCACAACTAGAGAGAAGCCCACGGGCAGCAATGAAGAGCCCACACGCAGCAACGACAGATCCCATGTGCTGCAACTAAGACCTGACTAAGCCGGAAAAAAAAAAGATGGTAGTTTCTTGGTTTGGGAAAGATGACTGTTGTCCTTACTTCAGCCTATACCCTTCTTGCTCCTGCTTCCCTGATCACCAGGATGACTGACTCAATTCTGAGGGTAAAACTGTGAAACTTTTGCTATAGAAGCCACCAAGGGCACTTGAAGTGACTCTGACAACAGAGTAGGCATGGCCCCTATCTATGGGTCTTCTGGAATGGCATTCCCAGCCAGGACAGCCCAGTAGGTTTCCTGCCTCCCAGTGCAATCCTCTGTAAGGAAGCTCCCTGAATCACGTGAAGGCCTGTACTTTGCTCTGAGTAATGTACAAGCGGGAAGAAGAGCAAGAATACAGTAGTCCCCCCTTCCCCACGGGGGATTCATTCCAAGACCCCCAGTGGATGCCTGAAACCGAGGAGAGTACTGAACCCTATATAAAGGTATTTCCCCTACACTAATGGGCGGGTAGCACACACAGTGTGGATCTGCTGGACAGAGGGATGATTCATGTCCTGGGCAGGAGGGAGCAGGATGGCGCGAGATTTTGTCATGCTACTCAGCTCAGCGTGCAATTTAAAGCGTATGAATTGTATATTTCTGGAATTTTCCATTTTATGTTTTTGGACCACAGTTAATGTTTTTGGGTTTTTTCTTTTTAAAAAATTTTATTTATTTTTGGCTGCACTGGGTTTTCATTGCTGCACGTGGGTTTTCTCTAGTTGCGGCACGTGGGCTTCTCATTGTGGTGGCTTCTCTTGCTGTGGAGCATGGGCTCTAGGCGCGCAGGCTCAGTAGTTGTGGCACACGGTCTTAGTTGCTCTGTGGCATGTGGGATCTTCCTGGACTAGGGATTGAATCCATGGTCCCCTGCATTGGCAGGTGGATTCTTAACCACTGCGCCACCAGGGAAGTCCCACAGTTAATATTTTTGGGCCATGGTTGATTGAAGGTAAATGAAACTGTAGAAAGTGAAACCGCAGATAAGGGGGACTGCTGTATACATGAAGTTGGGAATCAGGATGGAAGTAGTCAAGATGTCCACCCTCTGCTTGACATGAAGTCAGCAGCAAGAAGTAAAGTACATTTACCTCCCCACCCTCATCAACCAATCTCTTCTTATTCTTTTTTTTTCCTTCAAAGAATGCGGCAGTAAGTTAGTATGAATGGGCTCTGGAGTAGGTGTTCAGTTGACCCGGGGTCTTGTCTCAGTTCTGCCACAATTAAGCTGCAACCCTGGACAAGGAATTTAACTTCTCTGAACCTCACTTTCTTCACCTGTAAGCATGAGGGATTCAAGTAGATGAATGGTGAGGTCTCTTCTAGACCTGAAGGTTGGCATCTGAAATCATTTTCTATATAATGGAGTTCATATTGCTGCTGAGAATTTTAAAAAATAATATCAATATCTCTTTATAAATCTTTACACTACTTAGGGCCTGTGGTAGTCATTGTGATTCAGCTGCAGGAGCAAACTTCCCTTCAGAAATGCAGCCTAGATGGGCCACTCTGAGTCTAAAACCATAACTCATAGCCTCCCCTTGGGCCTAGAGGTCCAACTAAAAACTCATGTTTTCTGAGTTGGTGTTGTAGAAGAATATTCTGTATGGTGTATGTGGAGACCATCATGTATACTCTCTGTTGTCAGTGTTATTATTTTTCTTAGACATACAAATGTAAATCAGAGTATTTTTTTTGTTGTTTTTGTTTTTGCGGTACGCGGGCCTCTCACTGTTGTGGCCTCTCCCGTTGTGGAGCACAGGCTCTGGACGCGCAGGCTCAGTGGCCATGGCTCACGGGCCCAGCCGCTCCGCGGCATGTGGGATCTTCCCGGACTGGGGCATGAACCCGTGTCCCCTGCATTGGCAGGTGGACTCTCAACCACTGCACCAGCAGGGAAGCCCCAGAGTATGTTTTTTATATTCTTTTTTTTCTCACATTTAACAGCCTTATTGATATAATTCATGTCATACAATTCACCCATTTATAGTGTACAATTAAATGTTTTTTAGTATATTCAAAGTCATGCAACCATTACCATAATCAATTTAAAATCACCCCAAAAAGAAACACTATACCCATTAGTGGTCACTCCCCATTGCTCCCAAAACCCTCTCCCTGCCTTCAGCTCTAGGCAACCACTATCGTGCAGAACACTGATGTCCTTGGTTCTTTCTATGTAGGCACATGTTATGGACTAAATGTGTCCCCACAAAATTCACGTTGAAGCCCCAACCCCCAAAGTGACTGTACTTGGAGACAGGGCCTTTACAGAGGTAATTAAGACTAAATCAGGTCATAGGAGTGGAGCCCTGATCCAAATGATTAGTGTTATAAGAGACAAGAGAGCTCACTCTCTCCCTCTGCCATGTGAGGACACAGCAAGGTGTCTGTCTACATGCCAGGAAGAGAGCCCTCACCAGGAACCGAATTGGTTGGAACCTTGATTTGGGACTTCCAGCCTCTAGAACTGTGAGAAAAGAAATTTCTGTTGTTGAAGCCACCCAGTCTATGGTATCCTGTCATGGCAGCCCGAGTAGACAAATACAGCACAATAGGTAAAAATAACAGTCTGAAAATAACTTACCGTGTCCAAGGCTACTGGGATCTTTACAGTACATGCTCCTTCCCAATGAGCAAATGTCTTAGAGTCATACCAGACCTGAAAAGAAACAGACCCTAATGAAAAAGAGTATATAAGCAACTCTGTTCACAATTTCATTATTTAGTGAAACATCCATTTATCTGGATTTCAAATAACCAGAAAGCTAAAATAAATACAATTAAAAAAATAAAAACACCTTGAGTAGAAGTTAGGAAGAACATATGCTTTTAAAAAGATCCCAAAGGAAAAACCTAGTACTGTGACAGATTAAGCTGACTAAAAGGCCATTCATTTTTCCATTCATCCATCCAAAAGTTATTTATAGATCAATCTACCATGCGCCCAGCATCGCTGGGTACACACAAGTGAACAGAGAGACACAGAACCTGCCCTCATGGATTTTACAGTCCAGTTGGCTTATAAAAACTTAATGATCAGCACCTCCCTTGTGGCACAGTGGTTAAGAATCCGCCTGCCAATGCAGGGGACATGGGCTTGAGCCCTGGTCCAGGAAGATCCCACATGCTGCAGAGCAACTAAGCCCATGTGCCACAACTACTGAGCCTGCGCTCTAGAGCCCGTGAGCCACAACTACTGAGCCCACGTGCCACAACTTCTAAAGCCCACATGCCTAGAGCCCGTGCTCCACAAGAGAAGCTACTGCAATGAGAAGCCTGCGCACCGCAACGAAGAGTAGCCCCCGCTCGCCACAACTAGAGAAAGCCTGTGTGCAGCAACAAAGACCCAATGCAGCCAAAAATAAATAAATAAAAATTTTTTAAAAAACAAAAAAACTTAATGATCTAGTAGTGAAAAAGACAATGGAAGAGAGAAAACCACAACAAAGCAGAAAAAGCACATTGCAAGCAAACAGATTACAAATGAGGCAGAAAAAAAAGTGTCAGACGGGGAAACAGATCTTAGAGAAAAACAAATGGAAACTTGGATTACTACTATAGTGTCATTGTTTCTTAACAGAGTTCAATTCAGGGATGAGGTTCAAACTCTTACCTGAGAGGCCTGTCAAGGGGGTTTACTTGCTAAAGTGCCAAAAAAGTCCTGCAAAGTAATTTGGTGGGATAAATCCTTAAGATACCATCAGAAGCAGCAAGAAAACAAAACCTTTTTCTCTCTTCTAGTTCAATGTAATTTCTGGCAGCCACAGAGTCTATTTCGCAAGTTCACCTCCTGGAATTACCAGAGCCTTTATAAAGCTGGGCTGTTGAATCTGTCATTGTCTGGCTGTGAATGTGAGAGGGCTGTGACCTGACAGTTGCTAGCTACAGTGAACTCTTAATTCAACTGGATCAGCCCCACCTTGTCATGAAGTATTATCTTTGGCTGGATTCAATTTGCTAATGTTTTGTCAAGGATTTCTGCGTCTGTGTTTACAAGGGATTTTGTCTTAGCTTTCTTTTCTCGTAATGTCTTTCTTTGGTGAATTCTACTAGCTTTAGATAAAAAGCTGGTGGGAGTGAAAGGTAAAAAAAAAAAAAGGATTCAAACAATATTTGGGGATTTCCTGTCGACCATTTCTAACTAACTGAAACGAGAGGTATAGAGTGTGTGCTCTGGTGCCATATTCAAAGATCTCCAGCCTAGGAAGCATACAACTGGTACAAAACATAATGTAGATCAGACCCAGAGCTTAGTCACCAAGCTCCTCACCCAGCAAGTACTTACAGAAGGCCTACTATGGGCCACGTGCCCATCTAGATGCTGGGGATACAGCAGAGACCATAACAGATAAAAATCACTGCCCTCAAAACGCTAACATTCTAATGGGAGAGATAAATAATAAACAAAACATAAAAGTAAATACACAGGATGTTTAAAATGGCATGTTCTGTGGAGAAATATAAAGGACGAAGGAGGGCTGGACAGAACCGGGGCAGTGGGAGTAGTTTATAATCTTTTTTAAAATTTTATTTTATTTATTTATTTTTCGCTGCATTGGGTTTTTGCTGCTGCATGCGGGCTTTCTCTAGTTGCGGAGAGCGGGGGCTACTCTTTGTAGCAGTGTGCGGGCTTCTCATTGCATGGCTTCTCTTGTTGCGGAGCACAGGCTCTAGGAGCGTCGCCTTCAGTAGTTGTGGCACGTGGGCTCAGTAGTTGTGGCTCGCGGGCTCTAGAGTGCAGGCTCAGTAGTTGTGGCACATGGGCTTAGTTGCTCTGCGGCATGTGGGATCTTCCCGGACCAGGGCTCGAACCCGTGTCCCCTGCATTGGCAGGTGGATTTTTAACCACCGCGCCACCAGGGAAGCCCCGGTTTATAATCTTAAACAGGGTGTCAGAGAAGCCCTCCCCGATAAACAGATTTGCAGGAGAGGGAATGGGCCACACAGAAACACGGGGAAGGTGACAGCAAGGCCTTTAGATAGCTCCCTGCACAGTGTGATGCACTACTAGCTAACCAGCAAGGTAAAGTTCTGGCAAGAAACGGCTTGGCTTTCCTACCCAGGCTTTGGGAAGATGTAGCAACAGAAACAATCACAGAACAGTCTGGGAAATAGTGTTGAAGGAATAGGTTACATAGTCACAACAATGTGATTGAAATATTAATAGGTCATTATAGAAATTTGTGGTTAAGTCAGAAAGGGAGCTCGTTCTTCTCAATGGGAACTTACGCTTTGTCAGAATCGACTTGAGAAACTCTCAGCAGAAATGCTTGGCAGGACAATTTATTTAGCTGTTGTTATATTTAACTTTTTTCTCAGGTTTCTGCTTGGCAGGGGAACCTTTGTAAAGAGCCCCACCTTCAGAACTACAAATTACTAGAGAAACCAAGCAGAAAGAACATCATTCATGAGCACTCTGTAGAAAAGCCTGGTTATTGTCATATCAGTAATGACAAGTGTAGTGGGCTGAATGGTGGCTCTTCAAAAAGATATATTTGCTTCCTAATCCCTGGACGGAGTGAATATTACTTTCTATGGTAAGAGATTTGACTAAATTAAGGATCTTGAGATAAGGAGGTAATCTGGAATTATTCAGATGGTCACTAAATAACATCACAAGTGTCTTATAAGAGACAGTGGTAGGGGAGACACAGACACACACTGTGAAGATGGAGGCATGGACTGAAGTGATGCAGCTAGAAGCCAAGGAATGCCAAGGAGTGCAGGCAGCCACCAGAAGCTAGGAGAGCGGTATGGAACAGATTCTCCCTCAGAGCCTCCAGAAGGAACCAGACCTGGTGACACCATGATTTCAGACTTCAAGCCTCCAGAACTGTGAGAGCACAAATTTTTGTCATTTTAAGCCACCAAGTTTGAAGGGAAGAGACGTGAGGCATGTAAGGTATGCGGATGTTTGTCATTTACTTTTACCTCACTTGATCCTGGCAGAAACACATCAACCACAGTAGCTTTTGGTTCTGTGACTGGGTGAACCAATAAAGCGCTTCCTGAAAAGTGGAGAAGAAATAAAGTTGAATATCATGATAAGAGGTCTGAAAACATCCCTTCTCTTTGTGGTTTCAAAGACCACTCAACTGAACTTCTTGAAGGTAGAGATCTTGGTGAGTTGAACCAATGATTCATCAGGGAGATGCACTGTTAGTTAGAAAGAGGACAGGTGCTCAGAGGTAACTGTATTATTACCTGTCATTAATCCTCCTATGGTATAGTAGGATTACAGGCAGGGACCCTGACAAGTCTGGCACAGCCTTATTTTGTGCATAACTGTCATCTGAAAGCACCATTGCACTTCTCTAAGTGCTTCATTGTTTGCTATACATGACTTTGAATGTGGTGAGTCTACAACTGTGACCCAGAAGTGTGGTCCACATAGATACTCAGGTCCTCTTCCTTGGGCAGGTATCACTGGAAGCCTGTAATTCTCTTAAAGGCAATCTGGATTATTAATTTCATTTTGATCTTGGCACCACCATATGTAAAATTCATCCATTTATGAATTTGCTCTTTAATTCAACAAATATTCATTGAGTTCCTCCTGAGTCCCAGGCACTGTGCTAAGGCTCTGGGGACAGAGTGACAAATAAGACAGACATGGTCCCCACCCTCATGAAGTTTACAGTCAGTAAAGACAGATATTAAACAAGTAATTACAAATTAATTAGAGTTAAGACAAATACCAAAAAGATGAAAGTACAAAATGGAATGAAATTTACATAACAAGAGGGACTGACTTTGACTAATGCAGGTGGAATTAGGTATTAGGAAGCAATTTTGGTCAGGGAAATTTTCTCCAGGGGAAGTAGCTTTGAAATTTGAGACCTAAGAATGAGTGGAGACCAAAAGAGATAGGTTGTTTACATTTTGGGGTTTCTGCTCTTTAGAAATGGAATTCACCTTTTGGGCAATTCTGTGTTGAGCCTGGCTTCTTGACCCCATTCCACAAATGATAAACTTCCATGTTCCAAATCTGGTTAACCCTTGTTAAAGAAGAGGCCAACCAAAACAAACAAACAAAAAAACCCCAAAAAACCAAAACCAAAAAAACCCAAAAAACAAAACAAACAAAAAAACCAAACCCAAAACAAACAAACAACCCTATCTTGCATACGAAATAAGCTCTTCTGAGCCTTTACTATCTGGTTTACTTTTTTCTACTTCCCTTCCCTGTGGTGGTATCATAAGGCTTAGGAGTGGACCCAGACAAGAATCCCAACTTACATCCACAAATAAAATGGGTTTATGTGAAGTTAACATGTTATGCGAAGCGCTGCATGACAAGAGAATAGAGCTGTGATCCCACTAATACACTAAAGATCTTGGTGATGGAATTTCTTTTATTTTTGTTTTTGGCTTTCTTGAGATTAGGGATTTTTAAGCATTCTTACACTAGAAAATACAATAAGGAAAACATAATTAAAGTATTTATCATAACTATAATTAATCAAGAAATGCTCACCCAGCATGTATTCATCTTCCACACTGAAAGTCTCTAATTCATCAGGGAACTCTACCCACAGAGGCCTGGGGAAAGGAAAAAAGAAATTTCTTACTTCAATATCATTAGATTTTTATTATAATTCAGTCACTTAGATTTTCAGTTTTATAACTATTCAAAGGAAATTGGAAAAAGCCAAGACTCTTTTTGTATGATTCATGATTTTATGAGGGCTTCCCTGGTGGTGCAGTGGTTAAGAATCTGCCTGCCAATGCAAGGGACACAGGTTCGAGCCCTGGTCCGGGAAGATCCCACATGCCATGGAGCAACTAAGCCCGTGTGCCACAACTACCGAAGCCTGCGCGCCTAGAGCCCACGCTTCGCAACAAGAGAAGCCACCGTAATGAGAAGCCCGCGCACTGCAATGAAGAGTAGCCCCCACTCGCTGCAACTAGCGAAAGCCCACATGCAACAACGAAGACCCAACACAGACAAAAATAATAAATTAAATAAATACATTTATAAAAAAAGATTTTATGAGCACTTGTTATGATTACTATATATTTTTCTTATGTGAAAGAGCTATGTATTAGCTTAAATGGTTCAATGAAAGCTTGAGAATTCTGGTACCTGAAATTTCCCCTTCTTATTGTTGAGCACTAAATACTACTCTGACAGAATCGGAGCTTTGTCCAAGTCCAAATGCCTAACACGTTTGGTGTAAAACAACTTAAATGTTTGTAAAACCGAATTTTATAGTGTTGTAAAATCTGTGCCATTTTTTCATTCTGTCACTGCTTTTCATGAATCGTTAATCATTGCCTATTTAAATAAAAATAATTGTTTTTTCTTGTTCTCAAGCTGGCAACATTTTTGGAGGTTTCAGAAACTTGTGTGGGTTTTGAGTTTTGTTTTATTGTTATTGTACACAACTAACTAGGAGGCACATGGGCTTATAAAAATCATAAAACTTTCAATATCTATGTATCTGGATATTAACCTAATGGTTCTAATATTATTTTCAATTTCATGAGGAAAAGATATTTTTTAACAAGAGAAACTTATTTTTAGTTTATTCACTAGCCTTTGTAATAATCTATTCCTTTTCTACTAAATATAACAAAGCAGCGGTCTCTAAACCTGGTTGATGTCTAAAATCACCAGGGAAACTTCTAACAAATATATATCCCTGGAACTTAACCAAGGGATTCCTAGTAGGTTTGGTGGTATGGCCTTGGAATCTGTATTTCTCAAAAGCTCCTCGGATGATTCTGATCTGAGCCAGACTGAGGAACTGCTAATCTAGAGGTCTTGATGTATTTACTATGTTTGTCTCCGTGTGTACTGTTCTCTAACCCAGAAAGTTGGTATTCACATCCTGTCTTCAAAATAGAATCAGAATATAACTCATACACTAGGAAAAGCCCTAAGGGTAAGATAGAGCTAAGCCTGGCAGAATAAGTTGTTCTTCATGAGCGGATGCTTGTGGGTGCTGGGACAAAAAAACAACTTTCCTCTACCCGTCTAGGTTCTTCTGGCTGGTCTAAGAATTAAATTGACATGAGAGTATTTAACAGGAGAAAATCAAATTTAATTATGTACATATGAGGGGGTTCCATAAAAATATGATGCCTAAGGACAAGATCGGCAATTGAGGCTTATATAACACCTGAGAAAAGGAGAAGGGAGTGGGTTTGGGACTTCAAAGGGGAGGAAGGATATTCACTCGGAGATGGAAAAACAAATGTTTGGTAAACAAATGTTTGCTGGGCCATGCAGAGAAAATGGGACACAGAGAGGACTTCGGTCCCCACGTTCCCCCTACCATGCTTAGCTCATGTTCCTTGTAGATATCTCTGATGATAATGTACTTCCTGGACCAGGTCCTTTAACTAAATTCTTTTAGGCAGTTAAGGAGGAGGTTAAAAAGAAAGACTTCCTGAGCCTTTTGTTTCTTAAAAACAATCAGCCCCCAAGAATCCTCAAGCCAAAGAGACACATTTTGTGGTGGCAAGTTTTGTAGGGGAACTACATGGGTTAAATATTGGATGAATTCAGTTACAAAGTCACTTCCTTTTTCTTTTCTTTCTTTCTCCTATTTCTGTCTCCTACCAGATATTAACACTTGAACCACCAAGTAGCAGGAGATCTAGTTTTTATCTTCTGTGACCTCCACTGCCTGACCCTGCTCACAGTTGGTGCTCAATAAGCCGATTGGCACTTGGTTAAACACCTGGCTTTTCTTTGCAATCACTGTAGTCACTCCATTGCCAGTGGCTGAGGGGATCTTCTGGTAGAGACTGGTTGCTGGTGTGACTGGTGAAGCCTGTTTACCTCATGACGGGTTGGGAAGCCACGTGTGCAGAGTAGAACAGAGAATACCAGTAGGGCAGGAGGGCATAGCGCTCTCTGATGGCTTCTTGGATGAGCCGGGTGTGCTCCTCCCCAAAGAGCCAGGGTTCCCGTCGCTTGGTGTTCTTGGTGGCATGGCCACGGAAGAAGGGCTGGTAGGCTCCGGCCTGGTACCACCGCACTAGCAGCTCTGCCTCTGGATTCCCGATGAAGCCGCCTACATCCGCTGATTAGTCAATTAAGAAAGGTTGAGTCAGACACCCAGGCGTCTAACAGACGATGTACACAGGTAAGATAAGTCCTTGAAGACGGACAGGGCAAAGGCGCTGTATGCACACTCAAAATGACAGCATAAAACTGTGGCCTCAAATTAGGGAGCACATACTAAAAAACTCAAGGCTGTTTGGGGATCTGACAGTACGCTCTTTGAATATATTTTTTTCCTGTCAAAAGGCTTTACTGCAAGATCAACATTTCTGTATGTCCTGAGCCCAGGTAACCCAGAAATTGCAAAATGTCTGCCTGATTCAATAAGTCTGTGTTTAGGGGTGGGGTGGCGGTTTGGCAATTGATTTCGTTTGAAATCAACAGCTGAAGCAAGATAAAAATTACAGAAAGAACTAAAGGGAAAGATATAATCAGAATTAGAGGTTTAGGGAGAAATTCGTGCTTATCCCTTAAGCAGGATACATATTCCTTGTATTGAATGTGGACCAATGCCATAAAAAACCACATCTATCAAAAAGTGATATTAAGGTGCTCCCAGGCCCACTGAAAACAAGGAGCAGCTGGACCTGTAGCCATGCTGAACACCTTCCATACTGGGATCTCTCACCTGCAGGGAATTGTTAGGATTAGGGAAAGGCAGCCCATCAGAGAATCTTATTTTAATTAAATTTATCTTTTCAGAGAGAGAGAGAGAGAGAGAGAGAGAGTGTGAGAGAGAGAGAGAGAGAGAGTGTGTGTGTGTGTGTGTGTGTGTGTGTGTATGTGTGTGTATTTAACAGTTAAAACGTGTCACAGGCTGATTTCTGATTTGCTAAATTCTTTGTAGTTCTCTCCATTTTTCTCACTTTCAGGTAGAAAAGGCATGTTTTAAGAAGAGAAACTCCGTTATCAAGAGTGTCTAAGGAGGGAGCAGTAAGAGAATGAGGGAAAGAAACATTCTGGCTCACTTTCTGATGACTTTCTTCATGTCCTCAGTTCAGACAGTACACACACAGCTCTGAAGCATCCCCTTCACTCTCCTCTCTAGTCTGCTCTCCTTCACTCTCCTCATTTTCTTTTTCCCATGTTTACCCCTGTTTCCCATCCAAGTACTAACCAGGCCTGACCCTGCTTAGCTTCTGAAATCAGAGGAGATCGGGCACGTTCAGGGTGGTATGGCCATAGAGTATCCCTGTTGAAAACAGCTCACAAGAAGAGATCTGTGACCAGCTTTGATGAAAATACCCTCCCTTTATATGGCTGATTGATTTTGTTCTGCAGTGGAGGCTAACAGCATTGTAAAGCAACCACACTCCAATAAAAATTAATAATAATAATAAAAAGAAAACACCCTCCCTTTGATTTTCTCTCACGTCAAGCTTGAGGATATCACTTACCTCCACAAAAAGAGATCCCAGTCACGCTGAGGGTGAGTAACATAGGGATAGAAATTTTCAGGTAACTCCACTCTGCTGTGTTGTCACCTGTCCACACAGCACCTTTGGTCATCAGTAAGAAGGTATTAAAAGAAAAAAAATCACAAATCAGCCCAGGTACTCAATTTCATATTTAGATTCCTTATTTGTAATAGGCAAACCAACATAAAGGAAAACATTTCTTTCTTTTTATATATTCTGGATACAAGTCCTTTGACAGATATATATGTATATTGCAAATATCTTCTCTCAGTCTGTGGCTTGACTTTCATTTTCTTAACAATATCTTTGAAAGGGCATAAGTTTTTAATTTCGATGAAGTCCAATTTATCTTTTTTTATTTTATGGTTCATGTTTTTTGTGTTCTAGCTAAGAAAGTCCCAAAGTCACGAAGATTTTCTATGTTTTCTTCTAGAAGCTTTTTGTTTGTCATAGCTTTTATAATTTAGGTCTATATTCCATTTTGAGTTACTTTGTGTCTATGGTGTAAGAGTCAAGGTAGCCCCTCCCCCACATGGATACACCATGTGCCAGCACGATTTATTGAAAAAACTCCTTTCTCCATTGAATTGCCTTAGCAACTTTGTTGCTAATCATTTGATCATATATGTGTGGGACCCTTTCTGGATTCTCTATCCTGTTCCATTAATCTATATGCCTATCCGCCACACACCGCCCCTAACTCCATAAAATCCTCTATAAGAGGACTTAAGACGGTACAAGGGAGACATAATAGCAGCAATAACAATAGTTAACATTTACAGAGCCCTCACTGAGCCAGGTGTTACGTTGCTTTGCCTGTATTATCCCACTTGATCATTACAACAACTCTATCAGGTAAACATTGTTTAACTTTATTTTACAGTGAGGGAAATATGGCAAACAATGGATATGGTAGGATTTGAGCTCAGGCAGTCTGACTCTAAAGTCAGTGCTCTTGCGCACTGAATAGTTGATAAGAGCTTGTAAAGGTATATAACACTAAAGAGGATCATAAAAGGAAAAAAAACTCTTACGTTACTAAGTCTAGACTACTCCTGAAACATTTTTGTCAATCTTTTACCAAAATACTTTTGGTAGCTATTTTTGCTTTAATATTCTGTAGAAATTTTAGGCTGTCCTATGGGGAGCAAAGAAAAATATTTTCGAGGGACTTTTAAAATAGTATTCTCATAATTTCTCCTTGACTTCAGATGAGATATGTACATATCTGCATAATGATGTTGAAACCCACATGACAACATTCTTATCAAGAAACGAAGTTCATGTAAACGTTCAGATGTTTTCAGGTCTCATGTGGTTGTTCTGCTGAAAGCTCTCTCTGGCTATTGGTCTCAGCATAGAACTTGACACAGCAGTGTTCTCTGTAATGCCTCACTTGCTATGCTTTGGGGCAAATCGATAGCTTCACACAGAGTACTGAAGACTAGGCAGTGAGCCAATATTTAAGAGATCAAAGATTACTTAGTATGCGTATCTTCTGTTATCTTCTTTTTAAATTGGAGTATAGTTGATTTACAATGTTGTGCTAATTTCTACTGCACAGCAAAGTGATCCAGTTATACATATATACACAGTTTTTAAAATTCTTTTCCATTGTGGTTTCTCTCAGGACATTGAATATAGTTCCCTGTGCTACACAGCAGGGCCCATTGTTTATCCATTCTCTATGTAATAGTTTGCATCTGCTAACCCCAAACTCCCAGTCCATCCCTCCCCCACCCCCGTTATCTTTTTTAAACTGCTGCTTATAAGTGTTTTCATTCAAAGACTTTACTTGTTATAGTGATTAAAAGGGATACTTGTAGAGAATTTGGAAAATAGAGATAAGTAAAAAGAAGAAAATTAAAATCACTCATAATCACCACAGTATTATAATTACTTAGATTACTACCTACATATATTTATTTTTTTAACAAAATCAGGATAATATATAAACATTTAGGCTTTCTGCTTTTTTTTTCTTTTATCATGATGTCACAAAAATTTTCTCATGCAATTAATGCTACTATATTAAATAGCCTTATGACAGTCGATCATACGGATATACCATAATTTAATAACTATTCCCGTATTGTTGGCTATTTGGATTTTCTTTATTTTTTATTTTAAGGACTAATGCTGAGTATCTCTGTACTTGAATCTTTGCCTGATGATTATATTTTGGCATCTTTCAGAGTGCCATTGGGGCTGGTTTTCAGGGGTGGAGTAGGAGGCCTAATATTGTCTATGGTACAATAAAGGCTGGATTCCTCAAACTAGGACCTAAGCTTCAGGTTATTTATGCAAGGCCAGGGGACTTAAAATAGCCTTCCTGCCACAGGGTGGTTAAGTTGAACTAGATCTACATTAGCTAGTAAACCGGATCCAGTTATAGATGACGCTGACCACAAGCAAAAGCTGGGTCTATTTTAAACCGCATTGCTGAGTGGAACAGGTGGTTGAAGGAATGTGTTAAAGTATATTTTCTCTGGTCTTGATAAATAAAAGAGACAGGATCAGAGATGACCATCCCAGGACCTAGAGTCTGTCACACAGAGTGAAGTAAGTCAGAAAGAGAAAAACAAATATCGTATGCTAACACATATATATGGAATCTAAAAAAAAAGGTCTAAAGAACCTAGGGGCAGGACAGGAATAAAAATGCAGATGTAGAGAATGGACTTGAGGACACGGGGAGGGGGAAGGGTAAGCTAGGATGAAGTGAGAGAGTGGCATTCACATATATACACTACCAAATGTAAAATAGATAGCTAGTGGGAAGCAGCCGCATAGCACAGGGAGATCAGCTCGGTGCTTTGTGACCACCTAGGGGGTGGGATAGGGAGGGTGGGAGGGAGACGCAAGAGGGAGGGGATATGGGGATATATGTATATGTATAGCTGATTCACTTTGTTATACAGCAGCAACTAACACAACAATGTAAAGCAATTATACTCCAATAAAGATGTTAAAAAAAAAGATGACCATCCCAGCAAACAGATACTCTGAAGTCATTCTCCCAACAACTAAGTGTCCAGTTCTTCAGTGGGAAAAAAGTAACTAAACTTTATTAAAATTGGTTTACTCAGTCTCAAAGGACAAAATGCACACTTCAGAGCACATTGCTCTCTACAATCTAAGACCTGACCTACTGAAAAGGAAGGCATCAACACAGTAGCACCATATACCATATATGGTCAAAAGAGACAGATTGCTAGCTTGTGTTTTTAAGTCTGATCATATGAACCAGTCCTTACCATATTTTTGTGATCCAGCAAAGAAAGAACGTGTAAGAACAAAGGGTCTCTCCTTCCCTTTAGATCGCTGGATCAGTCCTTCTGCAGTGGCCATTTGCTATAAAGTCAAAGGAGAAAAATTTCAAAGAGATGACTGGATTAGGTCACTGTGCAGACATCCCCAATAAGCTATTTCACATGCAAAAAGTAAATAGTAGGTGGGAATGTGAAATGGAAAATACTAAAAATCTGCCCAATAATTTTCATGATGTAATGAAACTACTCTAAATTCCCCTATTAAAAGAGTGAAACAATTTATCTCATTAAAATAGCAATGAAATAATAGTAAATAATTGTATTTACTTGGTGCTTACTATTGTGAGGCATTTTTATAAGATTTTCTCTAGTAACCTACACAAGAACCTCTGAGACTGATTCAGAGAGGTTAAGTGACTGGCCCTGGCCTACATAAGAAAATTCTCCAGCTATAAAGTATTGATAGTTTACAGTTATAGCAAGAGGCTGTGTAGAGAAGTACACAGATAGCATCTGAAAATCGTGCTATATGTAGCCAGCAGCTCCCGCTGGAAAACAGCAATTTGTGGGAGGCCCACAGGAACACCATTACATTTTGAAGATAACAAAGAACCAAGGATATAAATTAGGGCAAGTGACTGCCAAGTTTTTTGGATGTGACTGGCAAATGGAAAACAATTCTACCACCTTCTATTGAGAAGACTAAGTACTTAAGGAAGGCTTTCTACTTTTAGAAGTATACATATTGAAATTGTGCATCTGTGGTCTAAATCTTACTCCCCTGGTATGAATATAAGACTTGCTGTATTTAGACGTTTGTGAAGTTTAAAAAAATCTGTTTTAATTGCCTTTGTTTACATATTTATACACAGCCTACTTCAATAAAAGGTTTGAGGTATTATCTAATGCCATTTACTAATGGCTCCTGTCAAGGAAGATGTTTCTATGTTATCATTAATCGACCAATATCTATAAATTAATCAAGTTCATTATAGATGGAAAAAATGCAAAGGGAGAAATAATGAGTCTTATACTGGCTACAACCTGATAAGACCCATTGTATCAACAGTTGTCAGAAAAGACACACAAAGAAATGAACTGTATAGCATGGTTGTTAAAGCAAATGACTTTCAGCCCAAAAGTCAGGGCACATGGATCCAGGTGGCTGCTTTTTAGATGTTTTACCTGATAAAAGCCATAGATGTTGTGAAGTTCTCGGTGCTCCCAGTTGCCATGATGAATGGCATTCTTCTGCATGGTTAGTTCTGGCCCTCTAAAGACAGAGGGCTCATTCATGTCGTTCCATATGTAGAGGATGTCAGTAGATCCCTAGGAAGTCAATCTTGGTCATGATAAAACTCCTACAGTGACAAGGTTAATATGATAGCCGTCCCTATTCCTCTTTCTTACTCCATTTAATTTATTATTTGTTACGTTTATTATCTATGCTCTGTCCCCTGCTAGGTTAAAAGTTCCACAGGGCAGGGAATTTTGTCTGTTTTGTTCATTGATAAATCCCAAACACCTAGAACAACCTAAATGGTAGAGGGTTCTCAATAAGTACTTGTTGAGCACTTATGAATGAAAGAGTGCTGTGCTGTACTCCCACGTGGCCCACAGGTCTGCTCTGAGACCCCCTGGAGAACCACTATAGGAAGGTTGTGAATGTTCACAATTAGGCTCTACATCACCCATCATCTGCTACAACTCTTAACTATGGGCAACTATAGCTGTCCATGAAAAGACTCCCCCTTCCCTCGAACACTATGAAAGGTTTGGCTAGGACACCCGTTTCTTAGCAGGATCTATAGTGTGTGTTCTACATAGAATTGTTAGCTTTAGAGTGGGAAGGGGCTGTTGAGTCATGTAGTTAACATGGTGCTGCAATCCCTTTATAGAATCCCTGGTCTCTCAGCATTTGACTCAATAGCTACAATGACTGGGAGTCCCTCAGGCAGCTCATTCCATTATCTTCTGAAAGTCTTGCTCCTTTGCTCCTTGCTCCTCTCACAGGGCCTAGCTTGCCTTCTGGGATACCACAGAATACATCTGCTGCCTCCCCGACATGGTAGCCTTTCAAATGACTGGAGGAGGCTTATATGTTTTCTTTTGACTCTTTACTTTGAATTATTTCTAATCATGTATACTTCTATGAACACGGCTATATAGATTCCAAATATTTAACCACTTTGACTGTTCTTTTTAGCACCCTCTAAGACAGGGGTTGGCAAACTTTTTCTGGAAGGACCAGACAGTAAATATTTTCACCTTTTCAGGCCATAAGTCCTCTTTTTCAATAACCCAACCCAGCTATAGTTATGTGCAAGCAGCCTAGACAATAGGGAAACAAATGAGCAAGGCCAGATTGGCCCACGTGTTCTTTACCCCTGCTCTAAGTTATTTTCTATATCCTAATACAGGATGCTCAGAAACTAGAGTTTAGTGGTTAAGAGCTGGGCTTGGGAGACAGACAGACCTGAGTTCAAATCTTAGGTCCACCACTTACTAGATGGGTGAACTTAGCAGGTTTTTACACTTGTCCATGCCTTGATTTCCTCACCTGTGGGATTAGAGTTAATTACAATTCCAACTTCAAAGAGTTATCGTGAAGATGAAATGGTATAATGCACACAAAGTGAGTAGCATAGTGCTTGGCACACAGCACATACTCAGTTTATATCAGACATCATTATTCTCATCACCACCGCTGATTGAAAACGGTTCTCTAGATGTGGCCTCTCCAGTTCTCTCTGTGATTCTTATAAGATTTTAAGAATTATTATTGTACCTTACTTTTAATATCACGTTATACTTTGCAAGATACTTTCTCATATATCATTATCATCATCTTTAATAATATTATACAATACTATTTTATGTAAAAATTTATACAGTTTGAAAATATAATAAGTCTCTATTATTAAGTACTTTGATATATCATAGAGTCTATCATAATAGAAGTCAAAATCACAGCTTTTGTGCACTTGGTAATTCATATGGCACCACTCCTGGTACCACCAAGGTCTGTAATGTGGTTGGCATCCCTGTCTTTTTTTTAAGATTTATTTTATTATTTATTTATTTATTTAATTTACTTTTGGCTGCGTCAGGTCTTAGTTGCGGCACATGGAAACTTTGTTGAGGCATGCGGGATCTTTTGTTGAGGCGCGTTGGTGGCACAGGCTTCTCTCTAGTTGTGGCGTGTGGGTTTTCTCTAGTTGTGGCGTGCAGGCTCCAGGGGACGTGGCCTCTGTAGTTTGCGGCACACAGGCTCTCTTGTTGAGGCGCCCAAGCTCAGTAATTGTGGCGTGCGGGCTTAGTTGCCCCATGGCATATGCCCCATGGCATATGGGATCTTAGTTCCCTGACCAGGGATTGAACCCACATCCCCTGCATTATAAGGCAGATTCTTTACCACTGGACCACCAGGGAAGTCCCTGGCATCTCTGTCTTTTCATACAAGTATTATTTATCAAGAGCTACTCAGTGAAGCAGAGTAGCTCTATTTAATCACTTTTTTTCCTTACTTTATCCTTCCAAGTAACTAGGAAAGAGCAAAAGAATAAAAACAAACCTGATAAACAGAGAAAGCAAAAAGACTGGAATACCACTCTCTGACTTTGGGACTGGTAAAATCCAGGTAAGAGGAGAGACCTGCAGAGGCAGAGGAGTAGACAGCCTGTTAGGAATGGTGCTCCTCATGGTAATATATTTGTAAAGAAGAATATCAGATGTGAAAGCTGGGTAATGAATGGGCACCTCACATCAAATGTGAAAGATAGCTGATACAGAGGCACGGTCTGGTGAGAAACGAATGAAGAAGGCAATGCTGGACTCCAGTGACAATCACTAGCTCTCTCAAGCTCAGCGGCCAGGGGAATGCCAATGAACAAGCATCAAGGTGGAGCCTGTCCCTCACTGATGGCCTCAGACAGGCCCAGTAAGGATGGCAGATAGCCTGGAGTGACCTCTCTGTTCTTAAAGAGAGGAGAGGCATGTTTATAAGTGGTACAGGGAGAAGAGGAATGCGTGTGGTTTCTCTACAGTGCATGGACTTGTGATAGAGTGCTATCATATGACAGAGTGGTGATTCCCTTTTGTCCTTGAGGAGTTTTTACCAAGGCTTTAAACTAATAATTTCTGAAATGAAGACTTCAGAGTTGTCAGGGGCAGCTGAGGTCACTCATGAAAGGCTGGGAAGTCAAAACTATGGGCTAACAGGGCAAAGAAGAATCACAGGGAGAGAGATTGCAGGATTCTTCTTCTTTCTTCCTCTTTCTTCTCCTCTCATTTTCTCACTCCCTGGCTTTTAATTTTTATTTGCTTAGGGAAATAGCATGGCACTGAGGTTTGCTTGTTAATTTTTCATTCATTCATTGACTTATAAATGTATACAAAGCACACTGTACCAGATGTTAAATGAAAGATATAAATGAAGATAATACTATCATCTTTAAGGAAAGGCACATAAATGTAGCATGTGACAACTTCAAGAAATTAGAAAGATGGCCATGCAACCTTCATTAGTTGGGACTAAACAGTGGATAACAGGTGTTTCAAATGACATCTTACCAGGCCAGCATACACCTTCAAAGTCTCCCCCTTCATGATTCCTCACAAAGAAGCCCTGTTCTTTGGCCTTAGCATACACTAAGTAGTCGGGATCAATCTTGATGTGGGGGTCACTAATGACCACAAGCTGTTAGGACATAAACGTTTAAAGATTTCATCAGTTTTATATGAGCCATACGTTCATTTACTTGTTTTCATCATAGCTTTGGCATTCAAATTTTACTCAAAACAACTACTATTACTGAAATATTTCAGATACCAGTAAAATCCTATAAACTTCCATGGGCTTATGGGAATATAAATTGATATCAGAACCAGGCCCATCCTTTTTCACAATTATTGCTGCCCCACCAATACATGTTCTTAAGATCACATTTATTAGGCTTCTATCTCTCTGTGGTGCTGGGTGCTTTACATAAAGGATTAAGCAGGCAAGGTCCCTGCTCCCTAGATAGCCAGAGGCTAAGATAACACAAAAGAAAACATTAAAGAAAAGAAACTAGCATATTAAAAACAAACAAAAAATCCCCAAACCTAAATATGGTACAGCCATATTTAGGAAGGAGGCTTGAGAAGAGCTGTGATCACAGCACTATTCTCCAGCATCTCTCCCTGCCCTTCTAATACCATCACTTCCACATGCTCGGGGGCCTCAAAACCACTTTATTTGGCTAGAATAACCTTCTAATAATCCTTCCTCATATCTATTCAAATCTATTCTACATACTAAAGTTTAATTCTCCATTGCTCAAAAACTTACAAAATTTTTAAATTGTGGTAAAATATGCATAACATAAAATTCACCATCTTAACCAATTTTAAGTGTACAGTTCAACAGTGTCAAAAAGATTCACAATGTTGTACAATGTCTAGAACTCTTTTCATCTTGTAAAACTGAAACTCTATACCTATTAAAAACAACTTCCCGGGACTTCCCTGGTGGTCCAGTGGCTAAGACTCTGTGCTCCCAGTGCAGGGCTCCCGGGTTCAATCCCCGGTCAGGGAATTAGATCCCACATACCACAACTAAGAGTTCGCATGCCACGACTAAAGATCCCGCATACTGCAACTAAAAGATCCCACATGCAGCAACTAAGACCTGGTGCAGCCAAATGAATAAATAAATATTAAAAAATAATACTCAAAAATCCCCCAAAAAAACAGAAAAACAACTTCTCACTCCCTCCTCCCCACCAGCCTTTGGCTACCACCATTCTTCTTTCTGTCTCTATGATTTTGACTACTCTAGGTATTACAGATTAGTGAAATCATATAGTACTTGTCTTTTTTTTTTTTTTTTTTTTTTGCAGTACGCAGGCCTCTGTTGTGGCCTCTCCCGTTGCGGAGCACAGGCTCCAGACGCGCAGGCCCAGCGGCCATGGCTCACGGGCCCAGCTGCTCTGCGGCATGTGGGATCTTCCTGGATCGGGGCACGAACCCGTGTCCCCTGCATCGGCAGGCAGACTCTCAACCACTGCGCCACCAGGGAAGCCCAGTATTTGTCTTTTTGTGACTGGATTATTTCACGTAGCATAATGCCCTTAAGGTTCATCCATGTTGCAGCATGTATCAGAAAGTCCTTCCTTTTAAAGGCTGAATAATTTTGCATTGTATATGTATACCACGTTTCCTTTATCCGTTCATCTGTCTATGGGCTCTTGGGCTGCTTCCATAATAAATGCCTGATAAATGGTAGGTGTTTATTAATTGGGAGATTAAGAATTAACACCACTGGCTCTGACCACCTGTGAAAGGCCTGGGGCTCAATGCAATGGGTTGAAAAGGCAACTTTAATCTCAGATCCATTTATGTGATACATATGGGGTTCCTCCTTTTTCCTCTCTTGTTTTTTTCTCCACCCTTTTCATTATTGCTATCACTCCCCCCCGCCCCGCATTACACACTTTCCAGTGTCTTCTCCCTGTCCTCATTTTCTATTTTAGTTCTTTCCTTGGCCATATGGACAGATGGAGTCCATCAGGGAAGCATGCAGGAAAAATGGCGTAATAAAGAATCTGACTCCATTTCTGAGCGACTGTTAAGAGCTTCAAGCCCCATCATTCCCCCTTAGCCTTCCACCCACATCTGTGTGTACTGACAGAGAAAGCCCTGATGCTCCCTTCTTTGGTACCAACAGGAAGTTCAAACCACACAAGCCCCGGTGCATGCACAGGAATCCTCACCCCAGTTCAACCCTCTAACCACCTTAAAACCTTAAAACCTGATCCTGTCTCCTTTCCCAGCTCTCTCAGACCTATTTCAAAGGAGCTTGGGAGCTAGTCTGCTCCCCCAAGAATGCCTCACTATGGGACTAATTAGCCTTTTCATACCCTCTTGGTGCCAGTGTGACATAATCAATCTTGACATCAAAATCAAATTTTGCGTCGTGGGGTGCATCCATCACATCACTACAGGGTGGACACAACGAATGGAACTGAATGCTAGGCCCCTTCATCCTTACGGGGACCTAGACCACTAAGGCAGGGATGGATGGACTGCTAAGACAGGGATGGATGGCAGGGATGGCCACCTTCTCACCATTGCTTTTCTGTTATCACAGTTACAGTTACAATTGAAGGTACTATTTTCCTGGCCATTTTTTACCAGATGGTTCTCTTCCACTAATGTATCAAGGCAACTTTAAAAAGTTTAAAAATGCTTTGTAATGAAAAGGTTCAGAGTGCTGGCTTATTTTACCTTACGTTTTTTGCTCCTGAGCAGCTCTTGCATCCTTTTGGGGTTTGGGAACCTTTTCTTGTCCCAGGTGAAGTACCTCTTGCCTTCGGTGTGCTCTATGTCCAGCCACATGACATCGTAAGGAATGTCATGTTCATCAAATCCTGCATCCACTGCCTTTACATCATGTTCATCTTTGTAGTTCCAGCGGCACTGATGGTACCCCAAGGAGAAGAGAGGGGGCATGGCTTGTGTGCCTAAAAGGGGGAGATGACAACTGAGCCAATTACCACCACAATGGTAATTATACAGTTGATAAATGTTTCCTGAATGTCTACAAGGTCTAAGCACTGAGCCTGGTACTTAGAATATCAAGAAGAAAGCAGAGTCCCTACCCTCAAGTGCTGTGGGACTGCAGAGGGGCTGATAAATTTTGGCTGCAGTGAAGTATGGAGTCTTGAAAGGCTTCACAGAGGTGGTAACACTTGGTTAGAACCTTGAAGAATAAGTAAGAGTATTCTCAGGCAGGGAGAATGAATAGATCATTGAGGCACATGAAATAGAAAAGATATGGAGGCAGAGAAGGACATGATAAGCTTAGGGAAAAATAAATATTCCAGGGTGGTTACACTGTGAAGGAGGCCAGCAGAAGATGACACTGGAGAGGGTCAGTTTGTAAAGGACCCTGTAGTTCAGGCTAAGGACTCTAAATCTTGTATAGGAAGTCATCAAAAGTTTGGCAAGATGTAACCTCAGCAGATCTATGTTTTAGAAAAATTAGTTGGGAGCAGACTTGAAGGCAAAGAAACTGAAGGCAGGAAGAACTGTCAGGAAATTATCATCAAAACATTTACTGATAACATGGAGGACATCTGGTCAACCACTTGCATTTATCTCCTTCCCCTCTTAAAGTCCCACTAAAATCAGAATAAAGAAAAGAAAGAAAGAAAGAAAAGAATAAAGCCACAAGAACAAAGAGAATGGGAGAGGAGTAATTTCAACAAAATTTGGAAGGCAGCAGGCAGGGGTGGTGTGGTAACTATTGAGCAAAACCAAGTAAGCTTTCACCAGAGTGCTTATGAGGGGGATGATGATGAGAAGGGTTCATCCCTGCTCCCAGAACACTAGCGGACAGGAGAATTCCCCCCTCCACCTCAACACGAGAGTGTAAAACTCATCCAGGTACACAGAGCTTCCGGGCAGAACCTTATTCTTAAGTATGCATGGATAGCCAAGGATCATCCAACATATGAGTAAAGCCTCCAAAATTAGACAGAGGGACTCACATAAAGAAATAGAGTAAAAGGATCTCTGAGAAAATAGGGGCAATACAAGGAATCAAAGTAAATATCAAAATGTTATCATTAGTATCTCTGGGAGATGAAAAAAAGTTGCACCCATAAAATAAGACTAGGGTAGCATAAAACAAGTATAAGATATTAGAAACAAGGAACAATCAGAGGATAAGAAAGAGTCTGCAGAAATTAGAAATATGAGCATAAATGGAAAGGCCTGGAAGATAAAATTGAGAAAATTGCTCAGGATTGGACAAAAAAGAGAAGATTATAAAATTTGTAGAGTAGAAAGAGAAAAAGGAGGTGAAGATATTTTCAAAGGAATAATAACTTTTCCAGCACCGAAGGATACAATTCTCAAGAATGAAAGAGTCTACATCTAATATGCAATTATTTTAAAAGGTCTATATCAAGGCATTTGGTTGTAAAATTTCAGAGTTTCAGAATATTAGAAATTTCAGACTATCAGAGATAAAGAGAAGATATTTCAGAGAGAAAAGATAGATCATATACAAAGGAACAGAGTTCAGAGTGATTTTGGAACAAGAAGATAGATTATAGAGAAATGCCTTCAAATTCTGAGATAAATAATTTTCAATCCAGTTACCAAATTATCAAACAAGGGAGAAGGTAGGAAAAGAAGATGTTTTCATATCTGCAAAGATGCAAAAAGTAGACCTCTAATGCACTTTCGTAGGAAACTACCAGAAGATGCTTCGAACAATGAACAAAAACCAAGTTAAGGGCTTCCCTGGTGGCGCAGTGGTTGAGAGTTCACCTGCTGATGCAGGGGACATGGGTTCGTGCCTCGGTCCAGGAGGATCCCAAATGCCGCGGAGCGGCTGGGCCCGTGAACCATGGCCTCTGGGCCTGCGCGTCCGGAGCCTGTGCTCCGCAACGGGAGAGGCCACAGCACTGAGAGGCCCACGTACCGCAAAAAAAAAACAAAAAACCCCACCAAGTTAATAAACCACAAAAAAGAAAAACATGGGCCCCAAGAAGGGAGAGATCTACCACCAGAAAACAGAAAACAGAAAACAGTAAGTCCTAGGGTGACAGCTGTGCAGGGAGCCTAGAGAAAAACAGTCCAGATAGAGATCTGGGGGTAAGTCTCCAGGGGAAAAAGTAGAATGGATAAAGCATCTGACACCCCTGAGCATTGGAAAAATGTAAACACTGAATGTTGATTAACCAAAAATTATGATATAACAATGTTGGGAGGAAGAGGTAAGAGGATATTATTGAACTAAATCCTCATTAGGAGTTAACAGATAATCTATAAATTTATAAATCAGATTTCTTTGACCATGGTGGCAGATCCACTGTTTTTGAAGCACTTTCCTGTAAACCAGACTATTCTCTCTAATAACAATGTTGAAAGGGGCTGTAGGGGGGCTTTGATGGTACTTATTCCTATATGGGTGTCTTCCCATATCCACAAATTCTCTGTTGTTCCTCTCATCAAAATTGGAATCAAATTCTTCCCTTGCAAATGGGCTAGACTCAGGAAATTTTAACAATGGAATGCAGCAGAAATGATGCTACATTGCTTTGATTTTAAACAGTTTTATTGATATGTAACTCATATATCATACAATTTACCCATGTAAGGCATACAATTCAATGTGGGTTTTTTGTGGGGAGTGGAGCATATTACATTACCAATTTAAAAAAATTGTGGTAAAATATATGTAACATAAAATTTGCCATTTTAACCATTTTTAAGTGTACAATTCAGTGGCATTAGTTACATTCACAGTGTAGTACCGGCATCACCACTAGCTGTTTACAAAATTTTTATATCACTCCAAACAGGAATTCTATAACCACAAAGCAATAACTTTCTGTTACTCATCCCAACCTTCAGCCGCTGCTAACTGCTAATCTTAACTTTTTGTCTCCATGAATTTACCTACTATAGGTACTTCATACAAGTGGAATCATGTTATATTTGTTCTTTTGTGTCTAGCTGATTTCATTTTGCATAATGCTTTCAAGGTTCATCCATGTTGTAGCATGTATCAGAACTTCATTCTTTGTTATGGCTGAATAGTATTCCATTTTCTGTATATACCACATTCTGTTTATCTATTCTTTTTTTTTTTTTTTGCGGTACGTGGGCCTCTCACTGTTGTGGCCTCTCCCACTGCGGAGCACAGGCTCCGGATGCACAGGCCCAGTGGCCATGGCTCACGGGCCCAGCCGCTTTGCGGCATGTGGGATCCTCCTGGACTGGGGCACGAACCCGCATTCCCTGCATCGGCAGGCGGAACCCCAACCACTGCGCCACCAGGGAAGCCCTATCCATTCATTTTTGATGAGCACTTGGCTTGTTTCTACCTTTTGGCTATGGTGAATAATGCTGTAGAGATCACTGGCATACAAGTATCTGTTCAAGTCCTTGTTCAGTTCCTTTGAGTATGTATCTAGGAGTGGAATTTTTGGGTATATTAGTTAGGGTTCTGCAGAGAAACAGAATCAATAGGATGTGTGTATATGTGTGTATGTATTTGTACATATACAGAGAGAGAAAATGATTGATTGATTTTAAGGAACTGGTTCATGTGATTGTGGGGACTGGCAACTCTGAATTCTGCAGGCAGGCCTGGAGATCCAGGGAAGAGTTGAAGTTGTAGCTTGAGTATGAAGACAGTCTGGAGACAGATTCCTGTTTCTTTAGAGCATACCTCAGTCCTTTTCTCTAAGGTTTTCAGCTGATTGTATGAAGCCCACTCATGTTACGGAGACTAACCTGCTTTACTCATAGTCTACTGATTTAACTGTTAATCTCATCTAAAAAATAACTTCACAGTGATATCTAGACTAATGTTTAACCAAATATCTGGGCACCATGACTTAGGCAAGTTGACACAAAATCAATCATCATGCTGGGTCATATGGTAGTTCTATGTTTAGCGTTTTGAGGAACTGCCAAACTGTTTCCACACCAGCTGAACCATTTCACGTTCCCACCAGTAATGTATGAGTTTCCAACTTCTCTACATCCTCACCAACACTTATTATTTCCCCTCTTTTTTTGATTTAGTCATCCTAGTGGGTAGGAAGCAGTATCTCATTGTGGTTTTAATTTACATTTTCCTAATACCTAGTGCTGTTGAGCATTTTTCACGTGCTTGTTAATCCATTTGTACATCTTCTTTGGAGAAATGTCTATTTAAGCCCTTTTCTCATCTTAGAGTTAGATTGTTCCTTTTTATTGTCGAGTTATAAGAGTTCTTTATGTATTCTGGATACTAGACCCTTATCTTATGTATGACTTGCAAACACTTTCTCCCATTCTATAGGTTGCCTTTTCACTTTTGTGATAATGTCCTTTGATGCACAAAAGTTTTTAGGTTTTTTTTTTTTTTTTTTTTTTTTTGGTATGCGGGCCTTTTACTTTTTTGGCCTTTCCCGTTTCGGAGCACAGGCTCCAGATGCGCAGGCTCCAGATGCGCAGGCTCAGCGGCCGTGGCTCACGGGCCCAGCCACTCCGCGGCATGTGGGATCTTCCCGGACCGGGGCACAAACCCGCATCCCCTGCATCGGCAGGCAGACTCTCAACCACTGCGCCACCAGGGAAGCCCAGTTTTTAGTTTTAAAGAAGTCCAACTTGTCTAATTTTTTTTTCTGTTGCTCATGATTTTGGTGTCATAGCTAAGAATCTGTTGCCAATCCAAGGTCATGAAGATTTATCCCTGTTTTCTTCTAAGAGTTTTATGACTTTAGCTCTTATATATATGTCATTGATCAATTTTGAGTTAATTTTTTGTATATGGTGTGAGATAGGGGTCCAACTTCATTCTTTTGCACGTGGATATCCAGTTGTCCCAGTGCCATGTGGTTAAGAGACAATTCTTTCTCCATTGAATGGTCTTGAACATTTATTGAAAATCAGTTGGCCAGAGATGTATGGGTTTATTTCTAGACTCTCAATTCTATTCCATTGGCTTATATGTCTATCCTTATGTCAGTACCACACTGTTTGGATTACTTTAACTTTGTAGTAAGTTTTGAAATCGGGAAGTATGAGTCCTCCAACATTTTTTTTTCAGGACTTTTGGCCCATTCAGGGCCCTTTGAAATTCAGTATGATTTTAAAGATCAGCTTTTCCATTTCTTAAAAAAAGGCCATTGGAATTTTGGCAGGGATTGTAGTAAATCTGTAGATTGCGTCCAATAGTATTGCTTGCTTAACAATATTAAATCTTTCAATACACAAACATGGGATTTCTTCCCATTTATCTAGGCCTTCTTTAATTCAGGAATTTTTTGTAGTTTTCAGCATATAAGTCTTTCACCTCCTTGGTTAAATTTATTCCTGGGTATTTTATTCTTTTGGATGTTATTGTAAGTGGAGTTGTTTTCTCAATTTCTTTTTTAGATTGTTCATTGCTGGTGTATAGAAACACAGCTCATTTTGTGTGTTGACCATGTACCCTGCAACTTTGGTTAATTGTGTGTGTGTGTGTGTGTGTGTGTGTGTGTATTCTTTGGGATTTTCTATCATATAGTATCACATCATCTACGAATAGAGATAATTTTACATCTCCCTTTCCAATTTGGATGCCTTTTATTTCTTTTTCTTGACTAATTTCTCTGGCTGGAACTTTAACTACAATGTTCAATAGCAGTGGTGAAAGAGGGAAGCCTCATCTTGTTTCTGATCTTAGGGAAAACCTTGCAGTCTTTCACCATTGAGTATGATGTTAGCTGTGAATTTTTCATAAATGCCTTTTATCATGTGGATGAAGTTTCCTTTCATTCCTAGTCTTCTGAATGTTTTTATCATGAAATAGTGTTGGATTTTGTCAAATGCTTTTTCTGCAATCAATTGAGATGATCTCATATCTTTTATTTTATTTTATTATTATTTTTTTTGTGTGGTACGCGGGCCTCTCACTGTTGTGGCCTCTCCTGGCGGCATGTGGGATCTTCCCGGACCAGGGCACGAACCCGTGTCCCCTGCATCGGCAGGCAGATTCTCAACCACCGCACCACCAGGGAAGCCCCAATCTCATATCTTTTAAAGATAAAATGCTTTTATAGTGCTAAAGCCACTGTATTTTAATGGAGAAGAGAACATAGAAAAGTTCAGGTTGGGATACTGGTCATCTGAGATAAAGGAAGAGAAAGCCCAGGGGTTAAAAGGCTCTAAGGAAGGCAGATGGTGAGTATTAGGGATTAGAGAATGGAGAGTTCCAGCCCCAGTGGAATGTTTAACCAAGCTGAATGGGATGAGAGTGGGAGGAGAAATGCTTGCTTCTTTAAAAGCTTGGGTAAGTTGTTTATAAATACTATATGGTGTACAACAAATATTAATTTACAGTGATTCTACATGGGATAGAGGAAATATAATGGAACAAGAAACTGGCACTTCCACATGCAAGTACCTGTAAGGTATGAGTACTGCTTGAAGACGTCAGAAGGTGTAGGTCCTGTCAGCAAAAAAACATCAATGATTCCACTCTCTGACATCCAGTGCACATCAGTTTGAGATCTGCCCTTTTCTTTAGCAGCAACTGGGCCCATCTGGGTCAATGCATACTGGAAAAGGAATGGAATGAAGGTCTGAAAAATTTCCCTCTAACCCACAACACCCATCCATATGTGTGTAATAGTCTGATCCTTTAGTACATACCAATAACCTTCACTGATTATACTGCGAGGACTCTGGAGGCAGAGGACTGCCATTAAAAGCCCAGAGCTACAACTACACTTCAGTGGTTTTGTTTCTTCTGTGAGTATGACATGCAGCCATGATCCATTGCTCACCTTTACAGCAGGTTCTGTATTGATCTCCACTAGTGTTTCTGAGGCATTTAGCCAAAAAATGCCTAGAGTCCTGCCCAGTTTGTGGGCCAGGAGATAAGGCACTGAACCATAAATGCCCATTTTGTCATGTATTTTATATCCATAGACATCTAGGTTATAAAGACGGTAAGCATCTCCATCACTGAAACACACAAGGAAGGATTACCAATTACCACTGCATATATATTCTTAATGAATATTATAGCTCCATTCTCCCCTGCATTCTCCCCTTGGGTACAATACATCTTTCAAAGCTCAACTCCTAACACTTCCCTAAAGGTTTCCTGACCCAATGTGGGTGAGTATGATCCTCCTCCTTTGATTCCTTTGGCATCCCTTCATGCTACTATTGGCTTGTATGATCTCATATCTTAGATAGCTTTTCTAAATATCTCTTGTGAGGTGAGGACCATTTCCTGTGAATCCTGCATAATAGCAAGCACACAATAAATTGACAAATTTTGTATTTCTCTGTCGTGAAAGCAAAATGATAGTATCCTAACATGTTTCCACAGTGCTGAGTAGGGAAAGATTAGGAACTGAATTGAGGTGGGGAACAGGGAGCTCAGGTTGGTGTGAGAGCAACACAGTTTCTGATTCACTTGTCACTATGTCTCCCTATTATCTAAACAGCATCTGAACCTGGCAACTTTGACCAGACTCTGTTTCTCTTTGGTTCCGCTTCCTCTTAGAGTGATACCCCTGGCATTTGTTTGTCAATAGTGTTAGTTTGAAATAATCTCCCCGAGGGAATCAAAGGTGATATGAGATGCCACACTCTTCCATTCTCTGGCTCACTGTCCTTTTTTGGTAAAAGCCTTTTTCTAGGTCAGTGATCTTCACAGTGTATTTCCCAGGGTTCCACAGAAAGGCCTTGGGAGGTGAAAGCAAAACCCAGGGAGGTGATATTATGAAGCTCTCCCCGCTACTTCAACAACAGCAGCTCCATATTTTTACTTCCTCTATATTTTTAGGTTCAGCAATACAGTTTTTATAATTGTCTTCTTTTTGCCAAAATATAAAAATTGAAAACCACTGCTCTGGGCGATCATTAAAGGGAAATTCTTAAAGATCTACAAGCAATATCAAGAGGGGAAAGGCCAGATACATATTAGCACTGGCTCAGACATCTCACATATTTTCCTTTCAGACTTTTCCAGTCCAGAAACCAGAGCCTCCTGTAAGAATTCTTGTTTTCACTTTACCTGGTATTTTTAAGTTGGTGTGATTCTGCATGTTGCGGGATCCCATAGACATGCTCAAACCCATGCAAGGAGAAATCCAAACCAATGGAGGCAGGACCTGCAGGGACCAGGATAGTGACTGAGTTTTGCTTTTCAGTGGGACAATCGATTAAGGAGATTCAGCAACTATAAGAGCAGCAAGATGACTAGACTAGGGATCAAGAGACCTGAGCTTGCCCTGATCAATCAGTAAATCATGTATGCTGACTCTCTGTACGATGTTATATTTAGGTGTTGTGGGGATACAAAAATGCACATGGCAAAGTTCTGGGCACTTATTCGTTATGTTTCCTTAGCTGTGTGCTAAAGTTCTCTGTGTCCTCATTTATAGTAAATCTCCTTTCTATCTGTAAAATAGGATTACAAAGTTTTAGATTTTTTCCCTAATCTAAATTTTCCAGAAATGTATTGCATACTTGTTTGCTTTAGGAAGCAGATGATAGCGAGCACTTTTAATACTTACTAGATGAAAGACTGGGTGTCTTCTGCCTGACTGTTCATTCTTACTGCACACAGAAACTATAAGGTCAAGGGCACCAGGAGGACCTTTCCTGGCTCCTCAAAATACCCCCTTCCCTGTGATTGTAGATATATAAATTTCCTTTAGCCAAAGACAAGTCCTTTATCTAACAATTATTTTAGAGATATGGGGAAAACGAAAGTAACTAGGAGAGATAACATTGACTTAAATTCCCTCTCAGGTAAAAGTATTTGCCATCAAATGATCCTTATTTGGAGGAGTTTATGGAAAGGGGGTGCTTTAGGTAAGGTAAAAAGGATTATAATGTTACAGAAAGGGGAGCTTTAGGGCCCCTCTACTTATAATTTTTGGGCACATGTCAGTCCTGATCATTATATGAGGCTATAGAAATAGATGCTAGAACAGAGATTCTCAAGGAGTTAGGGAAGGTCTGTTATTCCCCAGGGTAGGGAGAAATAAGGAGAAAAGTGAGTATTTTTTCCAACTAAATAAGCCCCAAGTATTTGAACCGTGTCTCCTAAAGGGACAAATTCCTTCCCAGCCACCTACACCCTCCCCCCCCATCACTAAGCCTAGTGAGAAATGTCATAGATGGTCACATGACGCTCACATGAATGATGGGGAGGCCTGGAAAAGGCTGAGAACCACTGCATTGAAATGTTGGAGCCAATGAGCTCTAGAACTTGGTTTCTTATCACTTGACTCTCATAAAAGTAGAATGTAGAATTTGCAGCTGTCTGATTCACTGCATAGTACAAGCAGTATGCAGACCTCCATGAGACCAGAAGCTCCATGAGGCCTATACTTCTACACTCCCCACAAGTCATACACTCGCTATTTCTCTATTGCAGTGCATTACTGAAGAATAGGGGACCCAAACATGAGATTTCTGTTCACCTTACAGAAGTCATGTGTTTAGGTGCCAAAGCTCAAGGGACTTTTAGATAGAGACTTTTGGCCATTTTGGAAAGGTCTGTTTTAACACTACACCAGTTTTAATTGTACCATTATCTTTGACGTCCACAAAATTTCTGAATTTCTCCTCCCACAGGCCCAGTTCCTCTTGATTTTCCTGTTGGCACAAAAAAAGGGAGCAAACTGAGGTTATATATTGCAACAAATGTTGTTACCACAATAGCACATTTATTTGATTAAAATATTAGACTGAGGAAGTGATTTCATCTTTTAAAAGGCCAATTTGTGATATCAGTATATTAATCAAATTAGATCTATGTTCTATATAAATGCCATTAATCATCCTTATGATCTATAGCAGACATGAATATATTTTTTATTGTGGTAAAATGTACATAACTTAAAATTTACCATTTTAACCATTTTTAAGTGGCATTAAGTACATTCACATGTTGTACAACCATCATCACCATCCATTTCCAGAAGTTTTACATCCTTCCAAACTGAACCTCTGCACCCATTAAACAATAATTCCCCATTCTCCCCTCCCCCCAGCTCTTGACAACTACTTTTCTATTTCCTGTCTTTATGAATTCGACTACTCTAGATATCTAAGTAGAATCATAAAGTATTTGTCCTTTTGAGACTGGCTTACTTCACTTAGTATAATGTCTTCAAGATTCATCCATTTTGTAGCATGTATCAGAATTTCCTTCCTTTTTAAGGCTGAATAATATTCCATTGCATGTATATACTCCATTTTGTGTGTGCATTCATCTGTCAATGACTCTTGGATTACCGGATTGCTTCTACCTTTTGGCTACTGTGAATATCATTCTGCTATGAACATAGGCTGCAAATATTGGTTTGAGTCCCACTTTCAGTTTTGGATATATATCCATAAATGGAATTACTGGATCATATTGTAATTCTTTTTTTTCTTTAATTTTTAATTAATTAATTAATTATTTTTATTTTTGGCTGCGTTGGGTCTTTGTTGCTGGGCATGGGTTTTCTCTGGTTGTGGCAAGCAGGGGCTACGCTTCGTTGCGGTGCGCGGGCTTCTCATTGCAGTGACTTCTCTTGTTGCGGAGCACGGGCTATAGGCACACGCAGGCTTCAGCAGTTGCACCAGGCGAGCTCAGTAGTTGTGGCTCGCAGGCTCAGTAGTCATGGCACGCGAGCTCTAGAGTGCAGGCTCAGTAGTTGTGGCGCACGGGCTTAGTTGCTCTGCGGCATGTGGGATCTTCCTGGACCAGGGCTCGAACCCGTGTCCCCTGCATTGGCAGGCGGATTCTTAACCACTGCACCACCAGGTGAGCCCCTCATATTGTAATTCTATGTTTAATTGTTTAGGAACTGCCACACTGTTTGACGTGAATATCTTTAAAAGAGCCAAAATGATGTGAAAGCACTTTGCAAAATGCAGTCTTTTACATATGTAAGGCAAACATTTAGAATCAAATAACTTGGGTCTCTTCTGAGAGACCCTAAGCGAAGATTTTGGCTGAGATGGGCACCTTCCCCCCTGCTTCAATTAGCCAAACTACTGGCTGTGTTCCTGTGCTGGATGGAGAAGTCAACTGGGATGGCCACTGCTCAGGTTCACTATCTTTTGACCTAGAGCCATGAACTTTCAGGCTTTACAAAAGTCACCTTTTCTCTGGTAAAATGAAAAAAGTTTTAAAAGAATTGTGTGTGTATGTGAAAAGCACATTTCTTTTTAAAAAGTGAGGGACTTCCCTGGTGGTCCAGTGGGTAAGACTCCGCACTCCCAATGCAGAGGGCCTGGGTTCGAACCCTCATCAGGGAACTAGATCCCGCATGCATGCCACAATTAAAAGTCCGCACGCCACAACTAAAAGATCTCTCATGCTGCAACTAAAAGATCCCGCATGCTGCAACGAAGATCCTGAGTGCCACAACTAAGACCCAGCACAGCCAAAATAAATAAACAAATAGATAGATAAATAAATAATAATAATAATAAAGTGAGCCCTTTCCCTATTTCTAGGCTGTTTCTTCATAATTAAAGCTTCTGTAAAGTGAGTCTGTTTTTTTTAAAATGACACCTGAATTCTTTTTTTTTTTTTTTTTGCGGTACACGGGCCTCTCACTGTTGTGGCCTCTCCCGTTGCGGAGCACAGACTCCGGACGCGCAAGCTCAGCGGCCATGGGTCATGGGCCCAGCCGCTCCGCAGCATGTGGGATCTTCCCGGACCAGGGCACAAACCCGTGTCCCCTGCATCGGCAGGCGGACTCTCAACCACTGCGCCACCAGGGAAGCCCGACACCTGAATTCTTAATGTGGGATTATTATCCTGAGGTCTAGATAGGCTTTAAAGTTTGTGAACTCCCTGAAACAGTAGGAAAAAAATTTTTTTTTCTACAGAGATGGTTCACAGTTTTCATCAGAGTCCTGCAAGGGGGTGTTTGACTCAAAACCACTATCTAAGCTATCTGATTACAGGTCTTCCAAAAGCTAGTATAACATATTGTCACAAAGCTGTGTAAGGCACAAATGTGTTAGTTTTTATCTTCCCTATTTGAAAATGGAAAAATTATTCTCTCTCATATTCATCAGTATGGGCCGGTTCTCAAGAGGGAGAAGCATTTGTCTTATTGCACTGGAAATATTTTTCACCATTCTTGGTGGCCATAGCTACTGTCAGGGTTCCTTTAAAGATGTGTGGGGCTTTGGATGAAGAGAAGATTTCTGGAATGTCCATTCTCCAGAATTTAGCCAAAATAATCTTTCTGAAACAGAAGTCAGACCATGTATCTCTGCTGCTTAAGACCTTTCCATAGTTCTCCTTTGCTCTTAAAGTCCAAAAAAGTTAATGTGACTTAGAAGAATATAAGCTCCATGATAATGAGGGACTCTGATTAGTTTGATGATACAGCACCAATTCCTTGAACAGTGCCTGGCCTACAGGAGGTCCCATTTATATGTAGTAAAGCACTTGCCAACTACCCACCTGTATAAGGGAAGAACAGACCTATTATACTCCACATAATGATGATGATAGTGAAAAACATTTTAAAAAGATAAATTACTCTATGTAGATTACCTGAGTGGTGTCATCTGATGTATCCTCCTCATTTTCCTTGGTAGCTCTGCTGTAATATAAAGTTGTTTCACTCATGGCAAGACTGACAATTTGTTCAATGATAAAGATTTCCATTTCCAAATATTGAGACCCCATAAATTATATCCTTTAACTTATTAAAAATAACATCATTATAAAAATAAATTTATGAAATTAAACATTTATGATGAACATTAATCCAACAGCTTGATTTCTTATAAAATGTAGAGAGATTTGAATTTTCTTAACTCTTTTAGAAATACATTAATCAGTTTTTTTATTATAAATGTAATACATGTTCATAGTATTTAAACAAAACATAAGCAAGGTAGAACACAGTTCCTCTTGCGCAGTATTACCTTAGAATGGAGCAACATGATGCACTGTCTTGCACAATGATGACAACTTATTCTAACACCTATAGTTGTATTTGTGTGCATATTTCTTCCATTCTTAACAATACTAGACTTCATGGATTTTTTTTTTAACTCTTTGCCAATCTAAAGTTTTAGAAAAGATAGTGCATTTCAATTTGAACTTGTACCATTAATGATGCAGACTACCTTTTTATACATTAAGCGGTATTTCTAGTTCTGTGAATTGTCTATTCATACTCATTATACATTAATTTTTTCTTTAGTGTAAAATGCAGCATGCATATAGAAGAGTATATAATGTATGCACAGAGTTTAAAGAATACTACTAAAGTGAACAATTATGAACCTACCAGTGAGCATAAGCAACAGAAATGACTTGTTCTTTTGGAGTTCCTATGTGCCTCTCTTCAAATGCATCTGCCCCCCTAATAGTTGCATTCAATGCTACAAATTTCCCTCTAAGCACTGCTTTTGCTGCATCCCACAAATTTTGATGTTGTATTTTAATTTTCATTTAGTTTGAAATCTTTTCCTTTCTTTCTTTTTAGATTTCTTCTTTGTGTTATTAAGAAGCATGTTGTTTAATCTTCAAGTATTTTGGAATTTTCCAGCTTTCTGTTGTTGATTTCTAGTTTAATTGCATTGTGGTCTGAGAGCTGGCATTGTATGATATCCATTTGTTTAAATTTGTTAAGGTGTGTTTTATGACGCAAAATATGGTCTTGGTGAATGTTCCATGTGAGCTTGAGAAGAATGTGTATTCTACTGTTGTTGGATGAAGGAGACTATAGATGTCAATTATAGCCAGCTGATTGATGGTGCTTTTGAATTAGAATATGTCCTTATTGGTCTTCTCCCTGCTGAATCTGTCCATTCCTGATAGAAGGGTGTTAAGGTCTCTAATTATAATAGTGGATTCATCTATTTCTACTTGCAGTACTATCATTCTTGCCTCAAGTATTTTGATGCTTCGTTATCAGGCACATACTTTCCCTGTTTTGAAGTTAGCTCTTTCTGAAATTAATATAACTACTCCTATTTTCTTTTTTTTTTTTTGAGAGTCGGGAGTTAAGTTTTATTGGGGGCAAAATGAGGACTGCAGCCCAGGAGACAGCGTTTCAGATAACTGAAAAACTGCTCTGCTATTTTCTTTTTTAAAGATCATAATGCTATCATTTATTGGATGAAAAAAACAAAGAAGAAAAAGAATTGTTTTGGAATGTTTGGGGGAAAAACAGCTTGCTTATAAGTAAAATTCTTTCTCTTTGAAATGAGTTAGTAAAAAAGAAAACAATCTTCATTATATGAAATAACATCGCTAGGTAGGAAAAGCAGCACACAAGAATATATTTTTGGATATAAAAATTTATATATATAGTTATGCCATCAGCAGCATTCAAAACTAGCTGAGTATCTATACAATTACACATATTGATTCATGTTTTAACGAAGTGTTTTAAAAGCTCATCATATTAGAGCATGCACAATATTCTGAAGGCATATAAATTCCCCATGGGTTTCTGAACATCCTTACCCTCAACTTCACAATCAGAATGTACAAAAGCAGTGAAAGATCAGAGTTCAGAAGTGTTTTATTTTTCTTTTCCTTGTTCAAAGTGCCTAAGTCAAGCAAATATATTGAAAAAGGCAAAATAAACACTTTGCATAGCAGAAGATTGCAAGATTGCATGTAAACTATGATTCTCCTTTAGGACATTACACAAGTACAAGGTACATCTGTACTTAGAATAAGGCTCATTACCTCTTGCAGCATGAATGTTCAACAGGCAGAGAGCAACGTTCTGCCCAGGGACCAGTCTCAATTTGGTCTCAAAGAATGCCTCCCAAGGATCCACAAGGACAATAAGTCTAGGCAGCCATTTATATCAGGGAACTTTTGTCCCCACTATGTCTACTTTTTGGTGCTGTCTATTAAATGTAGTGACATTACTTTGTTGTGAATATACACATTAGTGTTATTACGATGCTGTGGACTGACCTTTCACTCCAAATAGCCATGTTACCCCCATCTAGTGAACTCACTCTTCCCTGGTTTCAGTTCAGCCCGTCTATAGAAAATTTTTTTTACATTTCCAAGCCCAGTGTCAGTTTATCAGCTCCTGCTAAGAAGGATATAATTTTATTTGGTCAATTTACATTAACAATATGGTTGGCCTGTTAAACTTTAGCCATTCTAATAGGTGTGTGGTAGTACCTCACTGTTGTTTTAATTTGCAATACCCTAATGACTAATGGCATTGAACATATTTTTCAAGTGCTTATTTATCACTTGTATATTTTCTTTGGTGAAATATCTGTTCAAATCTTTTGTTTATTAGATTATTTTCTTAAATTTTGAGAGTTCTTTCTATATTGTATCAATACATACAACTTCTTTATTAGAGATATACTTTGCAAATATTTTCTCTTAGTCTATGAATTATCTTTTCATTCTCTTCATATAGTCTTTTTTTAATATACTAAAGCTTTATTTGAATCATTATACAGAGGGATTAATATCCCTTTTTTATTGTTGAATAATATTTTATTATAATTGATTATGGTTAATTATTCAGGTTTTTTCTAGTTTTTACTATGACAATGCCACAATAAACGCCTTCATACATTTATCTTAGATACATGTGTGTTTGATTACAACAGGACAAAGTCCCAAAACTGGTACTGCTAGTTCAAATGTATACATATTTTAAATTTTAATGCATTTCCAGATCATTTCCTCCAGTTTGAAGCAACTCATACTCAAATGAACAAAGTCTAAGGCCTGGATGAACCTTGAGGACATTCTTCTAAGTGAAATAAGCCAGTCACAGAAAGATAAATACTACATGATCCCACCTATATTAGGTATCTAAAATAGTCAAATTCATAGACTCAAAGAGGAATGGTGGCTGCCAGGGGCTAAGGGGAGGGGGAAATGGGGAGTTACTAATCAATGGGCATAAAGTTTCAGTTAAGCAAGATGAATAAGTTCTAGAGACCTACTGTACAGCACTGTGCCTACAGTTAACAATACTGTATGGAACACTTAAAATTTTGTGAAGAGGGTAGATCTCATGTTAAGTGCTCTTACTACAGTAAAATAAAATAAAATAAAACAAAATAAAATAATTAATAGTCAATGCAAATTAAAGGAAGAATAATAACCTACTTCTTCATATAGTCTTTGAATGGGCAGGCGGTTTTACTTTTGGTTATGTCCATTTAACCCATTTTTTTCTTTTGTGGATCATGCTTTTGGTGTAATATCTAAGACATCTTTGCCTGATCCAAGGTTTCAAGATTTTCTTCGCTGTTGTCTAGAAGTTTTAGAGTTTTAGGTTTTACATTTAGGTCTATATTGTATTTTGAGTAATTTTCTTTTTTTTTTTTTGATTGACGTTTCATTCTTGTTTGTGGCAACTTCTGAGCTCCTCACATGCCAGACTGGAAATTACAAGTCCTTGCCTTTTCATTTTGTTCAAGTGTTTTTGTTTGTTTGTATTTTGTTTTTGCGGTTATAATAAAGTTTAAAGTTTAAAATTTCTAAGTAATCGAATCAATCACCATTTTTTCCTATGGCTCTTCAGTTTTTCTTACACTAATAAGATTTTTAAAATTCTACATTTTTTCCTATTTTTATTTTCTTGTGTGCTTTATTTTTATTTATCTGGAATTCATTTTTGCTAATGTTCTGAGGTTAGGACCTTACATTTTTTTTCCAAGTGGATAATCTAATTTTCCTAACACAAAGATAAATACAAATAATGGAAACATAAACTAGTACACAACCTCTATGGGAGGCAATTTGGAAACATCTATCAAAAGTACAGATGTACAAACCATTTGATCAGAAATTATACTTCTGTGACTCTGGTCTATGGATATACTTGCATGTATGCAAAATGACACATATACAAGGTTATTCATGAAGTAAGTAGTTGTAAAACAACATCAGAAACAACTTTAAAGTCTACTAGCAGGGATTAACTAAATGAATCACAGTGTAACCATATAATAGAAACTATGTAGCTGTTTTAAAGAAATTAGAAACTACCACATTGGTAAAGGGAAAGAAAGCAAGGTACAGAATAATGTGTAAAGATGATATCATTTGTGTCAGGAAAGGAAAAAACAAAGAATACATTAATCTTATTGTATAGGCATAAATTATCTCTGGAAGGATACATAGAAAACTGGAAACACTGATTACTTTCAAGGATGGAATGAGGTAGCTCAGGCACAAATGGTGAGGGAGACTTTTCACTATATACACCTTTTTTTTTTCACATCTTTATTGGAGTATAAATGCTTTACACTGTTGTGTTAGTTTCTGCTGTACAACAAAGTGAATCAGCTATATGTATACATATATCCCCATATCCCCTCACTCTTGAACCTCCCTCCCACCCTCCCTATCCCATCCCTCTAGGTCATCACAAAGCTGATCTCCCTGTGTATATATACCTTTGTACAATGTGCTTATTAAAAATAAATAAATAAAAATTTAAAAGCCCAACTTAGATATCATCTCTAAAACAAAATAAAACAAAAATAATGGGAGTTTAGTAAAAGGAAAAAATGTTTTAAATATTAATGCTTTAAATATAAATAAATAATGAATTAAATATAAATAACAAATACAGGGATTTGTTATGCTATTAGTATTTTCAGTCAAAAAAAGTACTGAATTATATTCATAAGGCACTAACAGAGTAGGTGGCAGGATTGTGGGTATTTTAATTTTTCTTCTTTTCAATATTTTCTATTTTTCCTTCAATGAACACATTTCTGTGATAAAATAAGTCGTTTATATTTTATAAATTTATTTATTTATTTTTGGCTGCGTCAGGTATTCGTTGCTGCGCGGGCTTTCTCTAGTTGCGGTGAGCAGGGGCTACTTTTTGTTGCGGTGTGTGGGCTTCTCATTGCGGTGGCTTCTCTTGTTGCAGAGCATGGGCTCTAGGTGTGTGGGCTTCAGTAGTTGTAGTGTGCAGGCTCAGTAGTTGTGGCTTGAGGGCTCTAGAGCGCAGGCTCAGCAGTTGTGGCACATGGGCTTAGTTGCTCCACAGCATGTGGAATCTTCCTGAACCAGGGCTCGAACCCGCATCCCATGCATTGGCAGGTGGATTCTTAACCACTACACCACCAGGAAAGTCCCAAAATAAGGTTTTTTAATATTAAAATTTTAAAATAGAAATAGTTGAAACTCAGAAAAAAATCACTATGTTGAATGCTTTCTGCGGCTCATATAAGATGTTCATTATTTGGGTAAAAATAGAAAGACTGGAGGATTTAAAGACAATATTGGTAAAAACGGAAGAAGAATCTCCTTCTACTACTATCTTCCAATTCATGTGACCCACACACAAACAGCTTTGATCAAATGGTTGGTTCCAGAAAATTCCTGGACAACTATTCAAGTCTAAGGTAACTCATGTTATTCTAAAGAGGTAAAATGAAATTCTGAAGACATGTTAGTTCACATTAGCATCTATCAAGTTAACAGGGTGCGGGCTTCCCTGGTGGCACAGTGGTTAAGAATCTGCCTGCCAATGTAGGGGACATGGGTTCAAGCCCTGGTCCAGGAAGATCCCACATGCCGCGGAGCAACTAGGCCTGTGCGCCACAGCTGCTGAGCCTGCGCTCTAGAGCCTGCGAGCCACAACTGCTGAGGCCACGTGCTGCAACTACTGAAGCCAGTTCGCCTAGAGCCTGTGCTCTGCGACAAGAGAAGCCACTGCAGTGAGAGGCCTGTGCACCGCAATGAAGAGTAGCCCCTGCTCGCCGCAACTAGAGAAAGCCTGCGCACAGCAACGAAGACACAATACAGCCAAAAATAAATAAATACATTTATTAAAAAAAAAAAAGTTAACAGGATGCTTTTTCAGAAGGATGTGTAGGGTAGAGAATGTCCTCGGTCAAACATATAGGATGTGTTAAGAGTGTCATCTTCACAAATGTCTGAGAATAATTTTTGTCATCAAGCCTGCATTCACCTGCACAGGTGAAAAGATGAAATTTCTCAGAACAATATCCCAGGAAATAAGGCAAACCAGTTTTCTATGGTGATGGGTTATCTATTTAGGCAACTGGTATTCACAATCAGGTTTTCTTAAGTTCTTTATGTGTAAGTAATGTGCAAAAATACCTTTGCTTGGGAGGAATCTGCAGCTGCTCAAAGTACAGTTGGCCCAGGGAGTTTATGCTCATCACAACCTCCTCTTCAGATACCAAGTCTATCTTGAATGGGTTTGCTGTGATGTGACACTTCAGATCTCCTTTTCCATTTGCCAATACGAGACTGCCTGTATCCCCTGAGCACGAAATCAGCCTGGAAAACACGGCAGGAAGAGAAAAATAAATTGCTATAGGTTTACATGGCTCAATGCAATTCTCAATTCAAATTAGTAAATCAATATTCATGTGACATAGCACAGATAAAGCAGTAGAGAGCTGTAATTGAGAGCATGGGCTTTGGTGTCAGAAAGCCTGGACTAAACATAGCTCTCCCACGCACTAGGTGTATAACTGTGGACAAGTTAATCTTTCTAGTTCTTGGTTTCCTCATCTGTAAAGGGGAAATGATAAAAGCAAGAACAAATAGAGCTTTTTGAGAGGATTAAATGAGATAACACATGTAAAGCACTTGGCACAGAGCCTGGCACATAATAAGCGCTCAGTAAATGTTAGCTCTCATCATCGTTATTACTTTGGTCTGGACAGGTTAGTAACAAGTTGGTGCATAGAATTTAAACATTTTGCTTTTCTTTCTCGTTCCAACCCTACACTTAGAAACTGAGTAAATAACACAGATTGGGTTATTGATTCACTCAGTCCAAAGTGAGATGGAAAGATGAAACTTTTGTTTATTTATCACCTGACTTCCAAAAGTCCAATCAGACACATAGACTTTTAGGATGCTTTGGATCCCCAGGAGTTATATAAGCTCAGAGACAGCACTTAAAATCCCTAGGTCTATCATCAGGAAAAAAAGGGAGACTCAAATCAACAGGATTAGAAATGAAAAAGGAGAAGTAACAACTGACACTGCAGAAGTACAAAGGATCATGAGAGATTACTACAAGCAACTCTATGCCAATAAAATAGACAACCTGGAAGAAATGGACAAATTCTTAGAAAAGTACAACCTCCCAAGACTGAACCAGGAAGAAACAGAAAATATGAACAGACGAATCAAAAGCACTGAAATTGAAACTGTGATTAAAAATCTTCCAACAAACAAAAGCCCAAGGCCAGATGGCTTCACAGGTGAATTCTATCAAACATTTACTGAAGAGCTAACACCTATCCTTCTCATACTCTTCCAAAATATAGCAGAGGGAGGAATACTCCCAAACTCATTCTACGAGGCCACCATCATCCTGATACCAAAACCAAACAAAGATATCACAAAAAAAGAAAATTACAGGCCAAAACCACTGATGAACATAGATGCAAAAATCCTCCACAAAATACTAGCAAACAGAATCCAACAGCACATTAAGAGGATCATATGCCATGATCAACTGGGGTTTATCCCAGGAATGCAAGGTTTCTTCAATATATGCAAATCAATCAATGTGATACACCATATCAACAAATTGAAGGATAAAAACTATATGATAATCTTTTTTTTTTTTTTCTTTTTCTTTTTTTTTTTTGGCGGTACGCGGGCCTCTCACTGTTGTGGCCTCTCCCATTGTGGAGCACAGGCTCTGGATGCGCAGGCCCAGCAGCCATGGCTCACGGGCCCAGCTGCTCCACGGCATGTGGGATCTTCCCGGACTGGGGCACGAACCCGTGTCCCCTGCATCGGCAGGCGGACTCTCAACCACTGCGCCACCAGGGAAGCCCTATGATAATCTTGATAGATGCAGAAAAAGCTTTTGACAAAATTCAACACCATTTATGATAAAAACTCTCCAGAAAGTGGGCATATATGACAAACCCACAGCCAACATCATTCTCAATGGTGAAAAACTGAAAGCATTTCCTCTAAGATCAGGAACAGGACAAGGGTGTCCACTCTCACCACTACTATTCAACATAATTTTGGAAGTTTTAGCCATGGCAATCAGAGAAGAAAAAGAAATAAAAGGAATCCAAATTGGAAAAGAAGAAGTAAAACTGTCACTGTTTGCAGATGACATGATACTACACATAGAAAATCCTAAAGATGCCACCAGAAAACTACTAGAGTTAATCAATGAATTTGGTAAAGTAGCAGGATACAAATTAATGCACAGAAATCTCTTGCATTCCTATACATTAACAACAAAAAATCAGAAAGAGAAATTAGGAAACAGTCCCATTTACAACTGCAACAAAAAGAAAAAAAAATACCTAGGAATAAACCTACCTAAGGAGATAAAAGACCTGTATGCAGAAAACTATAAGATACTGATGAAATAAATCAAAGATGATACAAACAGATGGGAAGATATACCATGTTCTTGGATTAGAAGAATCAACATTGTGAAAATGACTATACTACCCAAAGCAATCTACAGATTCAATGCAATCCCTATCAAATTACCAATGGCATTTTCACAGAACTAGAACAAAAAATTTTATAATTTGTATGGAAACACAAAAGACCCTGAATAGCCAAAGCAATCTTGAGAAAGAAAAACAGAGCTGGAGGAATCAGGCTCCCTGACTTCAGACTCTACTACAAAGCTACAGTAATCAAGACAGTATGGTACTGGCACAAAAACAGAAATATAGATCGATGGAACAGAATAGAAAGCCCAGAGATAAACCCATGCACATATGGTCACCTTATCTTTGACAAAGGAGGCAAGAATATACAGTGGAGAAAAGACAGCCTCTTCAATAAGTGGTGCTGGGAAAGCTGGACAGCTACATGTAAAAGAATGAATTACAACACTCCCTAACACCATACACAAAAATAAACTCAAAATGGATTAAAGAGCTAAATGTAAGGCCAGACACTACAAAACTCCTAGAGGAAAACATAGGCAAAACACTCTATGACATAAATCACAGCAAGATCCTTTTTGATCCACCTCCTAGAGGAATGGAAATAAAATAAAAAATAAACAAATGGGACCTAATGAAACTTAAAAGCTTTTGCACAGCAAAGGAAACTGTAAACAAGATGAAAAGACAATCCACAGAATGGGAGAAAATATTTTCAAACAAAGCAACTGACAAAGGATTATTCTCAAAAATTTACAAGCAGCTCATGCAGCTCAATATCAAAAAAACAAACAATCCAAAAATGGGTGGAACACCCAAATAGACATTTCTCCAAAGTAGACATCAGATTGCCAACAAACACATGAAAAGATGCTGAACATCACTAGTCATTAGAGAAATGCAAACCAAAACTACAATGAGGTATCACCTCACACTGGTCAGAATGGCCTTCGTCAAAAAATCTAGAAACAATAACTGCTGGAGAGGCTGTGGAGAAAAGGGAACCCTCTTGCACTGTTGGTGGGAATGTAAATTGATACAACCACTATGGAGAACAGTATGGAGGTTCCTTAAAAAACTAAAAATAGAACTACCATATGACACAGCAATCCCACTACTGGGCATATACCCTGAGAAAACCATAATTCAAAAAGATACATGTACCACAATGTTCATTGCAGCTCTATTTACAGTAGCCAGGACATGGAAGCAACCTAAATGTCCATCAACAGATGAATGGATAAAGAAGATGTGGCACATATATACAATGGAATATTAGCCATAAAAAGGAACGAAATTAAATTATTTGTAATGAGGTGGATGGACCTAGAGTCTGTCATACGGAGTGAAGTAAGTCAGAAAGAGAAAAACAAATACCGTATGCTAACGCACATATATGGAATCTAAAAAAACAGTACTGATGAACCTAGTGGCAGGGCAGGAATAAAGATGCAGACGTAGAGAATGGACTTGAGGACACAGGGGCAAGGGGAAGCTGGGACGAAGTAAGAGAGCAGCACTGACGTATATACACTACCAAATGTGAAATAGATGGCTAGTGGGAAGCTGCTGCATAGCACAGGGAGATCAGCTCAGTGCTTTGTGATGACCTAGAGGGGTGGAATAGGGAGGGTGGGAGGGAGGCTCAAGAGGGAGGGGATATGGGGATATATGTATACATGTAGCTGATTCACTTTGTTGTACAGCAGAAACTAACACAACATTGTAAAGCAATTATCCTCCAATAAAGATCTAAAAATAAAAAAATTAAATCCCTAGGTCTAGATATTTTTCTAGTGCATAGTCACCCTGGTCACAGGCCTCATTAGGGAGGATTAGGAGGGATAGTTTATGATCTTATTATATCTTTACAACCTCCTCCATGGATTCTAGGCCTGCCCCTCAAGCAAGATGCTTTGGGTTCTGGAAACTAACTTTGTAGTTTGAGAGGTTGTGTCTCACTGTTCATCAAACCTAAAGAGAGTTCTTTTGATTTTTCTGTCAAGTAGGATTCTAGTCCATCTATTTCAGCCTAATGGACCCCTTGACGTATTGTGCACTGTCCTGAGGCTTGAGCCATTTTGAGTACCACACAGGCCCTGTTATGGAAACACGTCTACCTTGTCTCTTACAACTAAATGCTGCTACTTTGACTCTGCTACCTAGAGTCTCAACATTTCCACTGAAATCAGGGAGCCCATTTTAACGGTACCATTCCCACCATTATCTCTAGCTCAGAAAAGACATTCACTCACTATAATGCTTTCTAAGTGTTCCCTCACTAATGTATTTCTCAATGAAGGGAGTATCTTTTGGATCCTTTGGAGAACAGAATTAGGGGCTAGATGCATATGACATATCCACTTCAACATCTTTATCTCCCTAAGTCTATGAATCATATCTTCTACACGGGCCAAGGAATTTCTGGTATCTCAGCTTCATTCAGCACAGTCCATAGCTGAGTTCAAGTTATACTTAACCAAGCAAATAATTAGAACCACTTTCAGCTGTCTAAGCTAGCATATTAAATCTGGATTCTCTGGTACCTGTACCCATGTCAGTAAATTTAGCATGATCCTAAAATTATGGTCCTTCCTTCTGGTCTAGAAGTCCCTCAGAAATCATTTCCATGCATATTTCCCAGATTTTTGCCAGTATAAAATCTTTTAATTCTTTAGGTGTGTAAGCCTTTTCCTCCTGGGTTTGACTGTAATTGGCTCCCTAGGCATGTTGGGGTCTGACTTGATAGTGGGTCTGGAGGCAGTGAAGGGTGGTAAGGGTGAAGCACAGGGAGCACTGGAATCCCCTGGCACAGTATATTTCAGGTGAGGTTAACACGGGGTGTCCAAGCAGGTGAGATCAGCCTTATCAGATGGAGGAGAAGGAGCTGCTTCTGCTGAACTGGGAGGCTCAGTGGAATTTTGAGGTTTGGGACTCAGGGTTATCCAAATCTTCCCAAATGTTGCTATTCAATTTTGGGGAGTCCTACCTTTTCACAGCTGATGCCCTAAATTCATAGACCTGATGAAGCTGTGAATTCAACTTACGCTCTAGTTCAGAAAACCACAGAATCTAACTCCGATTTTCAGCTACGAGGACTCTGTAGATATGACTTTTAGGATTGTCATAGAAATATGTTAGGTTTCTGACAATTTAAAAGTCTGAAACTGCTGTTTTCTTTAAGTTCTTCAGTGAATTAATAGCAGCCAGGCCACCTCAGAGTTTTGAATTTTGTATGGCAATCATGCTATGCTATGGCCCCACCACTTGGTTTGCCCAAGCCATGCTTTCAATAGGCACTCTATTTCAGGCAACCACAAGTAGTAATTTAAGTGACTGCCACAGAATGCTGTGGTTTATTGCTAGTCGTATTAATTTGCTAGAGCTGCCATAACAAAATACCACAGACTGGGTGGCTTAAACATCAGAAATTTATTTTCTCACAATTCTGGAGGGTGGAAATCCTAGATCAAAGTGTCAGCCGGTTTGGTTTCTTCTGAGGCTTTTCTTCTTGGCTTGCAGATGGCCATCTTCTTGCTGTGTCCTCACATGGCCATCCCTCTGTCTGTGTTATCTGTATCCTCATCTCCTCCTCTTACAAGACACCAGTCATATTGGATTAGTGCCCACCCTAATGACCCTATTTTAACTTAATTACCTGTTCAAAGGCTCTATCTCGGAATAGTCACATTCTGAGGTATGGGGGGTTAGGGCTTCAACATATGAGTCTGGTTGGGGAGGGTAGTATTCAGCCCCAAACATTAATATCTCACCGTCTAATGAAAACCAGGTCCTCACTGCCTTCAAATCCAAGTAGATCAGCTAACTAAGCTCAGATTCCCATCCTTGAGGGTCTGTTGCTTATACTCATTCTGATATCAATGACTATGTTAACCAAAACTCAACTGCAGATAACAGAAACAACTCTGGCTATTTTAAGCAGAAAGTAAATGACTTAATATGGAGGAATTATTAGCTTACAACATCATGGAAGGTTTGAGGTAGCAGGTTCCTGGCTGAGTGTCCAGTAATGACTCCTAGAACAATACTGCATAATTGCAGGCCAACAGAACTTCTCTCTTAGCTGGAATCAGGAAGCTGGATAATCAGAAGTCAATGTGGCAACTGCTGGGCTCCAGGATCATGCCAACTCAGCAGCAATCCAGAGATCGGGAAACCACTGCCCTAACTAATGGCTCTAGAGTCATTCTATAGCTGCCGATGCACATCAGCAAAATGGGAGACTCAGTTCTGAAATCAAGATAACTGTAAGTGCATCTGATTGGTGGAACCTGAATTACATCAGAAACTAGCTATATGGGAGTCTGGGAAATGGAGAAATGTAGTTTTTAGTTACTACAGTAGCCAAAGGTCCTCTAGAAAAAGGCTGAAATAGAAGCAAAACTAATATACCACATTTACTACACAATGCTAATATCACCCTGACTCCAAAACCTGGCAAAGATAGCACAGAAAAACTATAGACTAATGTTACTTATGAACACAGATGTAAAAATGTTAAAGGTCTACTAGTAAAATGAATCGTCCAGGAGAGTAAAAAATAATGTAATGTGACCAAGAGGAAATACACACACACACACACACACACACTCACTCTCTCTCTCTCTCTCTCTCTCTCATTTGCCAAACTGCAAAGTCATGAGAATAGTCCCTTTTTAATTCTTATTTCCTAAGTTCTTAGCATATAGTAGTGGCTCACTGATATATTTTAAATTTATGATAGTTCTAGCATAGCTAAATTAATTTCTCCTTATACTTTATTAACTTTTTTTTGGCTGTGTCAGGTCTTAATTGCAACACGCATGATCTTTGTTGTGGCATGTGGGCTCTTTCGTTGCGGTGCGCAGGCTCTTCATTGCAGCACGCAAACTTCTCTCTAGTTGCAGTGTGTGGGCTCCAGAGCGCATGGGCTCTGTAGTTGTGGCGTGGAGGCTTAGCTGCCCTGCGGCATGTGGGATCTTAGTTCTCTGACCAAGGATCGAACCTGCGTCCCCTGCATTGGAAGGTGGATTCTTTACCACTGGACCACCAGGGAAGTCCCATAATTTATTAACTTTTTATTAGATTTTCATGGAAAAAATAATCTACATAAAACTATGATAATGATGTAGTGAAAATTAAAGCATCTGGCATAATCTTATATTCCCTTAGTGACATGATATAAAGAAAATAACAAACCAACAGACAGAACCAAGTTAAAATATCACCAGAAAATGTGCTGAGAACTGATGCAGATTCTGCAGGTACATGAAAAATGCTTTAATCCCTAAAGATTTTTTTTCCACCTAGAAACTGATTATTAATTTATCTCTGACTCTAAGACAGATTATATGTTAGACTTCTGAGACTGCCGTTAATTAAAAGTGAGTCAGTCTAACTGTATAAATTACTGTAAGCATGGGAGTTTTGCTAGTACATTGGATCTCTGGAGCCCTGCTGTTCATCTGAGTGAGTCAATTAAACAGCTCTCCTGCTTGCTCCCAATGTCTGGCTGATAAACCGCTTACTTTGTCAGGAGGAGAGAAGATCAGAAGCTCTGCTTCTCCCCATTAATAAGTGCTGTTGAGTCAAATGGTGGAGGAAGAGAGTACAGAATGGATAACATCAAAATGGATAAATTTATCCCCAAATAACTAAAAACTAACTCTGCAAATGGTTGTATCTTTGAAGAAGCAAACTAAGAGACTCATACAAAAGCTGCTACTCAAGGTATGACAGAAGAACATATTGAGGGTGTATCCAAGGTAGTGTGTTTCTTGGCTTACCTTACAGTGCTTGGCTTGCTTGTGAGGACATCAGGAACTTCATATCTGGGTTTCAAGGGTGCTTCTTCATTGATTTTAAGCCTGAAAATATTTCCCTCTATACCATAAACTTCAGCCAGGAGAGGAACCTGGGAACACACACGAGATTAGTTTCAACAGGTTACCCAGGTCAGTTCTACAAATTGTGATAATTAGAAAACTATGTTTAAATTATTATAGGCCAAGCAAATTGGAGAACAATGGTAATCATGAAGGAAAGGCTTTCCAATCTATATGTACTTGCTTGGCTCTACCTGTAGTAGAAACAAACACCTCCTATGTGTTCTATGGTTAGGCAAACATATAATTGTCCAGACCAGGACTGTTAAGAGTGAGAGGGCTCTCTATTAATAACGATAGTGGATGACAGGCATAAACTGAAACTGCCCTTGGAAAATTGGGACATGTAGCCCACTGTATCTATGATAAAGTACAGGTATCTTAAGAATAAGTGTTTGGTGTTAAAACTAGAGTAACTGGATTCCAGTTGAACGAAAGATGAAGGGTAACAAGCCACAGAATAGAAAAGAATAGACAGTAAAATGGTGGTCATTGGGGTTCTCTACTGTAGATGAATAAGGCTTCCTGCGCTAAAATCAAGGCACTTCCTGTACACTTAGATTAAGGTCTGGGGAACTTTCTCTAGAGGCTGGGATATTCTCAGCTTTCTCAAGAGGATGGAGAATTTAGGTTAAATACTGCCTACGATGAAAGATGGAAGCAACATAGAATCATAAAGAGAATAGAGAGTTTGAAAAATAAAACAATAACAACAAACTCTGAAGGCAGAGATGGCTGGATTTAGATTACAAAATGAGGCATCAAGATTAGGGAAATATCTTAAGACAGTGGTTTTCAACTGATGTGCCATGCTGCACTGGTTGCAAATCATTAACTACAGTATGATGCCAAATTCTGGTTACAACTGGGTCTGTGTATTGTTACTATAATGTCTGTTAAATGAAAGGCTAAGCTGGGTAGCCTGTGTGAGGTAACACACAGAACAGGTATGCTGTGGTGCAAGCAAGATATAGGAAGCAGGGAGAATATTAATGCAGCACCAAAAAACAAAAACAAAAACAATCCCTCCCCCACAAAACGATGTTACTGGAACCTTGCTTCTTCAGAATATAGGAAAGGGCACTTGAACAGTGACAGGACACTGAAGAGTGACCAGGTAAATAATGGTAAATAGGCTGTGGCTGCTTTTACAGACATTCTTAAAACAAGGTTATGGGGCTTCCCTGGTGGCGCAGTGGTTGAGAGTCCGCCTGCCGATGCAGGGGACACAGGTTCATGTCCCGGTCTGGGAAGATCCCACATGCCACAGAGCGGCTGGGCCCGTGAGCCATGGCCGCTGAGCCTGCGCATCCAGAGCCTGTGCTCCACAACAGGAGAGGCCACAACAGTGAGAGGCCCGTGTACCGCAAAAAAAAAACAAAAAAAAAACAAGGTTATGATGTAGTACTGATCATACAATAATAATTTTTTCCCCAGCTTTATTAAGAAATAATTGACATATTCTGTAAGTTTAAGTTGTACAACTCCTTGATTTGATACTTGTACATTGCAAAAAATGATCACCACCATAGCATTAGCTAACATCTGCATCAAGTCACATAATTACCATTTCCTTTTTGTGGTGAGAACATTTAAGATCTACTCTCTTAGCAACTTTCAAGTATATAATAGAGTATTATTAACTACAATCACTATGCTGTTAGTCATCTTATTATAGTTGGAAGTTTGTACTCTTTGGCCAACACCTCCCCCTTTCCCCCACCCCCAATCATACTGTAATTACTGCTTATATGTTTAGTATTCTTTTGTATATTTGGTTTACTTCAAGTGTGCCATCAGAATTCTAAGATTTGAAAATGTATCCAAGTATAAGGCTGAAGTCCTGTTAGATTATGTATTCCCTCCCAAGTTAGACATAAATTTCCACTACTCTCTCAAATTTAATTCAACTAACATTTATTTGGCATCTAATATTGTGAGGTGCTGATTGCTGTGAAAAGGATGGCTAAACTCTTAGGGAGAGTGCAATTTAGAGGAGATGCAACACCTATGTTGTAACCGTAAAGCATTTTATGATAAATGCTGAGATAGGATGAGGACATGTGCTGCGGGAGAACAAGGAAGGGGAATATTGATGACTGTAAGGAGAGGGGTTCTGGGACATCTCTCTGGAGGAAGAGGGACTTAAGCAGGGCCTTGAGGGATTAGTAGGACTTTGGGTAGGCAAAAATGGGCAAGAACATCCTAAGCAGAGGGCACACAGGTTGTCCCTTATATGTGATTAACAAATTGCATTTCGTTTATATACTCAGAGATCCCCCCATTATTAGTAAAATAACTTTCTTAAAAATTTTTTTTTTTTAAACCAAAGACTGGTCTGATATGTTCTGTTCTTGAGGCTGCAGCCTAGTAAAGAATCCTAATTATATGAGAGAAGGTAGCAATAACCCTGCTTTTCCTATAATAACCCTAGGCAAGCAAACATACAAATCAGAGTCAAAACCCCACTTTGTTTTCATTTTAACTTAATTAAGCAAACCAATTTTGCCAATAGGTAACCCTTTTCAAAGTCAATATCCAAATTCATTCTTATCTCTTATTATCATCAACATAGCTTCATATTCCAAGCACATAATTTCCTTAGACCTTAGTATACATTTGCTTGTATGATCTGGCTCATGCCGTTTTTACTGGCTTAAAAAATCAACAGGAGCAGACTCTCAGAAGTCCAATAAGTAAAGGTACTTGGACTGAAAACAGCAGGAAGTGGCTCAGAGCCCCTACCGTTGAGCCCGCTCCCCTCCCTCCATTGAGTTCTGAGACACCTCTACGGAAACCTCAGGGCTCTGTGCATGACAGTTTATAAACCACTTCCCTGGGCTTCTTAACTGCCAGTTATTGTCCAATTCTTCAACCAAAACCGGGCTGTCAAAAAGTCTGGACATGAATGTTATATCCTTCTATCTAAAACATTAAGAATTTCTAAACATTTCTGTTCTCTAGAGACCTGTTTGGATATTTATTTTAAAATAATATACAAATAAATTATTGAATCTCTATTAGTGATTAAAAATGACAATAAAAAACACGTTGTGGGCTTCCCTGGTGGCGCAGTGGTTGAGAGTCCGCCTGCCGATGCAGGGGACACGGGTTCGTGCCCCGATCCGGGAAGATCCCGCATGCCACGGAGCGGCTGGGCCCGTGAGCCATGGCTGCTGAGCCTGCGCGTCCAGAGCCTGTGCTCCGTGGCGGGAGAGGCCACAACAGTGAGAGTCCCGCGTACCGCAAAAAAAAGCAAAAACAAAAAAATATGTTGTTACAGAAGTTAGACTGCATAAACTCAGAATTATTTAATGTTAATATTTAGAGAATAGCAGTAAAGATTGCGGCAAGATGGATTTATGTAAAATAAGTGAAGAAACATAAAATTAAACATTTAAAATAAGGTGAGACAGCATGGGTTTTGCTCCCCTAGAAAGATTTAAGATGTGTAAATGTCCTCCTACACAGAGAAGATGAAATAAATCCTCAAAGAAAGGAATACATTTTGGAGGTTCATTTTAGTACCACAAGTCTCTACTTGGTTTTTCATTCAGAGGCTCACCTCCCATAATCTGGGAGAGCATAAATTCCCTTTTCCTATCTTATTTCTCCCATACCGAATAAAAATAAAACCCAGTAGTTTGTCATCCCTAAGTCTAGTGTTTTTGGCCACAAGGGCAAAAATATGAGACAGGTTATAAAAATCATGGTGGTAACAACAGCCTTGTCTATACATTCAAGCAGTGGAATGGATCACAGTTACATTAAAAGTTTTTTTTTAATTTCACCCCAAACTAGTAGAGACTATGACTGAGTTAACAGAACAGCCCTCTAACATATATTTAAATGGTGGTGGGTATTAATAAGGGAAATTATGACCCCATCAACTTCTCCGTGATGGGTAGATCTTGCTTGTCCTCTGGAACCAGGTCTCTCTACTATATTATAAGGAATAGTTAACCTAAAAGGCCTAGAGAAGTGAGCAAGGACCTCTCTCAGCTATTGGTCAAGACCTTCCAGGATTCAGAGAATGGTCTAAGATTCATTAAATTGCTGTAGGGCACTTATTGCCCCTTCCATAGTTGTAGCCAGTTGGTTTATTGCAAGCACTGATTCTCTATGGAGAACGCTGGCAAGTTCACGCTGGGCATTAGCATGTTCCCCAAGGACAATTAGCCTGTCCAGGTATGCTTCTGATTGCTTGGCCAGTTCCCCAATAAGCTGCCTGTTCCTGGCCATTTCTGCAGAAACAGTCCTGGTTAACAAGTAGTAGTTGTTCCTCATCTGTTGAGGAGGTGGCTGGTTGGGCAAAGTCCCATTGCTTAGATGAAGACGCAAGGGATAACTTCATGGAGGTGCTCAGAGATATCCCTGCACCCTTGGAGAAGCTGCCAGAAGTGTTGTCACCAGTGAAAACTTGCAAACAGGCTGCAAAATAAACATTTTGCCAAATAGTTCATCCATGTCATGAAAAAGCATAAAAATTAGCAATATAAAGTAGGTCAAAGACGTAGGTCTGTTCCAAATAGCCTTGCTAGCAGTGCTTTTTAGGTACACTCAGAAGACAGCATAAATTTCCCTGCTCTGGTGTCACAAGACTAGATCTTCTCTTTTTCTCAATCCATGTCAAATTTTGACTGAAGGTAAAAAACTGATAGTAGTAGGAAAAAAAGAGGTCTAAAAAAGCAGTCAACACTTTACTGATAACTCCTTTAAGATTATTTTCTGGAAGCTTCTTTATCAAATATCTGATTATTTTGTCATAAGAAATAGGACCCTATGTGAGAAAACTTAGGGATCTGAACCTGCAACCAGCTTTTCTTCAAAGCCTAGATGTCCTGACCTAGAGGCAACACACAGGGCAACACTTCAGTTTGTTTTGTAACATTACTGTGTCCCAGGAATATCATGTTTGCTATGGACTGAATTGTGTCATTTTCCCCCCTCCCCCAAACCTTCCCCATTCTCCAACCCTTCAATTCATATGTTGAAGCCCTAACCCTCAATGTGATGGCACCTGGAGATGGGGCCTTGGGAGGTGTTTAGGTTTTGATGATGTCATGAGGGTGGAGTCATGATGGGATTACTGCCTTTACAGGAAGAGACCAGAGAGTTAGCTGTCTCTCCATCATGTGAATATACAGTTGACCCTTGAACAGAGATTTGAACAGCATGGGTCCACTTATACATGGATTTTTTTTCAATAAATACTTACTATAGTACCATACAATCCTTGGTTGGTTGAATCTGTGGATGTGGAACCATGTATACTGAGGGCCGACTGTGAAGTCATACTTGGATTTTCCACTGCTAACCCCTGCGTTGTTCAAGGGTCAACTGTACACTAAGGAGGTGGCAGTCTACAGGGCAGGAAGTGGGACCTTGATCTAGGACTTCCCAGACTCCAGAACTGTGAGAAATAAAGGTTTGTTAAGACACCCAGTTTATGTTATAGCAGTGTGAGCTCACTAAGACAACGGTGAATGAAACTTGGTTCTGTTTCCTGGTTGCTTATTAAGTAGCAGGTTGGGAGAACGGAATTGGGAAGAAGGATTTCAAAAATTAACAACAAAGCCTGACAACAAAATTATTGCTTTAAGAGTTTTAATGGTGTGAGGGCAGGTAGGCACTAAGAGTGCTGGGTTTGTCAGAATCTGCCTCATCAGTGAAATCTGAGAACTGCAGCTGTGAGCTGAATATGATCCTCTTAGACTTTGGGCTCTGTCTCTCTGAACCTGAAATAAAAAGCTATCATTCTGAATAAGTGGATATACGTGGCTTTTTAAAAATCTCCAGACCATATCCATACCATATCCTACTGTGAAATCTCCCATGAAACACCCATCTCATCCCAGAAAAAACCTCTAATGGAGGCTCCTTGACTATGCAGTGAGCAGGATACAAGGTTCAGACAACTTTAGAAATTACTGTTTGGATCTTTGTTGTCCCTATCAAACTGATAGAGGGCACGAAGCCTTAAGTCCCTATTAGTCATCTCAACTCCAAGTGACAAGGAGGACATTAAAATGACATTCAGCTCAGAATTTTAGGGTGACCTCTCAAAACATACATTGCATGCATTTGCCTGACATCAGAGCATGCAGATTCCCTGTGCAGCACTGTTATTTCCAACACCTGAACATTGTGTCTGTTCCAAGGGGTCCTCAGAGTTCTCAGTCTTGGGAGCCACGTTGCTGACATCCTGGATCACTTGCCCTTGCTTGTCCGGCTCCTCAGCTCCCTTCTGAGCCATGTGCTGTCTTGCGCTGAGCTCCTGTGGGTCCTCCTGGACTGTGGCTTCTTTTCCTTTGAAGGCATCCATAGCTGGTGGGCTCTGGTTCTGGCACCTGACCTGAACAGCATTGTCCCTCATATTTTCAGGATCCAAAGAGAGGTGTGTACAGAGAAACTGACCTATAGTCTTGTAAAAGGCAGTGTGAGAGGATCTACCACTAACTTCACTGGTATGGAGATGCATCGAGAAGTTGCATTTTGGCCCACACTGGTATTTCGAGTGCTTCATTTACTCTGCCTCGGCATGTGTCATCACGACAGTGGATTGTTCAGGTGCTCAACAGACTGAGCCTCCCCAAGGACAGAAAGGGACTGTCCCTGACCATGGGACAGCTACAACTCTCTGGGGCTAGACACATCAGAGGCAAGAAGGAAAAAGAGCAAATGACAGGAAAAATGAGAAAGGAAGGGAACTGACTGCTGGTATTAAAGACCTACCGACTCCTGGAAGGTCTCTGGTGGACTCCTTGCATTTCCTGGAGCCAGCTGCTTCTGCTGACCCTGAATACAGGGGTTTGGCGGGGTATTGGGCTATTAGACCACATGCAAATGGCGGGTGGCTCTCTAGGAAAGAAATTAATGCTGCCCCATGTTTTCCCATGAACAGCTTTCAAACTTGGCTACAAAAGGATGTAAAGTTTGGGAGACCTGGATCAGTACTCTACCATGAGCTGTGAACTCAAAGGTTGCACAGATGCCAAGCAAGGAGGGAAATTCCTCCAGAAAAAAATGAGTGGTATTAAGAAGCAGCACTAGGTTTTGAAGAAAGGCTAACCATCCCTTCAGTGTAGTTAAGAGAAAAGAACTAAGTGTGCTGCTACCACAACTACATCCTTAAGTAACCATAAGTTGGGAAAAAGGGACGGGGATAGAGAACACAAACTGTTGATATGATTTTAGCCCCTATTTTGAATTCAGGCAAGAAAGCTATGTTAGAGAATTCTACATCTTTGAAGTGACTAAAATCTCTAAAACTTCATATGGAAGGTAGCCTTCCTCACTGTGCCATTGCTCCTCCTGCCTGGGAATAAAGTTGTGCCTCTCGACGAAGTTAAAGGCCTTACAAATGTTACAGAGAATGCCCTGATGTTGTGGGGCAGTGTTTGCTCTGTCTTCTCCGAGAAGATTCCTCAGTGTAATGTTATACGGCAAGCTCTACGGTAGTCACAAGATCTCTCACAATGCTGCAGTGAAAGTGGGGATGTCTTCTCAGTCTGCTTCCCAGAACTGGGATTTGTTAGTGAGCTGATGGAATTACTATCTAAGCTGTTATGGGACTAGACTGCACGTCTTTACCTATGTCCTTTAGCGAATTACCAATTAAACCAGATTGGTCTGGGAGGCCTTAGAAGCTTAGGACATCTTTCGAAGACAGGGGAGGATGTGAAGTGAGGGTCAGGTTGGAAGCATCAACTACTTGTGCATAACCACACTTCCTAGCCTGGCCCACAGCACTTCCTCTGTGACTGGCCCATCTGAAGTAGTGTGAAAACTTGACAGATGAGAAAAAGCACTTAGGATACTGCTCTAATCCTTTCAGCATGTAACAACTATGGTCATCTGTTAGTGAAGCAGCTTAGGGGTGGGAACATCTGTGACTTATTCAACTGCATAGACCATTGTTCCTCTTGCCCACTCACATTTTGAGGTTTGGACATTCACTGAATCTGTACCTTGCTTGAGGGTATGTTGTGTAATAGTGATAAAAAAGAGCATGGGTGCGTGACAGAGTCTACAGTCACAGGTGAAAATTCTGGTTACTAGCTATGACTTTGAGCAAGTGGCTTTTTAGACTTCAATTTCCTTATCTGAAAATTAGGGACAATGCAATGTACCTCTTAGATGATTCTGAAGATTAATTAAAAGGAAATAACATTCGTAAAACATCTAAGAAAGCATCTGATACAAGGCAATCTATATGTTGACAGTCATATTACTTTTAAAGTAGCATTGTGTAGATATTAAAAAGATGGCATTACTTCTCTCACAAAGTTTGTTTTTGAAGCATACATAGTTTAATTAGCCTTTGTGGAAATTTACTTCATTCAACCCAAATAAATATAGAAACAAATAATTCTCTGTAGAAAATACTTTTTCTCACCTTAGCTGCTTCGTTGATGATTTGGAACCTGGTGCTCTCTTTGCCTTCTGTGACTGAGTCTAGTAATGCCCGATAGGTAGACTTCTTGGAGAGCCGCTGTTTCTGACGCCTACAGATTTGGAGTATACAGACGTCTGAGAATGATTTGTGACTCTCAGCCTCCAAAAGACTATATTACCATGTGGAAGTCATTAAAATTCACTTCAATAGTAGGTGAACTGGGCACAAGCAGTATATTAGTACTCCAATAAAGCACTAAGAGGAGTATCAATAATTTAGAGAGCTAAGAAAATTAATAAGCAGAGTGCTAATGCAATTAATAAAATAATAAGAAGAGTACTAATAAAATTGTTCACCATAACACTACTCAAGGATGGTATTTTGTCCCCTTTATTGAGAAGGTGGGGCAGTTTTCATAGATGACACGTATTAGCTTGTTGATGTTCCTCCCTCTTTCCATGAAATGTATACTTTAATTGAAACTTAATAAATTTTAGTGGAAGTCCAATATAATCCAGTGGTTTGTCAAGGTGACCAGGAGTTCACTATAGAATTCCCTCTAAGGTACCTGTTCAGAATTAAAATGATATGATTTTCTTTCTCTAGAGTTGTGTGTATAAATTAGAAAGTTGTATGATATAATTTTTGGTGATTTCAGTTTCAGGACCACATAAAGGTAGACACTCAAAGAAGTTTTAAAGAAATATTTTTTGAGGCTCTGGGGAAATAGGCAATCATATAGTGGTGATGGGAGTGCAAAATGACACAATCTCTATGGAGGGATATCTGGTAATAGTTAAAATTTCAAATACATTTACTCTTTGACCTAGTAATCCCACTCCTGGAAATTCATCCTACAAATATACCTGCATGTGTAGGAAATGACATTATACCTGCATGTGTAGGAAATGACATATGTATAGCTTTTCACTGTGGCAGTGATGTTACAGCAAGACTGAGAACAACCCAAGGGTCTAGCAGTAGGAGAGTGAATACATTATAATTTACCCAATGGAATACCATACAGCTATGAAAAAGAAGACAATTTCCATATACTCATACAGAGCTCTTCAGAATAAATTATGAAGCAGAAAAAAAGACGTATACAACAGTGTATATAGAAAGCTACTTGGCCTAAGAATGGTGGTGATATAAGAATATGTGCATTCACAAAAAGAAATACTGGAAAGATAAATAAGAAATTAATAAATCTGGTTACTTACAGGGAAAGATGTGGAATGGGGTGGAAGGGGACAAGAAAGAAAGTAACATTTTTCAATGTGTATCTTTTTATATTATTTGATTTTTGAACCATGTAAAAGTATTATTTCTTCAAAGATTCAAAATTTTAACGTTAGTTGAAAAACACTTTGACTTTTAAAATACCTGTTTATTAACACAGTAATGTTAATTATAATGTATAAGTATACAATATAATTAATTATAATTAATAACATAATAATAAAATAATACAGGAGTTAAGCTAGAGTAGTAAAGGTGAATTTCTCCTGTCAATAAATTATTTAATCACTGAATTTCCTAATTGACTCTTTCCTCAGAAAGTCTATCAGTTCTCAAAAATTTAATAAATATCAATTTTGAAATATTTTCAGAACTATTCTATCTAGGTCATATACTTCCTCTTCTTACCTGTAGAAAGCAATCTTGCTGCAGTCTTTGAAAATCTTTTTATCCACAGCTTCATCTTCAACACTAATAAAAAGACATTTTAAGAAACTTATTTTACATAGGGTTTGTGAATCCAAATTTTGTACCTTCTCTAACTATAATATAAATCATGGGACATAAATCATTGTGATGCAAAATTGTGTCATGGCCATAACACAATAATGTGTTTGCTGCAGAACAACATCCTTTTGTAAACCACCCATGGTAAACAACAAAACATGAAGTTCTGGGATTGCTCAGAAAGCAACAGAAAAAGAGCACTGTCACTTATGAGAAAGGGTTCTTTAAAATGAATGACTGAAGGCTATGGCTACAACAATAAAATCTGAAGGAGTAAAAACAAAAAGCCCCAAACCAGACCAACAAAAACAACCCACCCACCTACTTATTCAACAAAATATTTTCAGAACTTTCTTGCTGAGTGTTGGGCTCTGAGGAAGATAAGAAGTACTGTGTCTGAGTTTTCTTTGACAGCCTAACCAACATCACAAATCAACCTGACAAATGATATAACAGAGGTATGTACGAGGTGCTAGAATAAGGATAGAAACAGAGAAGGAAAATCCTTTGCTTTTTAAGACGATGCTGATAATCTAGGGGCCAATGTTTTTTATTTCTTATTTATTTTTAACATCTTTATTCGAGTATAATTGCTTTACAATGGTGTGTTAGTTTCTGCTTTATAACAAAGTATACATATGTCCCCATATCTCTTCCCTCTTGCATCGCCCTTCCTCCCACCCTCCCTATCCCACCCCTCTAGGTGGTCACAAAGCACAGAGCTGATCTCCCTCTGCTATGCGGCTGCTTCCCACTAGCTATTTTACGTTTGGTAGTGTATACATGTCCATGCCACTCTCTCACTTTGTCCCAGCTTACCCTTCCCCCTCCCCGTATCCTCAAGTCGATTCTCTAGTAGGTCTGCATCTTTATTCCCATCTTGCCCCTAGGTTCTTCTGAACATTTTTTTCCTTTTCTTTTTCTTTAGATTCCATATATATGTGTTAGCATACGGTATTTGTTTTTCTCTTTCTGACTTACTTCACTCTGTATGGCAGACTCTAGGTCCATCCACCTCACTACAAATAACTCAGTTTCGTTTTTTTTTATGGCTGAGTAATATTCCACTGTATATATGTGCCACATCTTCTTTATCCATTCATCTGTCGATGGACATTTAGGTTGGTTTCATGTCCTGGCTACTGTAAATAGTGCTGCAATGAACATTGTGGTACATGTATCTTTTTGAATTATGGTTTTCTCTGGGTATATGCCCAGTAGTGGGATTGCTGTGTCATATGGTAGTTCTATTTTTAGTTTTTTAAGGAAACTCCATACTGTTTTCCATAGTGGTTGTATCAATTTACATTCCCACCGACAGTGCAGGAGGGTTCCCTTTTCACCACACTCTTTCCAGGATTTATTGTTTCTAGATTTTATGATAATGGCCATTCTGACCAGCATGAGGTGATACCTCATCGTAGTTTTGATTTGTATTTCTCTAATAATTAGTGATGGTGAGCATCTTTTCATGTGCCGCTTGGCCATCTGTATGTCTTCCTTGGTGAAATGTCTATTTAGGTCTTCTGCCCATTTTTTAACTGGATTATTTTTTGATATTGAGCTCCATGAGCTGTTTGTACATTTTGGAGATTAATCCTTTGTCTGTTGTTTCATTTGCAAATATTTTCTCCCATTCTGAGGGTTGTCCTTTTGTCTTGTTCATGGTTTCCCTTGCTGTGCAAAAGCTTTTAATTAAGTCCCATTTGTTTATTTTTGTTTTTATTTCTGTTACTCTAGGAGGTAGGTCAAAAAAGATCTTGCTGTGGTTTATGTCAAAGATCTTTCCAGTTTTGAAGAATAAACTCTGGAATGATATAGGAAGAGATGTACTTAGCTGAACCTGGAAAGCAACCTGTTTGAAATTCATGTGTTAAGAGTTCTGATCACAGGGCTTCCCTGGTGGCGTAGTGGTTAAGAATCCATCTGCCAATGCAGGGGACACGGGTTTGAGCCCTGGTCTGGGAAGATCCCACATGCCGTGCAGCAACTAAGCTTGTGCACCACAACTATTGAGCCTGTGCTCTAGAGCCCACGAGCCACAACTACCAAGCCCGCGTGCCACAACTACTGAAGCCCACACAGCTAGGGCCGTGCTCCACAACAAGAGAAGCCACTGCAATGAGAAGCCCGCGCACTGCAACAAGTAGCCCCAGCTCGCCACAACTAGAGAAAGCCCGTGCGCAACAACGAAGACCCAACGCAGCCAAAAATAAATAAATTCATAAGATAAATAAATACCACCATGTTAACGTTAAAAAAAAAGAGCTCTGATAACAATTCTTCCGGTTTTGTTAACCATCCTTCAAGTATTTCATGAGAGGCTATTAATATCAATTAATTCCGTGGGGAATTGAGAAGGCTAGAGATTGAGTCCACAGATATAAAATATGCAAATAAGACATGCAATCAAACAATCAATAAAGTCTTCAGGGTCTTCCCTGGTGGCGCAGTGGTTAGGAATCTGCCTGCTAATGCAGGGGACACAGGTTTCAGCCTGTGTGCCGCGGAGCAACTAAGCCCATGTGCCACAACTACTGAGCCTGCGCTCTAGAGCCCACGAGCCACAACTACTGAAGTCCGCGCGCCTAGAGCCTGTGCTCTACAACAAAGGAAGCCATCTCAACGAGATGTCCGCGCACGGCAACAGAGTAGCCCCGGCTCCCCGCAACTAGAGAAAAGCCGCACGCAGCAATGAAGACCCAACGCAGCCAAAAAAAAAAATAAAATTTATAAAAAAATAAAGTCTTCAAAGCCAGAATGTTGTTTTCAGGTACTATCTATCCCCTGCTTCCGTGGGCCCTGGGGTCAGTCCCTGCTGGACCACTGGGCCTTTACCTGATTTTCTCAGCTGCGTCCATGGCTTCCCAGTCACTTCACAGGCTCCCAGATCTCAGGCCAAGGCCCCAGGCGATCTTTTAGATTGTCAGTCTTTCTAAATAACCGCCAGCACTTCACCACCATCAAGTTTCTGGGACTTTCATGTCCTTAAGGAGTGACAAATTGACACTTGCTCCCGGGATTTCCAGGCCCAAATTAGGGTTTCTACAGAGGTTTATCTGGCAAATTTTTCTTGGTTCTGAGTAGCTGATGAGGAGCTGCCTTCATTAGAAACCGAAAAGGTTTTTGCATCCGAGGAGGCGTGTACTCAAAGAGCGCTAGAGGATGCAGACCAAGGGCGTGAGAACGAGGAAGTACCGACAGGGCCTGCGTGATTAGGTAGAAGCTTCTGCAGATCTACCTCAGTGACTGTCACGCCACGGATACTGAAAACTGACCCACTCTCTCCTGTATTTTAGTTTTGAGTAGGAAGTGCCGGCGGGGTTGTTGCTGGAGGTTGATGTTCTCCGACCAAACTCTACATCATACTCTTCACGGCTAGAAGGGTCTTTTAAAAGGGGTTGTCTACTACATTATGCCGTTTAGGAAGGCTTATACTCCACCACCGCCAAACTCCAGTCTTTGCTTAAATACCTCCGGAAACCGAGTACTCACTACTACACGCTAAACAGGCAGCCAGACTTTTGGCCCCAGCGTCTGACTCAAACGATGAGGGACTGGGGCGAACGGGAGGAGGAGAGAGCCAAACGCCACATGGGGTTCTTCCCTGGTCCCCAAACCCTTTAAGGGCTGGGAGAGAGAAGAGCCAACAGACTCGGCTGTTAACTTTTGTGGATCATTCTAACACTCCAAGGTGACCAGGTTACGGCAGGAAGACGCCTGCGCAGTAGGTCCAAAGCCTCACACCAAACCTGACAACTGCCTGAGGGCGGGGCCGCTGAGTCGCTAAACAAACAAGCCACCAGAGGTTTTGAGGACCCGGATTATCCCGCCCCCAGAGCGGAGCCGGAAGAGGGCGGGACGAACCGGAAGAAGGTGAAATGCTTTCGGTAGGCACTCCACGGCTGTGAAGATGGCGGCGGCTGCGTGGCTTCAGGTGCTGCCTGTCATTCTTCTTCTCCTGGGGGCTCAGACGTCCCCATTGTCGCTTTTCAGTGTAGGACCGGCATCCGTCGCTGCTGCCGACCGATCCAAGTGGCACATTCCGATACCGTCGGTGAGTGGTCACTTCAGGAGCAACTGAGCCCGGAGGAGCAAGGGGTGGGGCTACGGCAGCCCAAGGGGTCCATGAAGGTTCCACTGAAGTCCGCTTCCAAAGGGGTGGGATTGCCGGGAGTGTCTGTGTAGCTGCTTAACCGGGACTCACCTCCCTGGAGCGGGAAGCCGTACACTTCTTTGGGTAAATTAGCAGGAATGTCAGGGTCAATTCAGGAGCGGAGAGTGGCGGTGGAGCGGTTTCTTATCAGCAAAGGCAGAGAACTTTCATTGCCTGACTGGAAACGTGTAAACTTGATGTATAGGTGGAGAGTGGTTTCTCTTTCAGCAGAAGTTTCACAGAATCTTGTGACCCCGGGTTGGATGAGAGGAATATGTAAATAGACATCTTTCTTTCTTTTTTTTTTCTCTGTACTTTTTTGTTACTGGATAATTCTACTTAGGAAGTTGGTTGATTTCATTTGGACTTTGAAATGGTTATTCTAAGCCCTGCCGTGTAATTAGGAAGCCTGGGCATTTAAAATGATGTATTCTAACGTGAGAATGTTTAAAACGGAAGAAACAGTATTCTAAAATTTCTTATGATAAGTTAGTTTTTCTTAAGGATAATTAACTGGATTGGTTGACCCTTTCTTCCCTTTACCACCTTTTTGAAACGTCGTTTGAGTAAGAGCTATAGTGCTGTGAGCCGACAAATCAGATGCTGGCTGGAAATGCCGAAAAGCATTAGTCTTATTAAAACCACGGTAGCCTTTTTGTTCTGCTCTGCTCACTGGTTGTAATGCCCAAATCTTATTTGAGCTTTTGATATGGTAAGAATTACAGCTTTTGTTAATTTGGTGACGATGTTCAGATTCTCAGTTTTAGGTATTTATTTGTTACCTGTAAAATGGTTAATAGTTAAATATGGCTGTCTGCTCATAGAATAGTTTATTAGAAGAAATGATTGGTTATTCTGGACGGTGGTTAGTGAGTAAAGGGAATGAACTGATTAAGGAGTACCTTTTAGAAAGATTTAAGTTAGGTTAGGATTTCTAGCAGCCTTCCTTCTGGAGTCCTTGCTTCATGGCCTGTGGAAAAAAGAAAAAACTTGTCTCTGCACCAAGCTTCAAAATCCTGCAGTTTGGATATGGTTGAATTTTACTAAAAGGAGGGATATTGATGCCTTTTTTTGTGTGTGTGTGTGTTAAGAAAGCTAACGTCAACATTTTATAAATTTTAGCTTTTTATATCAGTTATATTCTGCTTTGGGAATTAAAGTGATCTGATGCTAATTATCTCTCCTTTATCTTTGCAGGGGAAAAATTATTTTAGTTTTGGAAAGATCCTCTTCAAAAATACCACTATCTTCCTGAAATGTGAGTTTTTGCATTTCATGAAGTTTTTATTCGAGTTTTTGAGTGATCTTTGAACTTTCAAATTACCTGTTTTCTACCTCTGATGATTTACTCTCAACATAAGTTCTGAAATTTAATAGTCCAGCACTATCTAGGTATAAACCTATGTAGTGTAACTAAGGTCCTTTCACAGAATAATCTTTAGAATACTTACTTTTATGAACTTTATTTTCTTCTCTTGTTTTTCTGGTGTTAACAATATATAGTTTGACACATTGTTTTGGTTGATCGCCTCCATGGGTTTTAATCTGTTCTGAGCCATAGAGATAACTGCCGATTTTGTTTTTGTGTGCTTGTTAGATGTTTACTGGACACATGACCTAGGTTTGTCAGACCATTGGCTCTGAACAAATATGTTCAGTAAAGCTTTTGTTTGCTGAAGGAGTATTTTACCACTTGGATCTTTGGAAGAGGAAGCTCAAAGATAATTACCAGGAAATAGGGATATGTAGAACAAAACCAGTCTGTCCAGTGGGAAAACCACTGTATCTGAATCCAGAATACCCCATTGTGTATTAAAGAAAAGCTTCCTTTTATTTCTGAAACTGGCTTTATTTTTAGAGAATGAATGATCATGGGCAGCTCCATTTCAAGATCAGGAATAAAAATCCAGATCCATGTGTGCTCCTATGCATATTTCTCTCTATGAAAATGCAAAGTATGTCATAGTTGGATGATTTTATTCTTTTAATCAGTTAGGTAGTTACTGAACACCTACTATGTATAGTGCCAGGCACTGTTTTAGACAGCAAGGAAGTGATAGAAAAGACCCTTTCTCTTATTGAGATTATAGCCTGGTGGGATGGAGGGGTTAGGTAGAATTTCTATGAAGAATGTACTGTGTCCATGAAAATATGATCTCTTGGCTGGTAATTTAAGCTTGATTTAAATCAAATCTACTCTGACACGCTGGTATTTCTTGTGAGGTTGGCTTTCTAGAAAAGAAGAGCTTTTAGGGATAGCAGTATTTTGTCTTTTGAGATACCCCGACAGCCTGTATGCTATTCTGTCCTTTTATTTTGTACAGTTTCTTCTTACCTGTATTTTGTTCTAATGGTTTTTCTAGTGGTTTTTGGTCAAGCTGCATATTTTGAAGTGTCTGTGTTTCGTTGTTTTTGGAGGGTTGGAAGCTTCTTAAAATTTGCATTGTCTTTCACTTTGTTACTTCTGTGTTTTCTCATACTTACCTTGTCTCTGATTTTATGCTTTTGTGGGTATGGTATACAATAGATTTCCATGAAATTGGCAGGGCCATTTTCTTTTCTTTTCTTTTCTTTTTAAGCCTAAAATTACAATTTTTCACCTACATTAAAAATGTCTGTTTTGGAGAAAGAAGTGAGATTTGCTCAAAGCTTGGAACTCCAGTCCTTTCTAGAGGTAGCCACTTCTCCCTTACACCTGCACCTGGCTCATGTAAGATTCTTAGGGACTAGACCTGCCAGCCGAGGGAAGGTGAGGAATGTGGCAGGACCATTTTCATTGTCTCTTAAAGCCATTCATTTAAAGTTCTATGTGTTTTGGGAATTCCCTGATGGTACAGTGGTTAGAACTCGGAGCTTTCACTACAGAGGGCCAGGGTTCAGTCCCTGGTCTGGGGACTAAGATCCCGCAAGCCTCGCGGCGTGGCCAAAAAAAAAAAATTCTATGTCTTTTAACATAAATAGTAGTATTTTTGCAGGCACATTTCCCTGCAAATCTCCTGTTAGGGCTTTTATTTAATTAATTCCTTTTCTGTTTGGTTCTTCTGAGTAGTTCATAACAAGATTGCAGTATCCATTTCAGCATTTCCATACATTCTATCCAACACATCAGATTTTTGTGTATTTTAGCCTTATAAAAGCCTTATAAAAGTTGAGCTTTATAAAAGTGTGCCGCTTAAAAATTAGTCTGAGAAAACCACTTAAACCAAAGAAAAGGGAAAGTTTGTAATTTTAGGTGTGCTTCTTTTAAGAACCAAAAGTAGGTTTTTAGATGCGGTCGTGTTTATCTTTGTCACATTTGCACAAAGTATGTATTTCTAGTATATTTTGCCTTCCTCAGCTGGAATCAAAGATAAAAGGAAATACTGACTTCCCCCAGGTGAGACAGTTAACAGTCATATAGTCAGGTTTACACCCCAAGTCTTCAGACTAATGCTTTGGTTCACTAGAATATTGTGCCTCAAAATATGTTGAATGAGTTATGTGAGGCTTCTATGATTTCATGAGGTTCCTTGAGGCTTCTCTTAAGGTGAGTTTTAAAAAGAATCTAATAACTCTTTTTATCTTTGTCTTTTCTATTCCTGCCTTCCCCAGCCAGGTTTGCTTTTTGTTGATAGTCCTTTTCTATCCAATTTTGATATCTCTCAAGGTTTAAGCCATGAGGTTTTCCCTCAGTGGAACTATTTTTGTTGCCTTGTGACATTCCTAATGTTGTTATTCCTTGACTCTTCAACTAGAATCTTTTTTAAGACTTAAGAGTCTTCAATAATTTGTTCCCTTCTGTTCCCCTGTTTGGCCTAACACAGTGCCATGTATCTCTGTATACTTAAGTGCTCTGCTCAGTAAATATTTAAATGATAACAGAAGACTGATTTTAACTTAAGGCTGCTTTATCACTTCCAGGTTTTTTCCCAAGAGAGAATCAGAAATGAAGATTTTAAGGCATAAAAATAGATACACGGTTTCAAAGGTTAAAAATCCTTAACTGCTTTTTATTTCTGTGAGCAACAATTCTTACTTTTAACTGAAGAATATCTAGTTCTTTTAAAATTTATTATTTCATTACCTTCTGTTTGGAGAAAGGATGGTCTTTGAGTATCTTAGTTTAGCAGGAAATGGGATGTGGGGTAATAGTTTAGGAAAAATGCTTTGTTTGGGAATTATCTTTTATTCACAAAGATTTCTTCTTTTATAGTTGATGGAGAACCTTGTGATGTGTCTTTGAATATAACCTGGTATCTGAAAAGTGCTGACTGCTACAATGAAATCTACAACTTCAAGGTATGGAGCATAAAATTACAGGCTTTTCTTAGAGTTTAGATATCATCAGGTCCCAACCTGATAGAGGAAAGAGTGTCATGTAGCTATGGAGAAGAACTGGAACTAGAATCATGCTTCCCAATATGCAGGCAAATTTGTACTATCAGTTCTCAAACTTACTGGTCTCAGAACTGTGTTTACTTACTACAGACCCCAAAAAAGCCTTTATTCATGTGGGTTACTGTATTAGAAACTAAAACAGAAAAATACAGAAATATTTATTAATTTGTGAAAACTGTTTTTCAAAGAAACTGGGAAGAGTGGTGTTATTTTGTATTTTTGCCAATCTATTTGTTTAATATCTAG